ACTGTAATATTTAACTAAAAATTACCTTTGTGATTGTTCTACTATTGAAAATCGGCCAACGAGGTAAGAAACACATAATTTTTATAAAATTTTAGAACTTTTTAATACGTTTTTTCAAGTTTTTTTTTATGCGCAATCGAATTTAATCGTTTTATCATAGTGATGTTAATTACTGTAAGAATTCAATCTATACTCTTATATCCAATCTAGATTATATTCTGAAATATTTGGAAAGTTGTCCTTCAATACAACCATTATCATGATATATTTCAATGGTGGTGGACTGCTAATAAATACACTATTGACAATAGAATTATATAATATATTATTATTTTGTTATTTGATATGATATTTTTACTGTACCTTAATTTACAAAAAGCTAACTTAATTTCTTTTAAATCATTAAAAATTACTTTAATCTTTAATAGAAATATTTCAAAACCTAGGAAAAAACTTAATTTTATTTTTGTTAAACAAGTTTTAAACCAATTAGAGTTGATTTTTTTTTTCGCCAATAAAAATTTAGTTACATCCTTTTTTCTAGAAGATGTCGATTTATTCTGTCATATATTTTCTTAATTTTACTTTTCAAATAGCTTTAACATTTTTTCAAAGTGTTATAATATTTAGTTGACCGCAAAATGACATTTTATAATCCTCAATGAAAAAAATATTTTTTGACTTCGTCGTTACTATATTAGCTAAAATTACATATGTTTTCTAATAGGTGGTCTAAGACAAGTCATAACCAATAAGTCAACATAAACATAATATGACTATTATTTTTCACAAGATTTTGTAACGTTGTAGGCGGTTAACATTACTAGGGTGAACAAAAGACTGACCATATGTGGTTGACACTATTGACTAAGTAATGTCACAATTTACTACCATACTTTATAGCTCCTTGTATATTATATACTAACACCAACGTCTCTCATTTTTATTAATTTGATCAAATACCTTAAAATTTTAATTGCGTAATAATCTAGTATAATGTGGATTTTTATATTTTTTAGAACTATGTGTTTTTACATATACATATATTTATTTCTAGTATATAAAACTGGATGGAAGGTATTTTTAGTATTAAGTATTTTTATTTACTGATAGTGATAGGTACTATCATGTTATTTGAATATTTTATCATCATAAGTTAATTAAATAATATTTTTTGCTAACATATTTGCTATATTATCAAAATATCCCATTAGATTCTGACATCTCTAATAGCATTTTATTCAGAGAATATTTTGCGTTATTTTTTTTATTAATTTTTACAGTTATGGTATACGTTAAAAGCATATTTTTTATTATTTGTCTTTAAATAGAAAAAAAATATACTGGCTAGATCAAAAGTTATTAAAGATGTACGAACCTGGTGTGATACACTAACAGTATATACAGCCAAGATCCATTACAGTGAGAATCAATATTCAATATACATTGAAATCCAGAGAAAATTTGGGCTAGACCCCCAAATTTTAAATTATTTTTCGCAATCGAGTAAATATAATCAAAACAAATTATTTTTATCGTTATGTAAGGGACAAACCACATTGTTATTACAGGCAGACAATTAGTCCACTTGCAAACTACAGAAATATGTAGTTACATATTTTTTTTTTATCTCTTCGGGAATCAAAGCCTTAATTTTAATTTACTTAGATGGGAATTCATATTATTAACTTGACTATATTATAGTCTTTATTATATATCTATATTTGACTTTATTATATTATAAAAAAAAATTACAAACAATAAATCTGTCCGATCAATCGTTAGCGTTTTAAAATTGTTTAAACATTTGAATTTAAAGTAAAAATTCATCAATAATTTGATTTTCTTTATACTAGAGGTAGTCAATTGACTAATTGGCTAATTAGCCAAGACTTAATTTTTATGATAAAAATTCTCTCTTCGGTAACCGACAATATATGACAGTAAGTTTGCTTTAAATATAAAAAGTATATTAACAGTATATTAATAGACAAAAGTTACTAAAAATAAGATTTCTATAGTTAGATAATATCTAAGTCAATGAAAAATATTTTATGTAAGAAAATGGTAAAATAAAAACTTTTGTTATTCTTAACAATAAAATATCTTCTTTTTTCTTCTTCTCTCACGCCTTTATCCCAAATACTTGGGGTTCACTACTCATATCCTAAATGTCCACTTGACACGATCTTCTACATAATCTATACACACACCAGCAGTCCTCAATCACTCCCAATTACTCTCAACCACCTCTATTTCGGTCTTCCTCTTCTTCTTTCAACGTTTATTTTCATATCCGATCTTACAGCTTCAGATTCATCTTTCCTCGTTGTATAACCAAACTATCAAAGCTTATTTTATCTCATTTTATCCACGATCGACGCTACTCTTTTGCTTCCTCCTACATAATCATTCCTTATCTTTTTTTCTCTCGTCATACAACTCATCCATCTAAGCATTTTCATATCTCCATTGTGCATTCTGTGCTCTATTTTCTTGTCAATCATCTGACACTCTCACTACAGTCTTATAGAACATATTTTTTAGATTCATTGAGATTCTCCTATCGTACAAAACATCAGGTGTTTATCTACACTTAATCCACGTGCATTTAATCAAATATTTCACATCCTCATCAATAACACACTTTTTTGTACAAATGATCCTAAATATTTAAAAATTTCCATGTCATTTATCATTTCTTCGTTTACTGTTATTACTCTCGTCATTTCATTGCCTTCATGTTCTCTTTCATCAAACTCATACTCTATATATTCCGTCTTACTTTTAAAAATCAATAATCCCTTCATTCAAAAAATATACGAAACTATAAAATACCAAAAATTATTTTCATAATATTTTTATTTAAAGAGCGTTAAAAAATCATTTTGTGTAATAGGATGATTCCTAAAAAATTACACGTATCCAGTTTATACGAATCCAGCTGTTCACTTAACAAGTTATATAATAATTTTAGGTCTATCATTGAAAATAATTCTTTGCTAAAATTGTATAAAATTTCATAAACAAAATAATTAATTTAAGTCTTTTTATACTATATTTCTTAAATCCTATCTTGATCTTCAGCTAAACTTCAGGTAGTGTTTGAAAGCACCATTGAAATTCCGCCCTAAAAATAACTAATAATTTATTTTATTTTAGTAGATCGAGTAAATCCAGTACACAACTTGAAAGTCGCAAATATATAGTAAAATTATAACAATAAGAAACTTCTTATAAACAACTCGTTAATTAACTTTGATTGAGACTAGAATTTTTGCGTTTCCATTAGTCATGGAGTAAAATAAAAACCTTAGGATAAAAATAAAGATTTTTTGTCCAAAATAATATGTTGACAATATTTTCTCACCTCAAATACCATTCGGAAACATTCAAGATATATATTTTATTTAAGTAAATAAATTCAGTACTATTTAAGTCGTCTACTTTATATTGTATGTCTAAGAATAATGGAAACCTATTATATTTTTGGCATGATAACGAAAATTAAATTTCATGCTCATTTGTACGTACTTTTATTACATATAAATTTCCCCTCCTATGGCATCATTGGAGTCTAAGAATAATATTATTATTGCGTTACCACTGTCAGTGACCAGGCGACCATCAACCCAACCAAAGTGGGTGGTCTTAATCTGCTCTTTAGTTATTTTCTAGTTACTTATTTAAGTTCAAAATACATCCGACCCCACCACTATCACCGCTAATAAAATAAATGTATATAATATTTTATAAAATACATTTATATCTTAAAGATATAAATATACGATAATTAACACAACTTAATATTGTCTTCGTGTTTACATGAAATTAAGTCATCTACAAGAAGAAGAGATGAATTTAATTTTACTGTTGTTATCATTGTAATCATATATAAATGTAACATAATCATAATTTAGTGCATATAAATTTTTAACTTCAGACAAAACCACTTATTTTAAGCTATAAAAAAGAAGTCATGAGATATTAGTACATTACTAATATGCTAAAACTAAAAAATTTGTTAAATACCACACATGTTAAGGATACTTAAAATTTGTACTTCGAGCTGCGGCTAATCCTACAGGAGGGATATACTCCTCGTTATCTCCCCTCAGTATGCGCAAGATTTGAGCTCTTAATTATTTTTAACCACGGGTTTTTTACTCACTTGAGAGAGAAAAAAAAAAGTGCTAATGACGTCGCTTATATGAAAAATTTAGTTACACAAGACCATGTAATGAAAAATAAAAACTTATTAATACAACATAATATGTTTGGCATAATTATAAATTATATTATAGTTAATAACTTTCGATAAATAAATAGGAAATTGTGCAATCAGTTTAAAGGAGAAACACTTAAATGGAATAGCTAGACATTAGTGATGCTTTTGTATCACTAGAATAAAAAAACGTTCTTATTTTTTTTTTTTTTGGTAAATGTTTATTTCATTTTATAAAAATACAATAATTTTATTTAATACATACTAAAGACACGAAAAAATAAACAATATATAAAACAAATTATTAAACTATAAAACAACTTTTGTACTAAAAATCTAGTGATCAAACTATACATATATTAAAAAAAAAGTTAAACTCAAAATAAGAAAATATAAATAAAAAGAAGAAAAATATATAATGTTTAACATTTTTCGTTTTTAAAAAAATGTTTTATAACTTAAATAGTTTTTGGTATCTTGGTCTAACAATTGGTCGTTCCAATCGACTAAAAACAACAGTTAAAGTAGTGAAAAAATTAGAAACATTGATTCAAAGATGAAATATATTTTCATAGCGAGAAAATATACGATTTAAATGGAGTATTTATATTTACAAATATATAGTATTAATTATTCAATATGAATAAATTTTAGTAATTGTTAATTTGACAAATTATTCCAAAAAAGTAATAAATATCTTTGACAATCTAAGACTTGGTGATGAATGGTAGTACCCATTGGACTATTAACTGTTATATAAAATTGTAAACATGAAATTCATGGCAATTTTATTTCAATTCTTATAGCTACCTTAGAGCTATCACCTGTGTCGACCATTTGACTAGTAAAAGCATTGTAAATATTGCAAATGAATAAAAAACTTCCTGTTTTAATGAAGCCGCTGATCCTTTTCCAGTTGAGTTATACCGATTTCTACTATCAGGTTGGTAGTCCGGACCATTAACTAGCATTATTTCAATTTCAGGTCTATCAGGATCTTCCTCAAAAGTCTTGGGTCTGTGCTTTTTTCGATTTTTACGACTATTTTTAGTACCTGAACTATTCAAGTTATCACCTTCCCCATAACATAACCTAGCCATGCGTTCTTTGTTACGCAAACAATCAAGGGCTGTTATTCCAGAGCATCGACATCGATTCATTTTGACTGCTTTCTCCTGACGTTGCAGTATTTCTATTGAATTTAGACACCTTTCAGTACACGACACTCCTTGAATCATTCTTTTGCAGTATGTGTGATAGTAACCCAGTGCAGCCGAGCATACTGGATCAACAGCACATATCCATTGTGCTAGTTCACATGGAACTATAGTTTCGTTTTTAGACGCTTCTATTACAAGTGGACGGCAAATTTCAACTCGAGCTTTCATTTCCTCGCAGTATCGATCCCTGCATGTACACTACAATCAACAGTCCAAAATAATAAAATCAATTAAAATATTAAATCTATTTATGATGTTTGCCATATAATAAAATGACTATAAGCATTTTATTATATTATATTTTATTTTTTATAGATTCTATTAATCTCAACATTAATACAATTTGACAGTTTATTTAAATTTAAAATTAAAATATTTATAATTAGAGATGAATCAATAAAGAGTAATAAAAAACATAATACTCTCAATATATTTGCATTGGAATTTGAATAAACAGCAAATCTAAATTTTGTAGCAACAAAAAACTCTCTTGGAATTTTAACTAATGTTGAAATACTTCTTAAGTGAGTTTTATTGAATTTAACTTATTATTCTTTAAATGTACTGTTGCAACTTATTTTTGTATTAAAATAAATATTAATATCGTCATGTAAACTTGATAATCGTTAATACTAGGAAAAATCTTTATTTAATTAATATTCAAAGTAAGTAAAATTGATTCTTGCTCTTGTCAAAATTACTATAAACTTTTAATAATTTATTTATATTAGTAATATGATCTGAATCATATAATAGCTATAATACAATATTAAACTCACATTTAAACATTTTTAACTTAACCACTTTTTACCAAGCACCATCTTATTGGTATTAAATAATTGAATTTAGTTTCACTTTAACGTATATAATTACAATCGGCGTTAGAAGGAATTCGTTCCAAAAAAAAACGGATTTGAGGCACTAGTTACTTTTGTAGGAACGAAGCTATTTACTTCTTACGTTTTTTATAAAAAGGAACGTGGAACGTGTACAAATTCGTGTTCATAAAAAACAAGAACGAAATTTACGGTTTATTTATATTTCATTGTTTTTAATTGTTTATGAAATTGTTTTTCTTTGTTTATAGGTGTTTTAAATAAAAATATACTTTTGCATTGAAATCTGACGACCCTAATTTTATATCTGTATTATGTTTTCTTTATGTTATCCATATTTTATAATTTTAATATACTACGCTGATAAGCTTTACTAATAAATTTGTGTATAATATTAAATAAATTATCATACTAAAAACGTCATATCTTAAAAGCAAAAAATCATAGGCGTAATCTGGGTGGTTCAGAGGAAGGTTTGATCTGTAACTCTATCGAAGCCCGACCCCTCTTCATCCAAATATATATATTAAAAAAATTTCAAAAAGGGGAGAAAGTTAGATCTCCAAACATTTTGTTCAGATTAAGCCTTTACACATGAATATTAAGACATGTCCTATATTTAATTTTAAATTATGGGTATAATATTAATATAATAATAACAACAGTATGTTTTTAAATATCTTTTGAACAAAAAGGGTATTGAATTCTTCTCATAGAAGAACTGAACTTGGAACGATTTCTTTGTTAGAAAATGAAACGAAAATCTAGAACGAGTTCTTATTTTATTATGTGGACTAGTTTTGTTTAAAAAAGAATTTTCTCAACAATGATATAACTTAATAATATAGACAATTTTTTTCTAAAATCTATGTTACATTAATTGTAATCTGTTTAATTATTATCGAATAATGAATTTTAAATGAGAATTTTAAAAAAATAACATCAAAATGACGAAATTCATAAAACTGTATAATGTAAAATTTGATTTATTTTTATGCACCACAATAAACAAAGTTAATTGCAAAAAAAATTATTTCTAAAGGTAGATTTTTGGGGTAACTTTTGGAAGTTCAATATTGCCAATAATTATTTTTTTACTATTAAATGGGGGATGGAATCAAAATAAAATTTTGACTTGTCGACGAACAGTTAATACTTTTTGAGTTAGTATAGTTTTTAGTTATAAGTGAGATTGGTGAACAACGTAGACGAATTCTCATCTGAGCATTATGATAAAAATATACTGTTGCTAAATATTTCCACTTTTTCTAAATCTCTAAATGCTAATATGTCAAAGGATGTGTACACGGTGATTCTTTTAACGCTGACCAATTATTTAATTGGTAGTTATATTAACTGTTACACTCATTCAAATTTTTGGCTAAAATTGGCCAGCGTTTATAAAAAATTACTGTGTATATATACATATGTATATATTTGTAAAATACTCACGTCCAATAGCTTTTTGCCTTCTTCGGTAGACGTTAGTGTTACTAATGCATACAAACAAGATTCAGAACATGTAGTAGAATCTGCTCTTAAAGATTGGTCACACTTAGTGAAATAGTTGTGTAAAGCCATTGAACAACCCGTTGCAAATGCACACCGCACCCTTAAATCCTCGCAAGTAACCGAGTGGCGGTCAGCGGTTGTAGCAATAGTGGTAGAGGCAACCATCGGTTTATAACTCCAAAGGAAGGCTAAGCCAAAAAATGTCATGGTCGACCACCAATTTGTGGTGATCTTCATTTTTTCTAAATAAAAAAAAAAAAAATGATGTAAATATATATTGTATAACTATAATATTTTAATCATGAGTTTAATTTTGATTTTAAATATCAATGTTGTTAATAAAATTTAATATCAGAAACTGATTGATCGAAGTAGAAAAAAATTTAAATCGATATTCAAAATAGAAATTAAGTTACCAAAATTTAAATAAATTAAAAATTTTTTTAATGTATAAAATAGATATAATATTTTTTATATATATAATAAATCGAAAAAATATTTTATCGATTTAAAAAATATATTCAAATAATTTTCCGGAGTATATATTTCGAAAAAAAAATTCTATAGAAATTGTTTCTACTAATAAAGTTATAGACCATCATTGGATACCAAGATCAATTTTAAAATTCTGTATATATTCATTCACTGGTTCAACGATAAGCTTATTAAGTGACTAAACAAAAATAATGAATAATTCTTCATTATTTATTGCCCAAATTTGACAATTTTGTGTACTTTTAAACGAGGCTCTGTAGATGTAAACATGTATAGAATATTGGAGCCATTTCTATGAAATCTATCTACATTTATTACCTTTTATTATTTAAATTTAAATTTCTTGTATAGAGTTCTAGCAATATTTTGAACAAATTACTTTTCTAAAATATACAAATTATAAAATAATGGATTTATAAATCTCTACCGTTAATATTTCTGCATAATACTCTTTGTTTTCAGTTTCAGAATTATCATTACAAATTTAGCTTGTATATCTTACTTTAGTATATAATAGTATGTACTACACATTACAATTCATATTATTAATGTTGTTAATTATTATTTGAAAACTTGGTTCATAAAAAACTCCACGTAGACACTGAACGACAAATATGACAATGCCTTTATGTTTTTTTCAGCTATTATTTTTATTTTTTATTTTTTGACTGGTCACTTTTCAAAAGGTCTTAGGATTTTTTTATGGAACTCCAAAATAATTTCTTGCACAAGGCTAAAAAAGATACTATCCTTGCGATTTATGCCCGTTTATACTAAATACAAACGTACAATTCTTTTTTCTATTATTGAATATTATTACATAATATTACGTGAAAATAAATATAATTAAAAAATTAAAATTTCATTAAATGACAGAGTAATTTTTGATATTTTTCATTATATATAATTAAATCTATTTATTCTTTTAATAATTGTTAATGTTGAACTTAGTAAGTAAATTTAGTAAGTAAATTAGCCATTAGGGTATTTTCAATTAGTAAAAAATTGTAGAAATCAANTCTATACATAATTCTCAATATTTAAACGAAAAATTAGCCATTAGGGTATTTTCAATTAGTAAAAAATTGTAGAAATCAAAATAAATTAGTTAAGTTATATCAATATATCGATATAAAAATAATAACATCAATATCATTAATTAAATCAAAATTTTTAACTGATATAAAAATCATGAAATTGTAAATGGGTGTAAAACTGATTCGATTATTACATCGATTTCAAGTCATGTTTTAACGAAAATAATTTTATTTCTTATTCAAATAGTTTAAAAGATTGGTCATACTGATATTATTTTAGATTAAATACCGAGTAATACTTGTAGCTCAAGTGTGATTTGTTATTGTCAGTTTTACTATTTATCTGAGATGTCTCGCTGATAAATAATAGTGGATACTAAAAGAGATATATGCCAAGATGTACACGGCTTGACTAAGAAAATAACACATCTGTTAGTTATATATTATTATCATCATCCAGAACCCTACGCGTGTGTAACTCTACCTATTGAACTCTAGTGTTTGCTCAGTAGTACTATACACGCTACTGTTATGTATACACATTCATATGTGTGCACAAGTCAAACATCATAAAGAGATTTTTATGAAATAGAGAGAGAAATCTCCAACATAAATATTATACGACGACTTTGATGAATTCAGGTAGCTGTGTATATTAGTAGAGACAACACAATGGCGTCGAGAGAAAACAATGCTAAATAATAAAATCCTGGCTACTCTTTGACAACATTCTGTAGCGTGTGGGTCAGACAGGTCAACAAGGCGTGTGCCTACAGAAGAATGCTATAATGTGACCTTTTTCTACTCAAAATATAACACTACTTACATTTTTAATATTTTGACAGATCTATGTAATCTTTATTTACGTAGAAAAAATAAACTTATAAAATGTAAATATGAAGTTTCCTTAGCTATTTTAAAAATGATATATAACAGCATATAGCTATCATATGACAAAAAAAATAATAAATACAAAAATCTTGCTAGAGAACGTTTTCATGATTTTGGTTTAAGACAGTATGTTTAGTTAATATATTTTTGTTTACAATTAGGTTATATCGGCGGTACTTTGTATTGTCTAATAATTGAAATCACATTATTTTGTGAAAACATTCTTCTTAGAGCCGGCTAAAAAACTTTTTTTGGTGTCCAAATCTATAGTTTGCACCAAAAGTATTGTTATTATTGTCATTCTAACTAAGTTATTAATAAAAAAAAAAATTACTTAAGTTATTTTTTAACAAGATGCACCCAAGAATTATATAAACTTCGGAGTATGTCACTAACTCGGCATTTTAACAATTGATTGGCACCTTCACTTTGCACCATACACAATAATACATTAATACATTTTATACAGTGAAAATTTACTAATCATGTAACAAAGATTTCTCCAGTAAGCTGGTGATAATAATATAATGATTATAAGATAATTGTTTATTTTTAATATACAAAAAAACTGGAGTACATATTGCACACAACCGAAAAAATTTCGGAGCGAAGTTTACAATCGCTGTTATTATAATATACAATATTACTATTATAATAAACCTAATGAACAATGTATAACTTTTTAAATTTGTCATCCAAATCTCTTTATACATACAGAGTACAGATATGTAGAGTAGATTTAAATCTAAGAAATGAACGGTAGAGATTTTTTTATACTTTAAAAGAATAATAGTTTTTAATTATTTTAAGTAAAATATAAAGTCATTTTTAATGATAAGTGATGTAATATATGAATTGAAATGAAAATAGTACGAGTAAGCATTGATTGGATAATTATCATTAAGATATAAGTAATTTAATACATTGTAGTAAAATAATTAGAATTGTTATTTTAATGAGTAACGATTACTAATGCATTTACTTATATATAGAAAAAAAATAATTGTTTGATCGGTTATTGGTCAAAAATTCGCAGTATATTGACTCAGTATACTGATAATTTAGTAACTTAATACGTAATTTTTAATACTTCTGATTAGGTAAAATGAAATTTATCAACTTAATACGTAAGGACTAAAATATTAAATAGAATGTATTTTATAATAAAATATGATATAGCAAACATTTTCCCGTAATAATCATTGAACAATTTTCTCAACAGTTCTATAAAATTATATAAAACTAGTTATTTTTAATTTACTTTGATAAAAATATAAAAGTAAATTAAATCTGTGATGTTCGGGCAAAATGCGATATGTATAATTGCAATTTTTATAAAAATGAAATTTTGTAAATGCTTTTACATGTGATAAATATAATTAAGTGTAATCTATTAGTTTCAATTTCATTTTTATAAAAATTGCAATTTTAAATTTATCTAAAACTAAAAATATTAAAAATATTGTATTCCAAAAACCACAAAAAATTACTAAAAAATCGCGGATACGTATTTCGGGAACAATCTTATCATTATTGACGCTAAACACATACTGACAGTATGTGTTTAGCTTCTTATGTTGAATATTTTTGATACTTTTTAGTTTTAGATTAATAATATTTTTAGTATAGTTTTAATTTTAAATAATATTAGCCACAAGTGATCGATTTTCATTATACTTAACCCATTTTACCCGAACGCCGCAGAAATAATTAACAGCAAGAATATTCAAAAAAAGCATGACCATTTTAAATTATTTTATCCTTAGTAGTTGGTTTTATTTGAAATCTGTCACAATTTTTATAATATAATCTTCAAAGAAGTTAAAGAGTGTACGTAAGACATGGCTCTATTATTGAGAATAAAAGACCCACATAATTCACAGGTGCACAACAATGTGTGATTGTGCATTTATGCGGAATTAACACATTTACTACGACCTGTCAGACAATTTTCACCTGTCGTCGACCCTGTACCGTCGGGTATCTTAATCCGTGTTGGATTACACGCTTGGCGAGCTCCTATGTCCCTTTGGAAAACATGTTATTTCTCTTAGATATTTTTTACGATCCCCACAAACTAGGTTAACTATTTATAGAGAATATTAAAAAAAAAAAGTTGTTGTTATTCACATAACTATACGATTTTTGAATTATGTCAGTTATTACATTTTTTGTAACAATTGCTTATTTGTTTAATGTGCTGAAAAAAATAACACTCTCATTATGATCAGACAAACTAATAATGGTAATAATACCATAATGACCGAAAAACTGCAACGTGAAGGTATATTTGTATATACTAACACAATATAATAATTATCTGTTGGCTGGTAAAAATATTCTAAACAAGACAATTGATCACCAAAAGAGATTTTATCACTTTATTCCAATTAAACTCATAAACTACAATTAATGTATACATACATTATGTGTAAATTTGAAACTTTACATATACTAAATTTCTAACAACTCTGCAACGAGGCAATTTTTTTACCAACTATTTAAATAATAATATACGCTTCCCAAAACAATGAACACTTATTTAATCAAGGTATGAGCATCATGTGTAGGTAAAATTTTTCTTATACACAATATACATGGACACATTTATTAATGTAATATTACTTGATATCTTATTTATTAGAATCGGTATTTTAAGAATGTTTAAAGGTTATTTAAATGTGGTCATTTAAATATTAAAAAGTAAGATGCTAGATGAGCGCATGAAAAAAGATAAAAAGATAAATAGATGGTTTTTAACAAACGTTGAACCAAATAATTGAAAAGATACACTATTTGACATTTTTTAACCGTATATTTAAGACTACAAAATATTACAATAGTTTTATTTTTATAGTTAAATAGTTTATAATTACACGAATACTCAAATTATATGACATATTATTAATTAAAACTAAAAGAAAAAACGTAATTTTTTCTGGATATTAAATTTATAGGAAAGACAAGAAAATAAGTTTCTGTATAATTCAACATACTATTGCTTAAATTTTTTTAATTAAAAAATAGCATAAAAAATGAATTAATAACGTGTTTTATAACTCAAGCTGTAAGTTAAAATTTAAAGCACATTACATTACGCATATAAAAAATACTACTATACTTTTCAAGCTTTCATTAGGATAATTAAACCTTAAGCTATCGATCATGTACGAATTGCTCAGATATTATAACTAATATTGAATTTTAGATAATTGAAAATTCAGTTTTGATATGAGTTGCTTTTATAGAATATTAAAAACTGTTTTATTTACTAAACAAAAATATGTTGATCAATAGCAAATAATTAATATTCAATATGATTTTTTGAGAATTAATTTGTTAGGAGCGCAATATTGGTAAAGGATTAATATATTTTATTTCTACTTCTTCCAAAAGGTTCATTAAATAGAACCTCTATTTGTTATGTCTATACACATACTGTAGACCTAATTTATGTATGTAGAATGACAGCCGCTATCTATTTTTCATATACACAATAAGTTTGTGACCGTAAAAATGGTTTACACCCCTTACAAAATAGATTTAGTAAATTTCAAAGAAATGTCGTTAAGTAGTCTCAATTGTATAATGGTGTTAAAACGGTCTTGAACCTCAAAACCTCTAGACCCGTATTTTATATTTATTAAGACTTTCCAATTTTTGGGCAAATAAATAACCTAATAAAACATAGATTGTTCCAAATGTTTTGGCTTTGATAAATTTTACTACAGATATTAGTTTTTTAATATTTTGAATATTAATTGTTATTTAATCCTATATTTAATGTAAAGTTATTTAATTCTAATATAGTAATTTCTCTTTTTAAAAACCTTTTTTCGAATGATTTTGTATTAGGCTATAATAATGATATTTATTTTCATTTTTAATATATTAATATTTAATACAATTTCATTAATTTGGTCAATTTTAAACATAGAGTAGATACAACTAATTATTCCAAAGAGATGGGGCTTTTTAAATTCAAAAATCTTTTTTGAGAAATTTCCGAAACATTTTTTTTTATTTTAATAACACTCATTTATAACTTCATTACGAATACAATATTTTTTAGGTATATTAATTCTAAGATATTTCACTGGATTATATTTCAGTGGTTGGTTTTCACTACGATATAAATAATATTCTTATGACGCTAATGCAATTTTAGAAACTAAATCTGATAAAAATTTACTCTTCAACTAAAAATTTCGTTATAACTGACCATTGATGTAAAATAGAGTTAACAAAACAGAATTTTGTTAATTATTTTTTATTTTTAATATTAAGTAAACAAAATACATTATGTTTTTACTTACAAAATAAGTGAAATATTATAAGTGCAATAGTAAATAGTATATTATTCTAAAAGTTTTTATCGTGTTTTTATATTAAATTACCACGTGTAATTTATTAAATCTTTTATAAAAAATTAAGTGCAAAGGGTTTTAGTAATTATTATTTTAAAAAGTACTTACAACCAAGTTTTTTCATTAATTCTATCCCATCGTTATAAAATGTTCATTTAATCAACTTTGTAGCAAACTCACGAATCGCACATCACTTTTTAGTAACTTACAATATGTTTTAAACAAAATTTACCGAACTCCAATAAAAGGTTAATAAATTTATTTAATTAATTTGAAGTATTAATATACAAAATAACTGTTAACATTTAAAATAAAATTCCGATAATAACTTTTTTAATTTAAAATTTATATAGTATCAAGACGCTTCAATACCACCCACTAGTAGCTCACAAGATGTTCGCCATACGACTAACTATTCATGGGAACGGGTACCTGCAGTTCACAAGAGATACGAAACGACATCTGGCATTCCCCTTCTACCAATATCGTCGTCATAATGTAATGGTTTTATCCTGCAGTATCCTCGTCGTTTTATACATTCTAATCTCTACTCGTTTTCTGTACGTAAAACCGTGATGGCATCTCAAATTATTATTTCTTGAGTCTCACACCTATTTGACTCCCATAAATCATCAACTTAATATCTTATTTTGTCACCAATATGCGAATAGAAGTTATGTATGTGCTACGTATACATTTTATGTCTAGATACTCTTTAGCTGGCCAAGTGTTAAGCAATATGAACAGTAATGTGGTTCATAAAAGTAGTATTGAAGTTTATGAACTGAAGAAAAAGCTAACTTGGCTACAATGAAGATAGCACTGTTTCAATAGGTAGACTTTTTTGAGAAAGGGCATGTTGAAACTTAGCCCTTTTTTACTTTTAGTTTTTTGTTGAGAATATACCATTACATTTTTCTTAGTTTCAATCAAGATAAAACATAATATTCATAATTCACTAAAAAATCAGAGCAGGTAACTACTTCATCTAAAAATGATGCTCCTACCCATAAGACCGTCTATTTTTAAAAATCAACCATTTTCAGACTTTTTCTTTTACTTACACTATAATAACTATCTTTTGTCCAAATATCACTTTTCTACCTGTACGGAAAGTGCCTTATAGTTTTGATGATGAGTCTATCAGTAGCAAAAATGAAAACTTAAATATATTTCAATTTTCATATTATTTGATATTAATAGCTAGTTTTTACAGCGTTCTAAGCTACTAAAGCCTAATCTATGTTTCAAATTTCAAAAATCTATCTTAAAAGAATTCAAAGATATGGTAGTTAGAAAAATCAGACAATTTTTTCCGTGTAATAATGTATTATCATTGTTAGAATGTTGCTTGGCGTACTGTCGAATCCCAAGTCACAAATGCACAATTTGTTTTAATCATGTTAATAATTATACATAACAAATTTAAACACGTATTATTTAAAAGTCGAGTAATTAGATATTTATTTCATTGTTATTGGATTTCCCGTTTTAACAAAACAAAATGTGTCAAAAGAAAAAATTAGATTCTTTTGAATAATACAACAAATCAATTTGTCTAACGTGTAGACAAATTGACAGGTTGAATACCATTTTGCTGATATGTAACAATTAAAACAACTTGGTTCACAATCTAACGATTGCGTGATAATAATTCTATAGTAATTCCTTTTGATTTATGAAGACGAATATAGGTACAAAACGACTCTATTGTTAGATTTTGCAACAAAAAAAAAAAGTTTGATCAGTGTTTGTAATTTTTGGTCAGCCTATTATTCAATTGTTGTAACACTTTCAGTGGCCGTGACATTTTTACACGATCACTGACAGCCACGTAATTCTTTTGAAAGATGGCACCTTTATATTTTACGATTTAGAAAAATGCAATAATATCATAATATGGAATTGTATAAAATATTTAATGAAATATTAAAGCGACTTCAATAATCATTTGTAACAGTAATACATTATTAACTTTATAAAATTGTTTTTTTGTACTAAAACATTTATTTTGCATATACATAAATCTGTTATTTTTTATAAAATGGATAATCTTTAAAACAATTTTATTTATGAAAAAATAATTATTATTCTTTGCTCTTAGAATTAATTTTATACGTATAAGTAATAATATTTTTTTTAATCAAAAATTGATTTGATAAAAAAATTCTATGGCATATTAACTAATTAGATACAAATATTTAATTTCTAAAATTTACATCAAGAGAGATAATTTCTATAGAGTTCCAACATTTTACGAATCAATTACCGAAGAAAAAATACCGAGAGGACTTATTTTTTGCTTTTTAAAAATGTTGATTGATATAAGAAATCATTAAAAAAAATATTTATTTCCTTAAATAATTACTAAAATTGACACATTAGTTTTTTGAAAACAACTACAGGATTTTATAATATTCATTAATCTTATTAGGGTTCAGATATTTATGAATTTGCATATATTTTAAGTATAATCTGATTCAAGTAAGATACATATTCAATATTGTAGTCTAGATTTCAAATCTGCAAACTTATTAAGAATTTTTTACATTAACTCCTCAACATTATGTGCATATTTCAGTTGTTCTCTTGAATTTGTAATATTTCATCAAATTTAATTTATTCATATTCAAAATTGTTTCCTTAATCTCGTTTACGAATCGACTCATCTACTTGTTGAATGTCTATTATTGCTCAGCACATAAAACCACTTATCAGTTTGTATAAATGTTATTTAAATTACCAATATGTACATGTGTTCTGGTAGGTTTTATCTACGATTAGGATCTTAACTCTTGATTTTCATTAAATTAGTATTTTTGTTGAATATTCAATATTTAGTAGGGTATTCAATTTCGATTTGCCGACTTTTTATATGTTCCCATGATATTGATTATTTTTGAAATATCGCAATAATCAAACAAAAAAAAATTATATATATAAATTATATATATAAAATTTTTTTTTTGAATTTTGGTCACTTTGTTATAAAATATATATTATTTGATATTAGGCCAAAAACAGTTCCTGATCATCTGTCAAACATTTTGCAAAAAAATGTTTAATAAAGAATTTTGAAAAAAAATTAGTGAAAACGATTGAATAATAAATTTAATTTTTTTTTTTCGATTTATTTTTTCATCCGATATTGGGAACAATCTTTTTTTTTCATTATAATATCGCTGAAATTCAGTACGATATCAATATCTAAAAATATATCGTCCAAGAACACTAATATTTAGTAAATTTCAGCACGTGCGGTGTTTATACAATTTATTTAATGTATATTTTTTAATAAATAATTATGCTTAAATTTATAAGCAGAAACGTTAAATAGTTTGCTTAAGATATTTTTAATTCTGAAGGCAAAGTGTTATTTTGTAAAATATGTGAGGTTAAAGTTTCCGCTAATGAAAATTTTTCAGTAGTACAACATTTAAAAAATACAAAACTCGAGTATGCTGCAAATAAAACAATACACGAAAAAATTAAGTTCATTCGTTAACTCAAAATAGAAGTAAAATAAGATCATTCAACATCGATCTTGTACAAGCTTTACTATAGTTAAATATTCCACTTTAGGGGTACAATTTTTTTTTAAATAATGAGTTTTAAAAAAAATATTTTACCAAACATATACCCAATGAATAAACTTTGAAAAAAAATTATGCCTTCGATATTTATCAAAAAACAATAGATAAAAAACAGTCTAAGATTTTTAAACGAAAATTGGGGTCCTTGTCAACAACAAAACTATGGCTAATAAAATTTTTTCTATAGCTAATGTCAATGTCGGCATACTCAATTATGAAAATCCCGATAAAATCATGCTTTTTAATTACGAACTTAAAAAAACAAATCGTACAACAATAGCATAAATTTTTAATAGAACTGTACATTTTAGGGATAAAACATGACAACGTGTTATTGCTAGTTAGTGACGTCGCGATTTAAATGATTAAGGCAGAATGAGCAATTCTAGAACTTTTGCCGAAAATAATTCACATAACTTGTTTTTCTTGTGCATTACTGTGTAGTTGAGCAAATCGATAACCATTTGACATTAGTTATTAAACTTAATTCTTCAAAATCATTGCCTATCATATCTCTTGAAGAAAAAGGAAAATTTTTGTCAAATTCTGTTAAAGTTATTATTATGTAACATGAAAAATGACCGACAGCAGCAATTATTCTGAAAGACATTTGGCATTTATTAATTTTAAAAATATGTGTTAAATTAAAGCTTATAGTACGAACTATAAATTAAAAAAACAGTAGCACAAAGGGGTCGCGGCACAGTGTAAGCGTAGCATAGTTGGAACTAGTATAGATGAAATCTGACAATGATTAAAATCACAATCATAAAAAACGCTTCGATGTAAATCTGTAGATAGTATTTAATTTTAAGAAATTGGTAGATTATTGAAAAGAAAAATTCTGACCCAAAAAGAATTACGGAAAAATTGCAAAAAAATCATTGTTACAGGTAATGATTTTTACTGAATCAACAAACGTTCGTCGTATTCGTATTTCATAAAATTGGCAATTTAAGCTGATTCAAATGTTAAAATTAATTTTTTCGACTTTAAAGAAAAAAAATTTAAATAAGTTTAACATTATATTCTATGTCAATTAAATTTATATAATATTCATGAAAATCAGTGTACCTCCTTATAAGGTATTTTAAAATAAATTAAAATACAATACCAAGATTTTAACACAAAAATAGCATGGTTTTAACTACGGCAACCTTTGCACACAGAAGATAAGTCATCGGGAAAACTTTTTTTTTTTGAATTTATAGTACATAACATTAGCTTTATTTTAACATATGTTTGAAGCTCAGAGTATTTCCGGAATATTTTTAAAACTTAAGTTGAAAAAGTTAAATTTTTGTGCAAAAGTTGCTATTTTGAAACCCCCTATGGGCAGGTAATCGGGCAAATTTATATCAAATATAAAAAATAATTATTTTCATTTGTTCATTTTCAATAAGTTTTTAGAATAAATTTTTAAAAAAAAAATGTCGAAATTTACCCAACCCAACCAATCATTATATTAATGATATTTAGATATATTACATTATATTTCCGCGCATTGACATTTTGATAACTGATAACTTAATTAGCACTTTAGTAGAAAAGTATTGAGATATGTAATTTTTACATCCAGTTATGATGTATTGTTAAGGAAAATTAAGATAGTGTAAATGCATAATGAACACGTAGCTGTTCAAATAATTTCTTAATTTTAAATAATATTAAAAAATATGTATGCGGCCGTCGGCAAAAGTACCATAAACAAAGATTTAAATCGTGTTCAGCCGCGTCAGAGACATTTTAATATTAATAAAGAAATTATCTGATGGAGGCTTATGTAATTTTACAACAATATTTGTTGCATACGTATAATGATGTATACAACGATATAGCGATGGTGGACCGTAGATATTACCATCTTACTATAAATGCACTGCATAAGAAAGAACTATCACAATGTTGGACAGCTGCGTTATTTCAAATGTATTATGTTGTGTGGGAGCACGGAAAAAATCGTGCCAGGAGAATAGTCCTCGGCTGAAAACTGACCCACATGTTCCACCCTAACAAGACTGTAATAAAGACTTCTCATGTGGATTTCAGATGTAATAATAATGGATAAACGTATACTATACATATAAAGATTTTTTTTCTTACAGCTTGTGTTTGTAATGTAATTTCACCCACACCTTTTTGTGCTCCCTACTGAGAGTCTGGTGATCGAAAATTACGCTTCTGTAAACTAATATTCTATAGTTATTATAATTATTTATTCACAACATGTACAGGAGTGATTAAAAAACAAACTAACATCATAATAACCATTAAATTTATCTATATTGTGACTACGAATACATTTTTGTACTACTTAATCAATATCAGTTCATAAAAAATAAAAATTACAAATTTATTATCAATAAAAATAGTCATGAAAAATGAATATACTTAGTCTTTCAGATCTAATTGGCAATGATTATAACTTTTGAACCAAATATATTTTGTTGAAATATTTTTTGTAAAATAATTATTTCCTTATTAGACTACATTCAAAGCATTTTTTAATTATTTAATTTTATTATTATATTTTATTTAATAAGATACTCCAAGTTAATGAAAAAAATTTAAGTGACTCTATTTTAACTTATGGAAATGCGTTTGAAAGATAAGACTTCTGCATCGTTTCTAGCCGTTCATCATTTTCTGTGATATATAAATGCACGAAATACTTTAGTAAGTTTACACCAACGTCTTCATCAGACACTAGGTATATGTTAATCCATAAACGAACATATTCTCCAATAACTTTTTAAAAATTTAAAAAAATGATGCGTTTCTATAAAAAACATAATGTACTTGGAAATTTGTTTTTTAATTTTGGACTGGCATATTTTTCGAATAAATGGATCAATTATTTGAGGTACCCCATGTTTTTTCCAATTTCAGACTTCATTGAAGTTACATAAGTTTGGGAAGTTCAAAAAAAGATCATCGATTTTTGTTAACTTTCTAGTTGTCAATCATAATAGTTTAAGTATTCTCAATGTTTTGACTAAATGTACACTTACACATAGAAAATGTCAATGAAAAATATATACTCTCAATGTGATACCTTTATCTTAAAATTTATTTTTCTTTATTTTGATGACATTGCTAAATCCAAAAATATAACCTCGTTAGTAATTTATGATAAAAACACATTGACAACCCATTATTGTACTATGATAGGTTTAGTTAGATAGTATTTAATAATATTATTTAATTAAACAATATAAATGATAGTTTATTATATTTCATTTTATAATATAATATATAGTTGTATTATATAATATACTATTACTTTATATTATTTATATTTTTTGAAAAAAATATACTCTCTCTTCCCTCTAATTGCATGTCGTCAGAATAAAAATAATGTAATTCATTACATTATTTTTTGCTATATAATTTACAAATTGTACCTATTTTTATACATTTATGTAACGCAGTTTTTCCTTATTGATCTAAACATTATTCACTATATAACTTTTCAAATATTACTTCATACATCCAAAATGTATAATCCTCTAATGTTAACAAATAATCAAATTTAATTATACATACAGTGTATGGCAACGACATGTTTTAATCATAAAAATCATGGGATATAATTTAATAATAATATTATTATAATAATGAATAATAATTATTATTAATTTTTACTCGTAATATAAATTATTAAATATTTAATATTTTGAAATTATTCGGAAATATCTGGAACTTTTGACATTGTATATTTTATTATTCTGTTGGGATCGATTGAAGCAATATATAAGGATAATCCATCTTTAGAAATAGCAATATCATGTGGAACTTGTATACCCTAATTAAAAATAATAATTTTTGTATTACTATAATATTGTAAATTTACAATGATAAATCATCCATCTTACATTTTTAGCCAAAGGCCAATGATCCAGAATAGTTTCTGTCATTGGGTTTAAAGTAAATCCTCTAACGGGAATTAATGGTGACGTTGGACCATTCACAGCAAATATTATGTCACCTAGAATTTTCAATATTTATTTATTTTTTTAATTAAAAATAAATTATTCATATACCATGGTTTGTTATAGCATAAACTCGTCCCAAATCTGGTTCTTGTATTGTCAATGCAGCTTGTTCTTTACTATCTTTTGATAATTCAGCTCCTCTACAAACAACTCTCATATCTTCTCGATCAGCAATACAAATCAAATCACGCTGTTCAAGTAATGCTAAACTATGTGGGACTTGCAAACTTAGAAACTCTAAAATATGAAAATAGACAATTACTTAATGCAACAAAAAAATTGTAAAACAATTTGACAATTTATAAATATTTAAATTAGGTATTTTTTTAAACAAAATAATTTATGCCTTTGGTAGCAAAATGTACCAATTTTTTGTTTAACAATAATACTGCTGTAATAAAGATAATTAAAAAGAAAACGAGTAATTTTATTTGTAGTTAATAAATTAATTTCTTTTATCAAAAAACTCCAGTTAGAACAATTAATAAACAGTTAAAACAGTTAGAAAAAAAATACGAGAAATACAATTTTTTTTTGTACATAAATTACCATGATATGTTAAATTTTTGCAAGAGTATTTACTTTTGATTCACATTTTTCAAAAAATTAAGCAATTTTAAGTAAAAAAAGAATTGTAGTGCAGGGTGTCCAACTATATTTTAATAAGAAAAAAAAATTAAAACAATGAATTTATGTTTATTTTCTTCTTAGAGACAAATAATAAAAAAAATTTTTTTACTTTATTAATATAAGATGTTACTCATTAAAAACACTAATAAAAAGAAACTAGAGGTCTAGCCCTTCAAATAATAAATTAAATCCTTCAAAAAGTTAGAAATTAATATTTGTTATTTTATAAACATGATATTTATAAATAACAATTTTTATGATGGGAGAAATATCTTACGTCTCTGTGAATTTGTTTTTTTAATTTACGATTATGGAGCTACCTATGAGGTGGAAGAACCTACTTTGTAAGAGATCTGTGGGACCTTTAATAGACTCTATCCTGCCCTGCTCGTATGCAATTTCTTACATTTAAAAAATAGTACATTTGAAAATTATATATCTACTAATTTTTTAATTATTAAAATAATAATCAAATTTTATTCGTAAAAAAAAAAAACAGTACAAGTGAACACAGCAAAGATGGGACTAGTATCAATAATATCTGATAGTGATTAAAATCACAACCATAAAAGATGCTTCAACGCGAATCTGTTACTTTTTTATTGAAATAGTGAATTTTAAAGTCAAATATCTCGAAAATTGAAAGTAAAGTAATTTTTTTGTAAAATTTTTCTTAATATTTATAATATAATTTTCATTATTATAATCAGACACATAACTTTTGTCATACTTTATCTCACCATTAGCGTGTGGAAAAACACGTAATAACTCTCCCCGAGATGAGTATTTCAGTATTCTTGAATTGCAGTACCCGTCAGCTATAAAAACTTCACCAGATGAAGCAATAGCAACTGATGTAGGTTGGCAAAGTGTCCTGTAACCTTTCCCATTCTCGAATCTCTTACCAAACGTCAGTGTTGGTCGATAAGCTCCAGGAGAAAACTAAATAATATATTAAATTTAAATATTACGATTTATAATAACTAGAGTAAGGAATTATATGCGTTTATACATTTTGGATGAACTACTCTGAAGGGTCCCAAGATTGTGCTATGTAGAAATATTTTTCGTTTTGTGAGGTAGTTAAAACCCTTTCAAAAAACTATAACCTCAGTAATGACACATTACTTAGTTTTCAATTCAATTTAAAAAAATTTGTACTAGCTGATGATATGTTCAGATCAACTTAATTAAATATATAAAAGCATATCATTCCTAGCCCTATAATTGCTCAATTTTAAAATTAAAATTTATCCTATAAATGTTTCAGTTCTTATTAAGTTTTTTTTTTAATTTTTGCTTATTTATTTCAACTATTAATAATTGAATGTTTCAGACTAAAATAGCCTTAAATGTGCAGGTTGATTCAATATTGAATCACTGATATATAATTTATATATACGAGTATTTTTTTTATTTTAAATATAACATAAAGTAATGATCATTGACAGTGTTTTATAATTTATTTAGCGCCCCTATTTAACATGAGTAGAAATTTAATATACTATCCATTAAATATTCTACATACGTTAAACACTATATCATCACCGCTTACAATAACTCCCTAATCTCAGCAAAATGTATTATATTGAAATATATTTTAGAGCAGTGAATGAGTGTAACAGAGATGAGAATACTTAGATGGATGAGTGAAGTAACATCAATCATTGATAAGATGACAAAAAATAGACTTACTTTGGTCATGTTATCATGATAGAGGAATCGGAAATTATAAGAATAGTTATGACGATAAATGCTGAAGGAAGAAAAGGTAGAGGAAGACCAAAAAAGAGATGGAGGGATCTTATTTAATGCGATATGAAGACGGCTAATAAGAGCGTAGATAATGTGAGAGATCGGACAAGTGGAAATTTAGGATATGGGTGACCGACCACTAGAAGTTGAGATTAAGGTCAGGAAAAGAAAGAAAATTTATGTTTTGTTATATATAATTAATAGTTTTGTTAGTTATTATTGCTATTTTTTAGATTTGATTCGAAGATGAGTAAGTTAGTTTTTCAATGCTATGTTTTTTTTTGCCACTCCATGAAAATTCTCATCTCTCACTAAACCAATTTTAATCTATTTGAATCTATTGTCACTAAAAATTGAAAATTTTATGAGCATAAAATTTAAAAAAATATCTCAAATTTACGTCACTGTAAGAAAAAGAACTTCTCAACATTTTTTCTGCATTTTTAAACTATTATAATTTTGTTATAAAAAAAATGATCCTTCTGAAACTTTAAAACTGTATATTAAAGACAATATGCTTTCTTTTAGTATGCTCTTTGTGAAAATTAACTTAATAAGTACAATGAGGGTTTAAAAGAGACCCTCTATGAAATAAAAATATTACTTTTTCAATTTAATTTTTGAAAATATTCTGAGAGGTCTGTTTTTTGACTTAAATCAAATTTAATATTTTATTAAAGTTTTGTACTATAATATTAAAAAAAAACTCGCGATATTGTATTATAAGAAAATAGTCCCTAAAGTTAAAAATCAACTCACGAATTTTCACGACAAATTTTTAATTTCAATATTTGATTATGTTCTGTGACGTCTGCTCTATTTTAACATATTAAATTAAAACTCTCGAAGTGTACTAAGTTATTAAAAAATATATATCCCCATTAATATTGTATTGTGAGTAATCCTTTAATAAACCTTTAAAATAAAAATATCGTAATTCAAAAAAAAAATGCTTCAATTTCAATTAAATAAATAATTTAAATATCATTTAATAATCAAGTGAAATTTTAAAATTTAAAATTTTTGAAATTACATATTTACAAATTATTGTGAAATTAAACACATTCGCATCGTATTGTTTTTATGGTAGTGATATTAATCATAGTCAGATATCATCTATTATGTATACTTGTCCGAAGTATGCCACGATTACACTGTGCTTGATTTTTTATAACCCAGTATTCCAAGAATACCAGCATAGTATTCTTGTCTACTGTAAAATAAAAAAAAAATTTAAAGGATAAAAAGTACAATTAAGAACCAATTCTGAACACGTTACGCCTTACACAGTACACATGACTTGTCGTCGTTATTAATATCAAATAACTATTGTATAAGATAGTCATACAAATAAAAATCAGATATAAGTGATATCAGCAAAGTAAAAAAATGATGGGTTTCTGAATATATTTTTACCTCTGATTCTTTCATAATATCCAACATTTACGTCCTTCCACTAATGTTGATGGGTATCAATATAAGTAATATCTTATCGACTATCGAATAAAAGTAATAACACTTACATTTACGTTACAATCTATGTAGGTATAAAATATTTTGTATAAAACCAAGTACAACAATTGAATAAAAGAAAATATGATTTTAAGCAAAATACATCTTATGCAAAAAAAAGGTCATTATTGATATCTAATATCCAAATAAGGAAAAAATTAAATTCAAATAACAAAAATACAATTACTCCACTCCAATTTTTATTTAAATAAAAAATAAACATCGCCACGATGTTAAAAAAGTTAGTACCCATAGAAAGTATAATGATAAATACTTTAGAATTAAAATTAATTAATATATATATAATTACTTAATAATAATTACTTAGAATTAAAAATATTTATTAATTAATAAATCAAGAAATACATGAAAATAAAAATTTCCAAAAAAGATTTTATTTAAAGATAAACCGAATTGCTGTTAAAATAATTACCCTATACTTTTTACCTCAATTTATTATAAACCTTTGGTAGCTAGAACATTTTTTTGGAAAGGGCAACTACTTCCTTTTAATAATCATAATAAAGTGTCATTATAATTGTGAAAATTCTCCCTGAAAAAATTTATAAGTCCACTTATTTAATTTTTATAATTTTTGTAAAAGGAGAGTCATATGGAATACCAACTCCCTCCTCATTATTCAGTTTGACCTAATGTATAGTCAAAATAATTTGAAAAAAAGAATTTCAAATAAAAAATTATAATACTACGAAAAATGGTGATTTCATTTTCAAAAGTTGAATAAATAAATTTTTGTGCAAAAGTTGATATTTTGAATCCCTTTTTATAGGCAATTAAGTGTTAGATTTTCAAAAAATATATACCAAAATCAAAGGAAATACCAAAGGTATTTATAAAATACTTTTTTTATAATTGTTTATTTTTCAAAAAATTATGACAAGTTTAATGAAAAAAAGTTTAAAGATGATAAAATTTGCTGGTTCTAAAAGTTGTAAGTTTTGGAGGCATTTCGTCCATTTACAGGGAACAAGGGAAATTTCTTCAATTTTTTATGGAAATATCTTCAAATAGATACAATTTATGATCTTTTGATTCGTCGTTGAAAGAAATTGGTTAATTGATACCTTTTACAGACACAAACTAACTATAAATAGTAAAATAATAAAAAAAAAACCCATCACGGTAAAATTATTACCTTTTCAACTTTGCATCAAAACTAATGTAAAAATAACTAAGATAGAAATAAATTATATTAACAATAATTTTAATAAAATTGTAAAATGCCCTTACCTTAAACACTTGATGCATAGCGACGTCCGTTACCCATACATTCCCTTGATGATCAATTGTGATACCATGAGGCATATAAAAGAATCCTGCACCCCAACTTGATAATACATCGCCTGATTTAGGATCAAGAGTAACAATGGTATTTGACAAAATCGGACCTTCTTTAATATGTTGATAGTGATAAGTTTCATTGAAAGAGCTGCATATAAAAAATTATGATTATATAAAATTAATAATTACAGACTAATATTTGTAAAAATGTATTTTTTACTTGACATCCCATACACGACTTCCACGATGAAAAATCACAGGTTGACCTACTGTATTTATAGCCACTCCACTCACTTGTCCTAAGCGTGGTATTGGACTTTTTGGCCATCCTTCAACTTCAATAGGTCGATTTATATTAACTTGTGCCTAATACATAAAAAAATTTTTGAAATGCTAATAAAAATTAAGATATACTAGGGTAAAGTGTTATAGCCATTTTACCATTAAAAAACATCTAGATTAAAGTCAGTATATTTAATATACGTACAGAATAAACATTGGTTATTCTGTTACCTTAAATGAGTATTTTTACCATTTACTACCGTAATTTGCAATGCGCAAAGTAAATTTACGTGTCTAAAGTTCTAAATATCATTTTTGACCTTAATTAAGACTATTCTGAGTTAAGGTCTTTAGCGATTCTTCCTGTCATTATCATTTCTCAATCAGTACCCACCCCTTATAAGTATAAAGAAGTCTCTGCTATATCTATGGACACGAAAAAATAATAAATATCGAAATACATATTCGTTGGGTTCGTACAGAGAATATTTTATATTCTTCAAACTTTTGATACAATTAATGTATACTGTAATTTTTTTAAAAATAATTTATTAAATCTTAAACTTCTTTATAAGCATAATTGTTATAATTTGTAATTAATAAGAAAAAACTCAAAAATTAGAAAATAATAAAAATAAATATTTTGAAAACATTTTAAATAAAAACAATATTTTTTATTTTTATTATTAGGATAAATAATATAATAATATATACTTTATATTATATATTATATATTTATATTTTGTATAAATAATATACACTTTTAGCATAGTTCAAAATTAAAAATTATTAAAAAAAAAAAAAGTTACACTAATTACCTACCTAACATTTTTTAATAGTAATTTATTAAAGATGTCAGAACATAGTAGGAAACTATACACCGATACCAGAAACTAGAAGTATCGAAATGGTTTCCTTATTATGACTGTAAGGACACCTATACTCTAAAAAAAAAATATCACAATTTCTAATAAATATTGAAAATGTTATTAACGCATATGTTATAAAAAAAAAAAAAAAGAAGAGGTAGAGGAAGACCAAAAAAGAGATGGATTGATGTTATTGAATGTGATATGAAAACGGCTGATGTGAGCCTAGATGATGTGGTAAATCGTGTCAAGTAGAGGTTTAGGATCATCAGGAAAGGCATAATAAAAAAAAGATTATTATCTATTTTGTTGTCGATATGAATTCCATTAAAATCAGTATTATTAAAAAAAAGTTTCGAAGATGTCTTTTTTACAGTAGCATAATTTTGAGATATTTTTCTAAATGTCTAAAATTGAGAGGTATATTTCAATTTTCGGTAACGATTGGTTCAATCTAATTAAAATAATTATTTATTGTATGACGGCGACGATGTTACACTAAAATTGGCTATTATGTTACCGATACGACAGCCGTACATTACAATTATTAGTAGCTAAACAGGACAATTTAAAGTAGTGCAAAAATTTTAAGTCGTTTTTCTTAACTTAAAAGAGGCAAAATTTTAAAAATATGTTTAATATAAATTCAATGTCAGTTAAATTCGTGTAACTATTATAAAAATCGATGGTTCCATAACTATGGAAACTTTTATTATGAAATAAAAAAAAAAATTGAACACAAAAATAGAATGTTTTTTAACAACAGTAGACATTTACACATAAAAGTTAGATTATCAGGACAATTTTTTTTTAATTTATAAGACGCATGATTTCAGCAACATCTTAAAAAATAAATTGAAAAAAAAAACTTTTGTAGAAAAGTTGTCATTTTAAATCCCTCCCGTGGGCAGATGAAGGGTCAGATTTATAAAAATATATGTACCAAATGAAAGGTAAAGACATCATGCATCTAAAAGAAACTTATATTGATTTGGTCATTTCTAAAAAAGTTATGTCAGTTTTAAGTAAAAAAAATTGAAAAATTTTGAAAATTAACGATTTTTAAAATTGTAATTTTTTTGGAGGTTTACCCCATTTACGGGGAACGAGGGAAATTTTTTCAATTTTTGAGGATAATGTCTTCGACTAGATACGATTTGAGATCTTTTAACGTATCGTTGAAAGAAATCGGTTCTGTGAGAGCTGAGAAAAAGTGGTAACAGTCACAAAAAAAAAAATAAATAAAAACCACATTATAGTAAAACTAATACCTTCTCAGCTTCGCATCGAAGCTAAAAATTAGAATTAATGTTTTTTTTATGGAGTAGAGATTATATAATGTATATCAATATCATATTTATAGTTATTATATATGAAAAAGCTGTACTGAAGCTATTTAAATACTTAAGAATAACTTAATCAAAAATTTAATCATAAGAATCAACTATAAATATGACTATAAAAGTCATTAAGATCAATGTACAACACATTTCTTAAGTCGAAAACAATATTTAGTTATTTACTATTGGTTCATAGTTTATTTATTGTAATTTAATGGTTGAAGTATTAAAATAATAATTTATAATCGAAATTTGAACATAAATTTTAGGTTGATAAATTTAATCTCTTTGGTATCTAAAATATTATATTAATTTTCTCGTATATTTTTTGTCGAGAGAAAACTTTATTTCCGCAGGCTCTTCAATTTGTGTATTAGATAATAATATTTGATTTTTTCTTGTCTAATTAAAATAGTATTATATTTATGGTGTGTATCATATTTTCATATAAATTTGAGCAGTTCCACCTTTGTAAAATTGTTATTTTATTCAAGGCACAGTATACAGAATGATTGATTTATTATAAATCACGTGATTACTCGTAAAATAAATGCAATGTTGGAAAAACAATTTTTGATTTCTTTAAGTTACATATTTATCATGATTTATCATCAAATGATTAATTTTTAGAATCATCCCTTATTTACTTTGTACATGTGAATAAAGTAGAGATAAGCGTCTAATTTTTGTGCGATAAAAAATACTAATGAGGTTAAAAGATTAGTTCTATAATATTGTAATGAAACCAAATATGCTGTATTGATCAGTGTGTTGGGCGGTTGATGAGAAGGATTATATAAACACGCTGAGTGGCGTGAGAAAATATAGAATAAATGTTTAGGAGGAAGCTTAGGAATAGCATCGATCCTGAATAATATGAATCAAAATAGTCTTAGATGGTTTGGTCACGTTACGAGGAAAGAAAAATCGGAAGTGGTTCGATGCAATTAGGTGTGATACGAGAACTGCTTTTGTGTGTATAGATGACATAGAAGATCGTATCAAGTGGAGATTTAGGATACGGGCGAACGGCAACATGTAGTTCAGTTAAATCATGGCTGACTTGAAAGTAAAAACAATCCATACAATCGACAATGACATAATTAATAGTTAAATTACATTTAAATATAAAATTGCAGCAAAATGATTGTCCGAGGTTGGTCTTAGGAAACCATTTTACTTTATATCGGCTCTGACCTTTATGTATTGTAAAAGATTATCACTAAAAAATGTTGAAAATGTCTAATAATGCATTTCTTCAACAATACACGAGTAACGAGTTATTTGTAAGTCTAACTACTAAAAACAGGTAAAATTAAACTCTGCTTTTTATTAATTTAAAAACAAGTACCTCGTTTAAATTTGAGTCTATCTTATAAATTCTATATTTAAAGTTATCTATGTTAATTATTTAATTATATGAATAATGATGGTCAAAATTATAATTATATAGTTGAATAATTATTGCAAGTTCTTCCTTAAAATTTTTTTCAATCATTTTCCAAGTAAATTCTGGAGACAAAAAAAAATATATACTCTAATGATTAATGTTGAATCCTTTATTTTGCTTAAAAATTTTTTTTTCAAAATTTTCTGATAATATATTATACCTAATTTTATGTATTAAGTATAAACAAATAAAAGTAATTCATTTTTAGTTTACGTTTAATGATAAATATTATGTAACTATATATTATAAATCAGGAGCCGAATAATTTTGGTTTTTGACAATTTTTCTTATGTCTAGTAGATTAGTTCATCTATCTATCGATTTTATTTAGCACATTTTTAAAAAATTATTACTGAAACCAAAAATAATTTAAAATTGACTTTGAAATTTTAATTGAACTTAAATATTAAAAGTCAAATTTAAAGTATTGTTAAGTTTATAAAAGCAATTTAATAATAATGTTGATTTCTAAAGTTATTAACTTTCAAATTTCTTGAAAAAATTAGTTTTAGGTCAACTAACTTACTAGATATAATAAAAATTTTCGAAAAACCAAAATAATTTCGGCTTTAGTCCTGTTCTAAATTATAATTTAATAAAACGACGCCTTTAAAAATTAATACAAAAATTTTACTTGTAGAGGTAATGCTATTGGTGGTATAGCAGCATCATATCCATACACGACTCTCTTTATTTCATTATAAAAGTTGCTATCTGTGGGCCAACCAGACACTGGTAATAACAAATTTCCAATAAAAGCTACAATGGTAATAGTTGGCGGACCTAAAGAAAACCTCATTGTCTCTTTACTTATTTTATGGTTAAATACAGCGAATTTATTAAAATTATCTAAGAATTAGTACAACGACATCGACAACGACGTCGACGATTTCTTTGGCCTTGGCGCACTGTAGGGTTCAAATACTTTCTGATCAATATCCATCGAAATCATTTGAACACTAGATTGCGCTCTAATATTAAGTGATTACTGTATTAATTAAAACTATATTTACTATATTAACTATACAATTAAACAACGTATTAGAGAAACGACGTGAGTCACAAAAACTCGAAGAATGATTTATTAGTTGTAACTTTTTTTGTAAAACAGAACTATTATTTTTGTTAAAATTGGTGATAAAATTATTTTTTAGAATTCTCCTTTGGTCCTCTTTGTTTGAAATACTGATTCAACGTTAACATATAATGGTAGTATAAAAACTGTTTTTAATGTACTCTAAAAATTACATGTTTTCAATTTACGTCGTTTCTCAAATAAGCGGTTCAATTTCAATTTTTTAAATAAAAATATAAAAACAAAATTTAAAAACTGTACATACAAATTATTTATTAATGTATATTAATAATAATTGGAGCTATAGAATCTATTTTCTTTAGTTATTAATAATAAATATAATTATATATTTATATAATAATAAATTATTATATAAAACCGATAATATTCAAAATCGTTTTTTTATGTACCGAAAAATGTTTAAAAATATTATGAAACGTCAGCACAAAACTGAAAAAATGACTATATTTGTAAATATTTTTAATGATATTATATCTTTTATAATATTTAATTATAATTGACTATTTATGTTAAGAATTATGATTTTTTGTAGCTCAGTGAAAATTTATTAAAAAATGCATTGTTTACAATATAAGTAATGAATACTAAAAATACATTTTTTATTTTACTTTCCTCTGAAAGGAGCTTAATCCCGATCTCTCCTATAAACAAAAAATTGGCTCGCTAAGAATATGGCGATAAAAATAATGTGTCATTGCAAAGTGATTCCTTTACTAAATCTTATTTGATATTTCTAAAAATATAAAGTAAAATGATGATCGATTTTAATCTAAAGCCTTAATTAGATTAAAATCAGCGTAAAACATTTAAAAAACCTCTTAATTTTAAAAATTTAATAATATACAAAGTGATTTTTTTATCATAACCCACTCAATTACTTACAGAATAATAATAATTAAAAATTTTTTTTTTATTACTATCTTTAGTTACACATTATTGTTGTATTATTAACTATGTAATACTTTTTAAGTTCATCCCTTATGCCTGGTAAGGGTGTCAACTTTGTTTTTTTAAATGGTAACACGTATTTTTAATTTAATAAAATTTTTGAGTTTTTAATTCAATAATAAATGGCATTTAAATTTTTAATAAAACTTAATTTGTTTATTAGATATAAACATTTAAAGTTTCAAATTTTTGAGTTAATATATAGGTATAATGCACAAGGGATTACAAATACAGGTAGCTAATTGGTTTTTTATGATATTGCTATCACAGTCACGGATTGTTTATTATCAATTATGACTATCAATAGATATACTTTTTGTATTGTCAGTTAGTGTATTTATAAACTCACAACAATGTACCTTACTATCATTGATAATAACAATGATGTGTACCTGCTAATATCGATGTCATAAAAAATTGAGCTGATTTGAAATAACGATTTTAATATAATAATTGTTGCAATAATGTTTATGATATCTAGTTTATTTTAGTATAATAGCATTATTAATTTTAAACTACTAATAACATTATGAGTTTTTCTGTAATCATTTTAGTCTGGATATTTATTGAATACACTTCGTATAATGCATTTTCTGTAAATTAAAAGAAAATGTACGTTATTTTAAATTACATAGTTTTAACAATTATTTTCAATATTGATATCTTGCATAAATTTTTTAATCTTGTTAAAAAGATTTGTTTTTTTTTAAGAAATATCTACACTGATATTAACTTATTTGTTAAGACATACATTAAATACATATAGATAGACCACGCCGTACACAATTTTAGCAGTCCAATTTTTATCATGAATGGACGCAGGGAAACGATGCACTGGACGTAGGCGATTGTGCTGACAGATAGCGTAAATTTTGAGTGCTACTATTGGTTGATATATGCGTGGTATTTTAAATTTTTAATAATTATTAAATGAATGTATGATGCTCATAATTAAACAGTTATTGTTATACACGTTAATTGCATTTCATGTCATTAAGTAAGGTATTTTAAAATTTTAACTCCTTGTAATTATTTTTTCATTGAAATTTAATTTAATTTTGTATTTTTGAATTCTATACTAAGAATCCTTAATAGAACCTTGACATAAAATATGGTATTACAGTACAAGACTAAACTGTTGGCCTCTAAATATTTTTATAAATTATTTTAAACAGAAAATAGTGGCAGATATATTATTTTGTAATTAGGATGAGTTGAAAAATCTTTATGATAAAAATCATCCTTTTTCTTGCGCTTTATATAGTAAAAATCCCAATCAATTAAACTTTCTAAAACAAGCCAACATTATTATTATTATTAGATTAACACAACCTATTAAAAGATATGGAGTAAAACCTCCATGTTTTGATGGTTTGCTATGGAGTATCAATACTGTTATAATGTTATATGAGCAACAGCAAAATTTAGGATACGATTATTTAATAACTAGTAGGTTAAACCAGGATGTTTTAGAAAACACTTTTTCAGTTTATCGTCAAAGGGGAGGTTTTAATAAGAATTCTACGGCTAGGACTTTCAGGACATCATTTAGAATTCGAGCTAAACACAATTTAATGAAATCATCTGAAACCTCAAATTGTGAGCTAGATGATGACACTAATATTTTGGATTTACCTTTATCTTCCACTAACGACGAAACTACAACTGAAAATCCTATCGATTCCGATTATAGTTCAGACACATCTGAAATAGCTTCCTTCTCTAATTCCTGTCTTACTATACAAGAACAACTGATTTCTGTTCCTACGTTAACAAGACCTGCTCAAATGTATATTTTGCAGGGCATCTCGGTAAAAAATTATTAGGTAAATTTCCATGTAAAAATTATGAAAGAGGATACAAATTTTTTTAATGACAAAGAATTTTAAATTTTTTATAAAACATTCCAAACACAAAATCAAATAATTACTAGTAAGTTGAAAAAACCAAAAGAAATTTTAATACATTTTGTTAATTTTGTTAATTTTAATACATTAATGCTCAACAGGTAATTCATCATTTTTTAAATGAAAAGTCGTACACAACACAATTAAGTTTTAAATTAAATAGTATAATCACAAATGAATTATATCCTATTGTAAATAATTCACAAGAGTGCTTGTCACTTAGAATATTTAACTTTAGCTTTAATACATAGTAAACATTATAGAATATTTAATTTGAAGTCAACATTTCATAAGATGGGCTTCGCGGATAAATTAAAAATTCTAAGAGGAAATTAATATTATTATAGCATGAATCTACCTTAACTTCTTATTTTATCATTTTTAGTGATCTGAACTTTGGTTAAAATTGCTTTATTTGTTTGAATATTTTTTTCTAAAATATTTATAATTTGTTTTTTTTTTAATATTTCATTATATATTTGAAAAATTTAATTATTAATTTTATACATTAAAACCTTATAAAATGTGTAATTATTAATAAATATTTCACTTAGACTTGATTACTGGTAAGTTAAGAAATTAAACACCAAATAATATAAAAATCTTGACAGTGGACAAATCGGTAACGAGAAAGTTGTATGTAATAAGTTAAGATTCTCAACACTAAGAGAAAATTAAAAAAAAATATTATTTTTATTTGTTCATTTTTGAAAAAGTTATGGCAGTTTTAAGTACAAAAAACATCCCGATAAAAGGTAATTTTTATCGCAAACATTACATTTTTTTTTAATTTTCGACAGCCATTTGCACATAGATGTCGGGACAAATTTTTTTTTTTCATTTGATAGTATATAACATAACCTTTGATTTAATGTATGTTTAAAGGACGCAGTATTTCGGGAACATTTTCAAAAGTTCAGTTGAAAAAGATCTATGTTTTTTTACAATATTTCAAGTTTTGAACGCCCCCTATATAAGGGGAAATTGTCCAATTTTAATAAAAAGTATGTCAAATGAAAGATGTACTTATAATGTATTTAGAAAAAAAAAATTTGTACTGATATATACATTTTTCAAAAAGTTATAGCATTTTTAAGTTGAAAATTTAAAATCGAAAATCGAAAATTTTAACACAAAAATAGTGTTTTTTTAACTACGGCAGCCGTTTAAATGTAGAAAAAAAAGTGTCGGGACAAATTTTTTTTTTTCATTTTGTAGTACATAAAATAAGCTTTAATTTTATATATGTTTAAAGGACGCAGTATTTCCGGAACATTTTCAAAAATTAAGTTGAAAAAGTTATTTTTTGTAAAAAAGTTACTATTTTAAATCCTCCCAGTGAGCAGAATAAGTGTTAGATTTTCAAAAAAAATTATATCAAATGAAAGGGAAATATCTAAGGTTTCAATACAAAAAAATATTATTTTTATTTGTTCATTTTTGAAAAAGTTATGGCAGTTTTAAGTACAAAAAACATCCCGATAAAAGATAATTTTTATCGCAAACATTACTTTTTTTTTTAATTTTCGACAGCCATTTGCACATAGATGTCGGGACAAAATTTTTTTTTTCATTTGATAGTATATAACATAACCTTTGATTTGATATATGTTTAAAGGACGCAGTATTTCCGGAACATTTTCAAAAGTTCAGTTGAAAAAGATCTATGTTTTTTTACAATATTTCAAGTTTTGAACGCCCCCTATATAAGGGGAAATTGTCCAATTTTAATAAAAAGTATGTCAAATGAAAGATGTACTTATAATGTATTTAGAAAAAAAAAATTTGTACTGATATATACATTTTTCAAAAAGTTATAGCATTTTTAAGTTGAAAATTTAAAATCGAAAATTTTAACACAAAAATAGTGTTTTTGAACTACGGCAGCAGTTTAAATGTAGAAGATAAAGTGTCGGGACAAATTTTTTTTTTCATTTTATAGTACATAAAATAAGCTTTAATTTGATATATATTTAAAGGACACAATATTTCCAGAACATTTTCAAAAATTAAGTTGAAAAAGTTAGTTTTTGTAAAAAAGTTGCTATTTTCAATCTCCCCTAATGAGCAGGTTAAGTGTTAGATTTTCAAAAAAACAAATAATATTCAAATTTAAATCAATATTAATAAAATAAAAACACACATTATATCGAATTTGTATTTAAAACGAAAAGTTACATTTAAATCAAATAAGCAATCGCCTTTGGTAATAACTGGTTCTTATCTTAATTTGCGCTAACGTTGTTAGCCGTACATCAATAACCGCGGCTATTACTTGAATATCAACAAACTGGACAGTTATTATTAAATATTTAATATTTCTCAAAAGGATATGTAGCGTACGGGTATGAATTAACAAAATATCGGTTGCCAATTGTCTGAATACCGTGGCCTATCTATGAGTATTTAATCTATAGTTAAGAGTAATAAATAGGTTATAAGTCTATGACACTACGTATTCCCTTTTATCATAGTACCATGGAAGAAACAAATAAATAAGCTTTTTTATATTTTATAGTGAATACCTCTACTCATCTCATGATGAAGACACTAGTTTTATTTAAAACGTAGTACATTTATTAACAGTTTTAAGAAAAATATACAATTCAAATGTTTTTATATCCATCAATAATTATTGAACTTTATATGACAGAATTTATAACTTAAAGTAGTCTAAGATTAATGAATTAATTTTTTAACCTTGGAGATGACCAATATCTGAAATTTGATTTAACACAAACAAACCTCTTATCATTATCAAATCAGATATGTCCGCGTTTTAAAGACAGATAAGAGAAGTAGATAAAATTGGAACAATTTGTCAATATTCAAAATTTTGTAATTTACACAAATGGGTAAAAAAGTAAGTTATATTTTACCAATTTTATTAAATATGACAATTACTCTGTCGTTATTGTTTATATCTGGTCCGTCGTAGAAGAGTTAATTAATAGAAACCATGATATGGTTTTCACTTTTTCAACCCAAAAGGGTAATGAAAACATATTACATTGCATTCATGTTTCTTGTTGGACTATTTTCTTGTGTTATTTTGCAATTGATTTGGCCGTATATTTCAATTGATAAAAAGGAACATAAAGATCTTATTTTACATCGTCCTTTTTCAATAATTGATTTTGACTATCATGAGTTAGTAAACACTGACAATACTGCACGTGAATTGATCATCAGAGATACTGATATAGAGTCTATTTGTAAGTTAAAATTTTTAAGCTTCATATTTTATTTATAACCATTTTTAGTCTTAATCATAATTTTTATGTAGCTCATCAAGATAATGTTGAAGCCTTAATGTCATTAGTGGCGGCAAATGAGATGAGATTGATGGGTAAAAATGAAAAAGCTATGAAAATTATAGAACATGGAATTGCTCTTTCACCAAAAAATCCTGACTTATTGAACTGTTATGGAGAATTCATCGAAGAATTGCAAAAAGATGTAATGAAAGCTGATCAAATGTATTTTCAAGTTTGTTATTTTTTTTATTTTATTTTTAAATATAAATATACAACACAATTATTATAGCATGAAGTACTATAAATTTGAAAATTTTATTTTATTCCCAAGGAATATTTGACGTATTTAAAAAATAAAAGTTATACAAAAAGAACGATATTAAAAGAAATATTTTATTTATCCTATTAACATTTAATAACTTTCTTTGGGAGCAATATTGGTGTTGAATTACTATTTCCATACTATCATAGTATTTTAAGAAACAAAATATCGTAACTTATCTTTTTTTTTCTCGCCTTAATCACAACTACTTGGGGTCGGCCATCCTTATCCTAAACTTCTATTTGACACGATCTCCCACATCCTCTACGCTCACATCAGCTGTCCTCATATCACAAAAAAATAAAAAGGAAATATGTATTTTATTTATTATTATTTTTTTTTCAAAAAGAATAAATTTCATATTTTGAACAGGTATATAATTTTGATATATATACCTGATATTTACCTCCTATTTTTATTTATTTCTGTCGAGAATATTTCTGACACCAAGTACTACTTTTAATTAACTAAAAATTAGGTTAGTGAATATTGTTAAAATAAAAGAAAGGTGTATTTTGTCAAAATGTGATGATCAGAAAAATATAAATATGAAGTTATAACTCTACTTTGGAGGCTAATGTATATATATATATATATTGTCATCTATTATATTGTATATATTGTCAATGTTTGAATTATTTATATATTAGTATGTTTATATTTATTATTTTAATATAGGCACTTGTTCATAGTCCAAAACATAAAGGTGCATTGAGAAATCGGAAAAGAACTGAATTAATTGTTGATGATTTAGATTGGCAACAACTCAAACGTATTGATGAAAAAAGAGATAAAGTAGCATCTATATCTGATTCCAATGCAGCATTAAGACGCGCCAAAAAAGAAGCTTATTTTCAAGTAAAATAAAAGTTATTAACATTATTTATATATCAAATAGTGATTGAAATATTCCAAATTAAAATTTAGTGTTTATATCTCCCCATAAAAATTGACTAAATTACTGTAATTATTTCTATTTCAAAATAATTTAATTAATTAATTAAATTATTGTTTAATTTAAAATCAGTGTACTTTGTTGTTGTAATCAGTATATTTTTATTGCATTACAAAAAATAATTTAATGGTCAACATCTTAATTACTTAATCTTAAATTTAAGAAACATATTGCCCTCTCTCAATTTTTTTTTTTATACCTTTTTTTGATTTATTGCCAAAATAAAAGAGTGTTAGAGTCTTTATTTAATGTGTTGATCATTTATTTAGAAAATAAAGCCGTTTTTGATTTTAAAACAAGTTATTGAATATGTGATTTTAAAATAAAGATTTCTTGTTTTTAGTCCTATAATGAAATAAAATATGATTTTTTAAATATATTCTTTGTAAATAATGAATTTGTTAACAAAATTATATTTTATATATCCATTAATACAAGCCTATTTGTTATAAGCAACAACAAATGTATATTTTTGTAAATAATACAACTAATCATAGTTAGCATGTTGAGTTATTCATTATTTATTAAATTATTAATATAGGTAATTTAAATATTTGTTAATTACACTAAATAAGCTAGCATAGCTGTTATTATTTATGTTATAACATAGTAGTTATTATAACATATAGTATTATATTAATTTTAGCATAATTATTTTTAAAAGCTATGTGTGTTACTTATATTATTTTATTAATATTAAGTAATAAATATTGAAATATATATTCTTTATAGCACATTTATCATACTGTTGGCATTGAAGGTAATAGAATGTCATTGTCAGAAACACGATCTATTTTAGAAACTAGAATGGCGATTGGTGGAAGAAGTTTAGCTGAACATAATGAAATAATAGGTCTTGAAGCAGCTCTTAAATATATTAATTCAACATTAATTAATCAAATTGGACAGATATCAGTTGACGATATCTTACAAATTCACAAAAGAGTTATGGGATTTGTTGATCCATTTGATAGTGGAGTTTTTAGGCAAACTCAAGTAAGTCATTTAAATATATAAACCCATATTGGTATGATAATATCAATGTGTATTTTTTATCTTAGGTATTTGTTGGTGGTCACATCCCTCCAGGGCCATCACATATTGTAACATTGATGGATAATTTTTCAAAATGGCTGAACTCTGAATCTGCACTTCGATTACATCCTGTTAGATATGCTGCATTAGCACATTATAAATTAGTACATATACACCCATTTACTGATGGTAATGGACGTACATCACGTCTTCTCATGAATATGATTTTAATGCAAGCAGGTTATCCTCCAGTTATTATTCCTAAAGGAGAAAGGCACAAGTAAATCATATTTAAGTAAATCTATACAATATTTAAATTATACTTTAAATTTTTTCTAGTAACCAAACCCCCAAAAAAATATTATATTTAATAGTTAACCTGCCAAACTTTGTTTTAATTGGGACCTAAATAAATCAGTTTTCAGGGAACAAAATTTTAAAGCACTAACCAATTTTTTCAGAGAGCCAAATATTATAATTAAAAAAAAATTGTATGATATATTTATTCTATAAAAATTTTAATTATTCAAGAATACATACCTCAAATTAATAATAATAATTACCAAAAATAAGTTGATTTATTACTAAAAATCATTTTTATGCAATAGAGATATGACACTTAAATTTTTAAAAAATACAATAATTAATTTCTTCGTCATTACATCTAAAATACATGTTATTCAATTGGCACACATTTTTAATTAATAGGATGTGTATTGTTTAAATCCCTGAAGTAATGCACAGAGAAAACTAAAGTGTGTAGATTTTCTAATAGTTTTTGGGTTTTTGTAATAATAAAATAATATATTTGATATATAAATTATGTTAAAATGTTGACTATTAATAATACTATAAATACATATAATTCAAATTGTTTTTTCTACAATTAAAACTAAAATACAAATTTCATAATTCAGAAGACACATTTTAGTTTTTAGAAAACACTATTTTGATCTTCCATATATCATCATCATCATTAACTTGATACAAAAATAAAAATTGAAAAATTAACTATGCTTGGTTATTACTGATAAAATTTTATAGAATAATTCATTTATCCTAAATCACTTATTTAATCAAAAAATCGAAAAAATATTGATAAATTTTTTATTTGTTTTTTTAGTTTCATGTTTTTTTTTTCAACTTATCAGTGATAAAGTATTTTTATTTTCATCGCTTATACTTTATAAGAGTATCAACTTTAATTTTTTTAATGTCAAACCATAATTAACTAGTTCATTTAATAGATAGTGATATAATTAAGAAAATAACTAATCCAATTTTTGGACCAGTATTTCAGTAGTTATTAACAATTTAAAGTAAAGACTGTAAGTGATGCTATTTATCACTAGACATTTCTTGACCTCAATCCTCGTTCCCTTATGGTATAAAAATATTATTTTTATTTTTCAATTAATTACTACTAGTTATTATAACTATCATTTTCTATTATTGGTGTAATAAATTTTGTCTTTTATACTGTCATTGTGCTTAGAGATTATAAGTCTGTAGTCACTGTACTAATTCATCTAAGCACTCTAATTTCTGCTACACTCATTTTCTGCTCTATTCTCTTGTCAACGGCCTAACATTCTGAACCATACATCATAGCTGATCTCACTACAGTCTTATAGAATTTACCTTTCAGCCTCATTGGAATTTTTTTATTGCAAAGTAGTCCAGACGCTATTCTTCACTTCAACCGTACTTAATCCTGTGTCTTATATCCTCGTCAATACCACCGCTCTTTTGCACAACTGACCCTAAATACTTAAAACTTTCCACCTCTCCAATCACGTCCTCGCCTATTGTCATTGATCTCATTTCACTTACCTTGTGTTCTCCTTTATCAAACTCATACTATTTATACACTGTCTTCTACTTATTCTTAAACCCTTTTCTTCAAGAGCTAATCTCTATACCTCTAGCATTTGATTAATGTCCTCTCTATTTTATCCTATTAACATTATATTATCAGCGAATGTTTTTGTTTATTTAAATAATTTTTTAACAAAATTTCATAACCAAACCTTTTAACATCATATTATGATATTCAAAGGTTTCTGATAAGGCACAATTAATAGTTTTAGTTCCATTTATATAAAATATTGCATATAAAGTACTTGTTTGTTGAAACATTAATACCATGAACGTAAAATGACTAATATTATAAATGTATTAATTTTTTTCATTATTTTAATTTATTAATATTTTTAAAATATTTAATCTGTTGATTATCTTATTGATGTATATTTTAAAAAAATTATTCAAATAAGTAAAAACTTTTTTTAGGTACTATAGAACTTTAGACCTAAGTAATAAAGGAGACATTAGACCATTTATGAGATTTATTGCTGAATGCACTGAAAAAACTTTAAACCAGTTTTTATTATCCACATCAACAGAATTTACAACTAATATTCCTGAAATAGATTATGACAACATAATTTTAAATTAACTTTATCTGTGATATTTATATGTTTTTTAATTTTCTATTAATATGTTATTTGACTTAGTAACCATGGTACGTATGGTGCATACTGGTGCAAATTTACCACTTATAATTTTTATTTTATTATACCTTTGTAGAGTAATATTAAGTTAGTAAAAATTATTATGTATAAATGTTTTATTATGAAAAATATAACTCGAAATATAAATAATACAAAAAAATATTTACCAACTGCGAAAAGTATATTCTTTTCAAATTTAAGAACTTTATATTACCTATATATTAAAGTTAATTAGTCATAAAATTATTCTGTGATATAATTTTTTTGTTATTACTAAAATAGTTAAACTACATATTTCTCTGGTACTACTTTTATAATTATTATGTATAGTATGAATACATTTTAATTAAATGTTCCTGTACATTTTCAATTAAAAATTAAAGAAAATATCATTATTTTTAGTTTTCCAATCCAATTTTAGTTTACATATTGCAAAATACATATTAAACTAGTTGAATTGTATTAAATATTTTGTTCGCATTATGAAAGATGATTACTTGAAAAATAAATTATTATTTTATTATTATTATTATTTAATTCACAATTAAAAAGCTCAGTTTTTTGATAAAAATTCAGTTGTATTATAGTTATAATTTTTTCTTCAAAATGTTAAGTATTATCTACAACATATGTTAATATATAAACAGATTATGTTAATTACATGGTGTTATTTTTTTATACTAATATTATATATATTTTCATTTTAGATTTCTATTTTAATTTGACTTATATATATATATATATATTACTAAACAAATATTACAAGTACAATTTTCTATTTGACATAAATTTACTTGATCAATATTGTTTCAACGTTCAAATAACACAGAACAAAAATGTGTAAAATACAACATAGTAAAATTAATATCTTCTTAGCTTTGCACAAAGCTAAAAAGAAATATATTTTACCTTTTTTCGTCTATAAAAAATTATTTTTTATAATGAGAATTATCTTTTCGGTGTTGTTCTAAAACTTATAGGATTTTATTTTATTGTAGCAATCGATATCAATTTTATTTAGATCTAATTCTCCGAGTCATAATTTAAAAAATCAACAACTATGGTAAGTGCTGAGGACAATTTTCTAAGTGTGTATGTTCCTAATTGGAATTAAGAGGAAGTCGGACGGTCATTGTCATGCAACGTCGAGGCGAACGTGGCGCAGTAGACGGGCGATAGTATATACGTTAGTAGTTATTATACAGTATAACAGCAGCCCCTGGAATTTTTCATCACTAGAGGACGGTCCGTGTTTTAGCCATCCCCCCGAAATTAACTAATGTCGCAATGTATTGACCAGAGAATATTTAGGAAAATTATTATCACATATTGTATTATTATTGAAAACATCAGGGAAATATTGTCTCGGAGGAATTATCATTATAAATAACTATAATATATCATCTTATTACATGGAGTGTTCAGTAAGTAAGGAAATGAGTATTTATTGTTCTTATTGTTTGTAACAATTTACCTGTTTCCTTCTTACTAAACACTGTATAATAAAATATTAAAAAATTAGCCAATGTTGGAAAAATTACTTAACCCTTAAACAGTCGCGTGGGGGTCTAGCATACCCCCACATAAATAAAAACGGATATATTATATTGCATAAAAGGTGTACATAGATATAAATTTATAAGATGGTTTTTATAGTGATATTGAATAGATTTTCATAAATAAATACCTTCGAAAAAAAAATCTATGACTTAAAATATCTATCAAAGTCGAAATGGGTCATATTGACCCCCATGCGACTATGAACGTTATAATTTTTTTTTTGGATTTGTATTTTTTTCAAAATATCGTTTTATCGTAAATGCAATGTCATAATCGATATAATATTGTGGAATTGGGATTATGTGGATCTGCCACCGTCTGTGCAATTAAGTTTTAAAAATAAATAATCTATTGAGAATTTCCACTACTCGACGATACGGAACAAATACGAACTAAACATGTAATAAATACATCCCGTCGCAAAAAACACATCGATTATCGGTGCCTCATTTACAATTATCACTATTCACATTTACCCCTCCTGACCCTACTCGTATTATAATAATTAAATTGTATTGAAATATTAATAATAAAATAAATTCAATTCAGAAAAATGATTATGTAAATGTAAATACACATAAAACTAGTAAATATAAGCCGTGTTTGAGCTCAAAGAAATACAAGAAAAATTAATAAAAATACATTTTGTAATAGTAAAAACTTTTATTTACCGTCTTAAAAATAAGATTTTGCAGTTAAAATAATTTTTTTACAAACCAAAATTTTTTAATGAAATTTTGAAAATTAAGTTTTTTTTTTTCGTAATAAAATTTTTAGTAATGCACATAATTTTGTCATTTATTTATTTTTTAATTTTAATTTTTTAATTGTTATCCATATTTATATATCATATGGTAACAAATAATGTCTTTGAATTTAAAAAAATGAAATTTTTTATACATATTTTATACTTTTTTAGAAATGGGGTCTATTAGACCCCCACGCGACTATGAACGTTAAAAATTGGTAAAAACCGCCTGCTTAAGGGTTAATAATGTCCGACTTTCAAAATTTTTATATTTAATGAAAGTCTCTTGGTATACCAATTCAATGACTAACCAACCTGATAGTGCAGTAATATAATCATTGGAGGTGGAATAGGTCTAAATGACGAAGCCTAGATCTAATATAAAATACTACCATTAAAATAGTAATCATAAATTAATTGATTTATGTTGTGTGTCATGTTATACCTAAATATGTATTAAATAATAGATCTTACAATTTATTATAAACAAATATATAGTTATTGTTTTATTTGAAGTCTTTATTAACTCTTTATCTATCATAAGAAATTATAGTTCCCTGTATATTTCATTACTAATATGTCTTTAAAAAATTAAATGATTGATTCAGAAAATAATTTGATATAAACTAGTCTATAAAGAATTTTCAACAATGACAAAAATATAATTTTTAAAATAAATTTTTCCACTGATTATAAATCTGCAATTAGATTTTTTTTATCGTCTCTAATTTTAATATTCTTACTAATTACTAAAAAACGAATATTTACATATAAAAAAAACCAGCATAGGGGGCACAGTGGTGACGTGACATAATTGGGTCAAGTATAATATCTGACAGTGATTAAAATCACTATCATAAAAAACGCTTCGATGCAAATCTTTAGATAGTGTTTAATTTTAAAAAATTGGTGGATTATTCCAAAAGCTACATGATCTACTATTACCTTATTAAAATCTTGATGAAAATAAAGTATGTCGAATGAAAATGGGATATAAATATTATTTCTCATAAAAAAATGTATCCATACACTTTTCAATAAGTTATAGCATTATAAAGTTAAAAATGTAAAAAATAAAATCGAGAATTTTCACACGAAAAAAGCATTTGGTAACTATTTTTACCGTGAAGACAAAATAAAGTCAAAATTTTTTTTTTCCATAATAAAGTATGTTACATTAGCTTTAATTTAAGATATATATAAAAGTGTCAAACTTTCCCGAACACTTTCAAAAGTTAAGTTGAAAAAGTTGTTCTTTTAAATCCCCTCCTGTGGACAGGTAAAGGGTCAGATATATAAAAAAAATATATCAAATGATAGGTAAACCAATCAAGTATCTATAGAAATAAAATTATATTGATTTGGTCATTTTTAAAAAAGTTATGGCAGTTTTAAATAAAAAATTTTGAAAATTAGCGATTTTTAAATTTTGTATTTTTTTTGGAGGTTTCCCCCTTTTACGGAGAACGAGGGAAATTTTTTCAATTTTTGAGGATAATGTCTCCGACTAGATTCGATTTGTGATCTTTTGACGTATTGATTAAAGAAATCGGTTGGGAGATTTGCTAGTTGTGTAAAGAATACTGCAGAGAATATTGTTGGTGAGAGTAAGAGTAGAATGCCAGGAAATAAGGAAATCTTGTGGTAGAATGAAAACGTTAAAAAAATCATAAAGAGTAAGAAAATGTAGTTTACGTATGACAGAAGAGCAAAAGGAGAGAACATTGGATAGAGTATAAACGCATGTGCAAAGAAACCAAGTGTGTGGTAAGCTAGGCAAAGTTTAAGAAGTATCATAAGTTGTATGATGGGTTAGGAATAAACGAAGGCGAAAAAGAAATCTATAAATTTGCAAAAGTAAGAGAGAAAAGGTCTAAAGATTATCATTATATAAGGTGTATAAAAAGTGTTGATAATAAGGTACTTTCGAGTGATGATGATGTGAATAAAAGGTAGAAAGAGTATTTTAAAAAATTACTAAATGAGGAGTACCCAAAAGAGACATTAGAGGATATCTCGTGGAATGAGTGACTGGTAGATTTAATTAGTGAGAAAGAGGTATGGGAGGCTGTGGCATCAATGAAAAAAAATAAAACAGTAACCAGATGAAATGCCAGTAGAAGTATGAAAATTTTTAATAAAATCTTATTAGAAGGGAAATGTCAAAAGAATAGATGAATAGTATTATGGTACTGATATTTAAAGGTAATGGTGACATACAGGAATGTGAATATTATAGAGGCGTAAAGCTTATGAGTCATAGTATGAACATTTTGGAAAAGTAATAGATAAGCGAATAAGAAATGAGAAATCGGTATCTTAAAACCAGTTTGGATTTATGCCTAGTAAGTCAACAATGGAGACAGTATTTTGTGCGAGGCAACTAATAGAAATGTTTAGAGAATAGAAGAAAAAGTTGTGTATGGTATTTATAAATTTGGAGAAAGCCTATAATAGAAAGCCGAGAGAGGTTTTAATGTGGGTATTAATGATAAAAGGTATAATAGAAGATATGTATGATGGCACTTGTACCAGGTAAAAAACGTAGGAGGAGTAACAGAAGGTTTCAGGTAATAGTAAGAGTGTACCAAGGTTCTGTTTTAAGCCTTTACTTATTCTCTATAATGATGGATGAAATTACTTGAGAAATACTAGGAGAAGTGTTGTGGTACATGTTGTTTTCTGATGATATAGAAAATAGGGAGGAAATTAATCAAATGCTAGAGGTATAGAGATTAGCTCTTGAAGAAAAGCGTTTAAGAATAAGTAGAAGACAGTGTATAAATAGTATGAGTTTGATAAAGGAGAACACAAGGTAAGTGAAATGAGGAGATCAATGACAATAGGCGAGGACGTGATTGGAGAGGTGGAAAGTTTTAAGTATTTAGGGTCAGTTGTGCAAAAGAGCGGTGGTATTGACGAGGATATAAGACACAGGATTAAGTACGGTTGAAGTGAAGAATAGCGTCTGGACTACTTTGCAATAAAAAAATTCCAATGAGGCTGAAAGGTAAATTCTATAAGACTGTAGTGAGATCAGCTATGATGTATGGTTCAGAATGTTAGGCCGTTGACAAGAGAATAGAGCAGAAAATGAGTGTAGCAGAAATTAGAGTGCTTAGATGAATTAGTACAGTGACTACAGACTTATAATCTCTAAGCACAATTATTATTGACAATTTAAATGTCAATCTAGGCATAAAGATAAACGGACAAAAAATAACTATGTTACGTTTTGCCGATGACATAGCTTTAATTGCTGAATGCGAGAAAGATCTGGCTCAACTAATTAAAGCTATGGATACAACATTCGAAAAAGAGTTGGAAATGAGAATAAATGCGAAGAAAACAAAAGTAATGGTATGTGAAAGGAAAAATAATACAAGAATACAGATAAAAATATGAAACCAAGCAATAGAACAAGTAGATGAATTTACATACCTGGGAAGCGCTATCAGCAAGGATGGAAGAAACAGAAGTGAAATTATAAAACGTATCTGTCAAGCTAAAATAGCCTTTAATAAAAAGAAAACTATACTTACATCAAGAAGCATGAGTCTAAAAATAAGAAAAAACCTATTAAAGACGTATATATGGAGCATTGCTCTGTACGGGTGTGAAACCTGGACAATAGTAATGGGAGAAAAAAAAGACTTGAGGCGTTTGAAATGTGGTGCTATAGAAGAATGCTAAGGATAAGTTGGATGGACAGAGTAACCAATGTAGAAGTACTGGAAAGAATATTAGATGAAAAGTTACTATGGAATAACATAGTCAGAAGACGCAACGAATGGATAAGTCATATAATATATCAAGTAAGTAATGTATCAAGTGGAAATTTAGGATAAGGGTGGCCGACTCCAATAAGTTAGGATAAAGGCGAGGAAAATAAAGAAGATGATTATTTAATTCTTAATTCATTTATTTATGTATTTATGTTACTGACTCATATTTTTTAATTTTAATAATGAAAATAAATTTTTACCACCAAGACAATATAGAGGTCACATATTTTTTTCAATACAAAGTATATTACATAAGCTTTAATTTAATATACAGAGTGATTTTTTTATCATAACCCACTCAATTACTTACAGAATAATAATAATTAAAAATTTTTTTTTTATTACTATCTTTAGTTACACATTATTCTTGAATTATTAACTATGTAATACTTTTTAAGTTCATCCCTTATGCCTGGTAAGGCTGTCAACTTTGTTTTTTTAAATGGTAATACATATTTTTAATTTAATAAAATGTTTGAGTTTTTAATTCAATAATAAATGGCATTTGAATTTTTAATGAAACTTAATTTGTTTATTAGATATAAAAATTTAAAGTTTCAAATTTTTGAGTTAATATATGGGTATAATACACCAGGGATTACAAATACAGGTAGCTAATTGATTTTTTATGATATTGCTATCACAGTCACGGCACAGAATAGATTAAATCTATTCTGTGGTCACGGATTGTTTATTATCAATTATGACTATTAATAGATATTCTTTTTGTATTGTCAGTTAGGGTATTTATAAACTCACAACAATGTACCTTACTATCATTGATAATAACAATGCTGTGTACCTGCTAATATCGATGTCATAAAAAATCAATTAGCTACCTGTATTTGTAATTCCTTGTGTATTATCCCTGTATATTAACTCAAAAATTTGAAACTTTAAATGTTTATATCTAATAAACGAATTAAGTTATATTAAAAATTCAAATGCCATTTACTATTAAATTAAAAACTCAAACATTTTATTAAATTAAAAATGTGTTACCATTTAAAAAAACAAAGTTGACCCCCTTCCAAGGCTTAAGGGATGAACTTAAAAAGTATTACATAGTTAAAAATTCAAGAATAATGTGTAACTAAAGATAATGAAAAAAAAAAAATGTTTAAATTATTATTATTCAGCAAGTAATTGAGTGGGTTATGATAAAAAAATCACCCTGTATATAAACATAAGTATTAGTATTTTCAGAACATTTTCAATAGTTATGTTAAAAAAATTACTTTTTTGTGGAAAAGTTGCCATTTTGAATCCTCCTCTATGGACAGATAAAGGATCAGATTTTCATAAAAATAAACCAAATAATAGGTAATTGCCTAATGTATATAAAAAAATAATGGTTTTGATCCATATATTTTTCAAGAAGTTATGGCAATTTTAAGTAAAAAAAAAAAATTTCAAAAATTACCGATTTTTTAAAAAATATTAAAATAAATATAAAAGGTCATCATGATAAAACCTTGCAGCTATTCAAGGAAGTTTTCATATCCCCTGACATTCCCTAAATTAGCCATCGGACGCAAATATATTTATTTTCAAAAATACCGTTATATCGAATGATTTTGATAGAAATATCGATATATAGTTGCCATCAATATATTTTTATTACTAAAGACTGAATAGATAAGCATGGGCTTGATTGTGGAATTGAACTTTCATTTGATGTATTGAGCGATAATACTTTTGAAGAAAAGTAATAACATTAAAAAAAACTTATTATCTCAACATTTTAACGTTTGACATTACACAATCATACATTTAGTTAGAATATGTATATTTTTTTATTATTACTTGTAATCTTTAAAATATTTTTATAATATATATCATCCGATTTATTCCCTTTATACCGCTACTGGTTTCTGTTACTTTTCGATAATTTGTAAATAATAATTCGATGGCCTAAAAGACATGGAAACGTTTTCTATCGATATGTTTTATAATTTAGCAATGTAAAATTTCTTATCAACATATTTATCACAAGATTTACGTTATAGAATATTTACACAACTTATGTGATAATATACTCTATATATCTGTATAATTGCATTGTTTTACTATATATTTATGTAAATTATCTCCTCATTTAAAAAAACTTTTAAATTTTAAATCAATTTTTTAACTCAATTTTACATTTATTGTACATTATTCACTTAAATATTTCATATCATTATTCAATCTGTTAAATCATTTTATTTATTATACTAATTTGATTTTTATTTCATAAAATATTTGTTTTATTTTTTATTCATCAAGAAAACTGTTACGTGAAATTATGAAATTATCATTATTAATTAGTATATTAGCATTAACTAATCTTTCCAAGGTAAGAATCATTCAATTATTAATTATTTAAATTTTTACTGAAATTTAGAAAGTGCATGTTCATTTTATATATGTAACTCAATGATTATTATTATGACATTTTATTATTAATGTTGTTAGTCAAAGAGTTAACTTTTTACATATACTAAATGTGTTTGTACAAATTAGGCCCAATTGTTTAAATGCACTTAGGCTATCTTAAATTTTCCAAGTAGTAAAATTTTTATATTTATTAACATTTGAAATTCTGCATCACCATGTGCCTAGATTTTTTACCTATTAAGGTTGGGCAGTTTCTGTGTTGTTAAAATGAAGTTGGTAAATCTTATATAGTGGAATAATGTGACTTTATTGTGTATCAATCATTAGTTCTCTAAATTATTTATCCAATATTCCATCATCCTTCATCTGTGATTTCTAAATTATTTCTTTTGAGTATCTTACTAATATTTTCTATAAATATAATTTAACAAACACCACATAACTATACTTAAATTTTAAAAAAATTTATAGAGGAAAATTTAGTTCTATTTTTTTAATTACTTAAAAATTAAAAAAACTTCATGAAATTATGTCAAATTAGGTAAACAGTTATGTAAAAATCACTGACAAATTTTTTTATTTTGTATTAGTCATTAAAAATGTTAGATACGTTCCTGTTTACTAATAATTCATTGTTTTAAATATTTTTTACTAAAGTCAAGTTGATGACATTGTGATGTCATGTAACCCAACCCCACCAACCCCTTGTGATTGATCCTAATTTACTCTCAAAACTTATTGCACCATATCTACAAACTGCATTCTAAAAATAATAACAGACAATTGTCGGTCTAAAATAATACTATGTATGGAAGCTATAAATAAAAAAAGATAATTTTAATTAGTTTTTATTGTTAATTTTCCTATCAACATTTATTAGAGGTATAATTCTATAATTAAGTTTAATTTTTAAAATTTTTTTAAATATAATTAAAAATTTTTTAGTCTGAATCATATGAAGATGCTAGGTGCAAATGTGTTTGCAAAATAGTAAATGGCACGGAAATGTATAATAAATTATATATTGCTAATGTTCTTCCAAGCAAGTAAGATATTTAATTTATAATGGGCTCAAACAAATTTTAACTTAAGCTTCTATAAGAAATTAAAAATTTATTTGAATGTTGTATGAAGTGAAATGTGAACATGTTTACAGATGAGTTCTGACATTTCGGACTCATTGCAGAGTCCATCTTCAGAGTGATGGTTACTAGTCGGTGGCTACAAATATACAGATGAACTCTGCAATGAGATCAAAACGTCAGAACTCAACTGTAAACATGGATATATCCTTAAGCACTTCAAACAACAAGACAATCCATGAAAGCTTTAACACATTCATGAAATGTGAACTTATGAAACTGATAAATTACTAAAAATAATTTAAATAAAAGATATGTGATAACTTAATTAGATTATAGTAATAAATAAATATAATAATAATAATTATATATATAATAATAATAATAATAATATTTATATATAATTATTATTATTATTTTATTAAATAAAATAATAGTCATTACTATAATTTGTTAATCTATAAATTGATTGTACAATAATTGTTAATGACATTTTAAGAAATAAACATAATATTTGAACAAAAAGAAAACTTCATGTTTCATATTTTTAATGAGTATAAATAATCTTCAAAAAATTAAAATTTTCCGGTAGGATTATAAATAGTACAACAAAATAATTAAATGGTACAATGGCTATATAATTTTAAGTACTTAACAATTTGATTAAATATAAATTAATTTTGCTTTCAATAAGATTATCATTGTTTTTAGTGATTGTAATGGAGTTAGTTTACCAATTTTTGGCGAAGTTAACAACACTAAAAAAGAATTGTGTCCTCAATGTACATGTATTTATGAAAGTAGAAACACTACAACTATGAAGGTAATGAAATATTATACTTAAAAGTTTATTTTAATTTTTTATTCAAAGTGTTTTAAAATATATAATTTTATATATTTTTCCTAGGTTAAAAAAATGTAAAATATGTAATTGAAATTTTAAAAATGAGGGAATGAAATATTATTTTTTTGAAAAATACATTTTTGATTAATTTATAATTTTTATTAATAATAGTTTAAACATTTGCTTCGATGATCACATTTTTTTTTAATTTTTAGAGTAATTTCTTTAACTAGATACAGTTTGTGTTTTTTACATATTTTTAAACAAAACCAGTCCAGTGAAATCTAATAATAGGTAGTGACAGAAAAAATATATAACCATGGTAAAATTAATACCTTTTTAGCTTTGCATTTATAGATGCAATACTGTACTTTATTTATTAGATTATTAGTTAAGTGTATTTTAGACAATTTTTTAATTTTAATTAAAATTGATTGATATCTGATAGTAATTAAAATCACTGCCCTAAAATAATTTGATATGCGTAAGAAAATTATAAAAAAAATCAGATCTACCAAAAAACAACATATTTTAATTTAGTATTTGATAATTCATAGAAAATAAGTCACTGGGAATTTTTTTTTATTATATATTACATTAAAATAATTTAGAGTAATGTAAACATTTTGTTACTTTACAGAATATTAGAAAATCATATAATTTTATTAAAACTTTCATACTTTTTGTCATAAATGTCCAATTACTCCTAGAAGTTATGATTTTATATAGTTTCTTTTTTAATCTTAAAGTTCATTATATATGATTGTTGTACATAATACTTCCTCAGATATTTACTACATGATTTAATTTAATGTAGGTTTGCCAAGAGTAAGTTTTTGGTACATTATAAAATATTTAAAATGAAAGAATTTGATATGATAGTTATGCTCGCTTTCAGTACTTTGGTAAAAAAAAAGTATTTTCTAAAAAAAATATGTTGAAAGTAAGGTACTTGTCTTAAGTATTACCACTGAAAATTATACTTTGAAATATGAATAATTCAAATAGTTAAAACAATTTAAATATAACTAGGGTCAAGTGGGGTAAATGGAAATTGGGGCAAAAGGAAAAAAATATTATTTAAAATAAATTATTAGTGATTATAGAATTCGGTAATATTATAACCACAGTACACATAAGGTATAATAGTGTGCAATGATAAAATATGGAAAATTTGAGGATATGTATAAATTGTTATTACTCGAAAAAGTGTTTACGATTATTTTAGATTATATTTTCTGCTCAACGGCTTTTGAGAAGGGCATCTTCATCAAAAATATAAGTAGAACAGTACAGTTTGAACTAAATTGTCATTTCATATTTACTTATTTACTATACGGCCCTAAAACTAGTTTAATATCAATTTTTTCTATGGAATTATATTTTTTTTGTAAAATACAAAATAAAAATCAATTGGGGTAAATGGAAATTTGGTTTTGGGGTAAATGGAAATATTAATAACAAATATAATTTGAAATATTACGATCTTTATCATTTTTTTTTCAACTTCAGAGTGCGTAATTATATCAAAAAAAACATATTATCAGTTGTAGAAAATAAAATTTCATTAGAACCTTAAACGTCAAACACTTTTATGGACTAAATTTTTCCAACATCAAGTAATAATATCTCAGTAAACCCAAAAGATATAATATCTATTTTTTTCAATTCAATTAATACAATATAAAACTAACAATACAATTTGTGTTACAAAAGACCAAGTTCCTCATCTTAGAGTAACAAAGTATGGTGAAGTTTTAACAAATAAAAATGTGTTAAAATAATTGGAGGAAGCAACCTCAAAGAAAAAGCTAATCAAATATCCTAGTAAACTTGGGAGACATAAGAAAGCTATTAAAGATGTACAAAATATTGTGTTGGAACAATCAATTGATAATATTGATGATGTAGTTTATCATTCATCAGAAGATGATTATAATGACAATTCATTAGATTTAAGTATTGAAGAAGTTTTATACAATACACCAATTTGGTCTCAAATAAAACCTGGAGTATTTCTTTTAATAGATTTTATTGGAGGGAACCGTAAGAAACAAAATTTTAAGTATGTATGTTTAGTTAAACGTATAGATGAAGATGATGGGGATATTTTAGTCCGAGGATTAAAAAAAAATAATGAAATTGGAACTGATTTTTATATTGTTGAAAATGACTTGTCAGATATTACAGTAGAGATGATTCTTGCAATATTACCAATACCAACTGAACATAAGAAGAACAGAAAAACGATATACACATTTCCTGGATACATAAATGTCGATAAAAAATAATCAGTTTAGACACTATGTTACATACTTATTCATACATTAATTTATGTGATATATTTTGAAACTAAAAATGCTGTTAGTTTGTTATTTTGTATATAATTTTTACTTTACATTGTTATTTTTTATGTTAAATTATTATTATCACTATTATATGAAAACAAAAGACTGTTAATATATTTTGAAAGTTTATGAAATAGTAAGTAAGCATTAAACTGTACTAAATTATGTTAAAATAATAAAGATTACCTAATTATTTGACTAATTTAATTGTAATTTATGTAATTCAAACAAATTTTCATTTGCCCCAGGCTTATAACATTATCAACTATACTTTAATTTTCATTTACCCCATACACAATATACTATTTGGGACAAATGGAAATTTGTAGGTATCGAATATATGAAATAATATAATGGTAGCTGTAACAGAACAATTTCATTTGCCCATTATGTTTGTTCAATATAACACTTGCTGTTGGAAATAGTTATTTTCATTTACCCCAGAAGTATGGGGCAAATGTAAATTTTTTATGAAATTTTATATTATTTTTTTCTCTTAAAATAATCAACTATTTTAACGTTTGATTGAAATGTTAGACACATATTGTATATAGTTAAATAGTTTTTATCTAAACCAAAATTAAAAAAAATTATTACTACATGAATCTAATAAAAGTTGTAAAACATGTAAATTTCATTTCCATTTACCCCACTTGACCCTATTATTTTTACCAAAAATGACATGAATATCAATTTTATTGGGGTTTTAAATAAATTTATTTTTTATTAATGGTAAAAAAAAAAATTTTAAGACAAATTTTTGAAGTGTTACTAATAAAAATTTTTCAATTATCTGTTCAGTTTTCTATGAATTATTTCAATAAAAATTGAAAACTAAACATATCAACTTAGATTTAACTTAGTTTTATGAAAATTGTAAATTTTTGGAACATTTCTCTTAATTACCAGAACTGAGGGGAAATTATTGAAGTTATGGCTCTGATGGGTTCAAATAGATATGTTTTATAATCTTTTGGCATATTTTTGAGCAAAATCGGTACAGTAGGAGCACAAGTATTGGCATACCACACAAAAAAAAAACGGCAAAATATATCAACAGCTTCTCAACTATGCATAAAAGATAATAAGGGTTCCTATATAAAATTTTAAAGATGTAAATGAAAAAAAATTATTTAACTGCATATTATTGATAAATTATTTAAATTTAATATTTTTCTCTTTTAAAAAGTTAAAAATTTTCTAAAGTTTTTAAATATTTTACAATCACTCTGTATACAATGTATACAGAAAAATGTATGTATACTATACATACATTTATTTTTAAAAAATCAATAATTATCAAAATTGTTGAATTAATTCAATATGATGTAATCCTTGAAATATAACATTTTCAATCCATGATAAAGACTATTGGTCTCTTGTTGCAAATATTATGTGAAAAATAAAAACTTATTAAAAGTAAAACATAATTTAAAATACTCATTTGACCACAAAAAATATACTGTATAAGACAGGGAGTAAATATTTTGTAAAAATACTCATTCCTACTTGTTTAGCGTTAAAAGTGTGCTACCCGTGTCACTTTTTTATAATATTTACATAAACTTACACTTAACTATTTATTTATATTATCAGTCAATTTGAAATCCAAGTAAAACAAATTTATTTAGGGTGATTTTATAATAATGATACACCCCAATAAAAATAAAAATAATATTTTAGGTACTTATCTTAATTTAACTTTATATTTATATTATTTTTTTTAATAAATAAGTATTGCTGTTTATAATACTTGAACATTGATTAGGAAAATTGTTTGGATAATGTCATTGTTCTGTATTTGACTGCAAAATCTTGCTTTTAAAACTGAGAATGTAGAGTAAAAAATAATTAACAATTTATATAATTTATTTTATTTTGTAGTATATGACATCAAAACTAGTTATTCAATTTTTTTGTAGCATCTTTTTTAGGGTAATAATGATGGTTGTAACCCCTTCTAGAACTTACTTCTACCTGCGTAATAATATATTATTAATAAATACAAAAACACAAATTTCCATGAAAAATGAGGATTAAAGATTATTACTGGACTCTTTAATTGTGATGTTAATTTTTATATGGCTGAACAAGTTACTATTTTATTTAGAAAAAATTTCATGACATATTTTCGTTATTTAAATTTTAAGTAGTTATGTATTAGGATTTTTCAATTTCCTACTTAAAATTGAAATAAAGAATTCTTCAGATTATCATTTTTCTAATGATATTTACTTGCTGCAATACAGTAGTTTAAGTATATATTTAAAAATATGAAATAACTAATAAACTATAACCAATACATATAACATATTTAAAATTAAAAAAACATATTGGTAATAATGAAAACCCAAATGTTTTAGCATATCATATTAAAATTTTAGTCACTTTTTAAAAATTTAGTCTTATTAGTTACTCTTTTTAATTGTGACAACTACTTTCAGTCCTTTGCTGTAAAAGTTGTTATTTACAGGAATGATTTTTGGCTGAAATTAAATACTTCTAGTGTATTTTATATATTTATAACAATCACTAAGTAATAATAATAATAATGAATGCGTTTAACAAAATTTCTAGGTAGTTGTATTAATTGTTTTATGTGTTGTATTCGTTTTGGTATCGTACATGTTTTTCCTGCTGTGCCTGGATCCCATGATAAGAAAACGGAAACTAGTTGGCGCTTATGTAGAGCACACCAATGAAGAGGTATGTTCTTTATTGGAGCCAACCATGCCTGATAACGATAGTTTTGTAAGTCCAACCATTTTCCTCCCAATTTGTCTCATGAAAAAATATTAATAATACATCTTTTTTTCTATATGTGGTGAGACAAACACATTTTAAATTTATTATTACATTGATGCATTTGAGCATCATTACTAGTTTCAGAAAATTACAGAAATAAACATCAAATATAAGTATAAAATATTATCAAATTTTTATATTAAATATGAAGTAGTTGGACTTTTATAATATATATATTTATTTGTTTGCTTGATATTTTTATATTATATATATATACATTAATTGCCTTATTTATAGTTTTAAAAACTATCAAACACTTATTTTAAATTTTAACTATCATAACTAGTCAAAAAAGTACTAAGATAATTTAAATTTAAACTTATTAAGTGATTTTAAACACTTGAAACTTGTATCATTTTATTTTAATTTGTGTCATATAATTCAAACTTTTAAAGTTTGAAAAAGATATTTAAAAATTTTATAGAATCCTAAAAAACTGTAAAAGACAATAAACTAAATATTTTCTTTTGATTTAATTTTGATTGATTGATTAAGGCTAATCAATGTTAGTAAATATATAGATAAAAAATACTATTATTTCTTGGCACTGTGGCATAAGCTGATAGAGCAAATTATATAGTTTCATTTTACTATAATAAAGCTTTTTAGTTAAGTTAAATTTACTTAGCACACTATTATATATTTTAAAATCATTTATTTAGTTTCAATTTGTATTATTTATTTCTATAAGATTTTAAACACTTTTTGGTGACTGTAAAAATAAGACTAAGTAATTTATATATGGTTCCAGATATTTTAAGAATATCTATATTTTCCTATTTTATTATTAAATAAACTTCATAGAATTAAAACAATTTTTAATTAGTTAATTTAATTGTTACTTTAAGTTTGACATCATCTAAAATTTGTTTATGAAAAGATATTTATCTATACCAAAACTTTTTTTATGGTTGGATTTATACAATCTAAAAATATTTTATATAAAAAATATTCTAAATTAGTTTTTTTATTAAATTTTCTGTCTTATATTTTTCAAGTTACAAAAGCAAAAGAGTGAGAATTAAATAGGCTCGGATAGGAAAATAAATTGAGGGGGTCATTTTTTATTATAATAAAATATCTTGACTTTTAAGGTCATTGGCCATATATTTTACAAATAAAATATATGCATTGTTTTACATTTTGATTTCTTATTAATATTTATATTTACAATGGCTACAATACATTAATTTTGGTTTGTTTTAATAAATTATAAGGTTTTTAACTATATTGTGAAGTTGATTTCCTAAGATTTTTTTATAAATTTACGAGCAATATTGTAGTTGTGACACTCATATATATTATGTGTTTTGACTGGGTTTTCTGTGCCACACATAGAGTAAGATTAAGGGTTTTTCCTTTGCATAAGTTAAAGTGTGTTAGCCAAGGTATCCAATTTATATGTGAGTATGAATAACATTGTTTCTTCTACTGCTACTTGTTGTTTGGTTAGACCGTTTTTTTTTTATTTGTTTTATTTTTCTCAGTTAAAATTCTTTAGATGATTTAAAAATTCCTTAAAATTTCCATTTTATTTACTATTCATACATTTCTTTTGTAATAATATCTTTTATTAAGTTAATCTTTAATAAAATGTATAGGTGTTTACAGTGGTTCGTTATCTAAACAAAAATTTTATATCTATCATTTAATTAATTCGACCCCAAATCTCCACCCTAATTTCACCTATAAAGAATTATTTGATTTTCTGAAAATACCGCAGTAACATGATTATGGACAAATGTAATTGTACTCTCAGTTTTCCTATAATTGTAAAATTTGTTACTTAAAGATTACTTATTAATTGTTTTCGTTATATGGCTTGTTATTAAAAACTGAGTAATATGTATAAGATGTGTAATTACAAATAGGAAAAATTTTTGAAAGACTTGTAGTTTACGAGTAATTAAGTAATTTATGATAGCAGAAAAATGAGCATAATAACTAGTTAATATTTCAGTGAAATATTAGAACATTTACTGAACAAATAATCTTTCATTTTTTTAATATGAATTATATAAAATTAAACAAATATATTTTTAAAAATTAACTTAAAATATTTTTAAAGAAACATCTAAAATTTTATCTGAAATTGCTACTTATGATTTATTTATTATATTAGGTGGAACAATATTTACAATATCTTAGGAAAATATTTATAAAATAACTGGAACTTTGAAAATATAGTAATAAATGTTTAAAAAAATGTCAAAGCTATAAAATAAATATAATTTATAGATATTTTTTAGTAAATTAATTATCTTGAGAGACTGCTAGATTAAATTATGGTATTAATTGAAATATTTATTCATTATTAAAGTATTTTCAGGTATATTTATTACTGTATTTATATTAGTTATTAGCAATGTGTGTGTAAGTACTTTTTATTACATAATTTTTTGATGGCATGTTTTGGTTTGAAATTAAAATATAGTCTTATAAATTGTGTTTTATTTCTTTATATTTAAATATATGATATTGTAGGATGATTTGCCAACAGCTGTCACATTAGACTCTAGAGGAAGTATTGATCCATCTACTTCAGGTAGCAGTAATGTTTTAAACAGATTTGGTCATCAACAAGATAAATGGAAAAAACAAGTTAAAGAACAAAGAAGAAATATATATGATCGACATACTATACTCAATTAATAAATAAAAAATTTTTCTATATCAGAATGTTAATATATTTACAGGGTGTTTAGTAAGTAAGGAAACAGGTAAATTGTTAAAAACAATGAGAACAATAAAAACCCGTTTCCTTACTGAACACTTCTGTATATTAATTTCATCTTATTTATAATACTGCATATTGCTTTTTCAAAATTTTATATTATTATTCATTTTCACTTCTGTTTGGATAAACAATATGCAGCGAGTTTCATCTATATCTAAATAATAAATTTTGTTTTTATTATCTAAATAAATTAATATAAATCATAGTATATTATTTACTTAACAATTTATTAAACCTATTACATAACCTGATTAACTAACACAAAGTTAGTCTTAATTAGGATAAGTTTCTTACATAATACTATTCAATACAGTGATATATTTATAATGTATATGGACTTTCACTAACATTGACATAAAGTTATGGTAATGAAACTCCTTACTGCTCTATGTTCTGAAAATTATTTGATCTTCTCTACTCATAACAAATTTCTAAATACGATTTGAAAATAAAATAATCTATAAAAACGAAAATTAACGATTATTCACTCAAGTAAATTAATATAATTTTTTTATTAACTATTTTCATCCATAAAATAAATTCTGACATAAGCTTAAATTTGTTATTTAAGGGATGCAAATTTTGTCAAAAATAAATAATTTTAATGTACTTATATTGCGTAAGCTTACCTAGGTTAAAAGTTTTACAAGTGCTAATTTTACTTTGCTCCATCCTAAAAAATGCTTTTATATAATTATTTACAAGTTGCTATTTGTTAGCCAAACAAGCAACACGTTTGTTTTGTTAATCGTGTATGTGTAAAGTTTGTCATAAAATTAAAAAAATGGTAGCACAGTGGGATCACGCCGCAGTGTAACGTTGCATAGTTGGGTCCGTATACTGCCGTGCTAAGCAAAAACAGGATAACTCCAAAATAAAAAAAAAATTTTTTTTTGTTTCTATAGGTAAATTTAGTGGTTTTACGCCGAGTTTTGATATAAAAATAGCATATTTCCTATTAAAACCCATCTAAAATTGAAATATAAAATAAGAAAATGTACGGTAAATTCAATACATTTGATGTTTTGTAAGCGAAAACACGGTAAATCCAAATACTAAACAAAAACTTGGTATAAAACATAAAAAATAATGGAGTTACCGTCTTTTGACTTATGCTCATACATTGGGAAAAAAGGGTATCTTGATTTACTGTTAAAAATGTTTTTTTGCGTTCCTGAAAAATCATGTTGACTGGAGTTATCCTTTTTTCGCTTAACACAGCAGTATAGATATCTGACAGTGGTTAGAATCACTATCATAAAAAATGCTTTAATACAAATCTTTCGATAGTGTTTAATTTTAAAAAATTAATGGATTATTCCAAAAGCTACATGATCTCTTATTTCATTATTTATATCCTGACTACAAGTTTTATGATTTATAAGTGTAATATATATATAATATATAAATATACAGAGTGACCCACCACTCACTGACAACTTAAATAACTTTTGATCCAGTTAATATTTTTAGTTGATTTTTTTTTTAAAAAATAGTTATACGTTAGGTCTATAGCTATATCTCAATAATTATTTTTTTTACATTTTATTAAAAATATTAATTATTTTTAAATTTTAAATAAAATGTAAAAAAAAAATCTAAGATAGCTATTTTGTAGAGTAAAATTTAAGAAAAATTTTAGTAAAAAAATATCTTATTAATATTCAGTAGTAAATATTCTGTAGCGTTTTGAATTTTGTGAAAATTTGAATTTTGATGAAGAAAACGCTATCTTTTCATGATTACTGTGTATACATATGATGATAATGTGTATACATTACAAACTTGGCATTAATTGCCATGATATTGTTAATAAGAAATAATATTGTTAATAAGAAATTAGATAAGGCAATTATTACTTACCATTCTTATTCAAAAGTATATTGAAAAGATAGCGTTTTCTTCTGTCCTTTTCTCAATACGTATTTCAATGTTTAATACCGTAAAATAGTACATGAAAATTCAAATTTTCACAAACTTCAAAACGCTACAGAATATTTACTACTGAATATTAATAAGATATTTTTTTACTAAAATTTTTCTTAAATTCTACTCTACAAAATAGCTATCTTAGTTTTTTTTTTTACATTTTATTTAAAATTTAAAAATAATTAATATTTTTAATAAAATGTAAAAAAAATAATTATTGAGATATAGCTATAGACCTAACGTATAACTATTATTTAAAAAAAAAATCAACTAAAAATATTAACTGGATCAAAAGTTATTTAAGTTGTCAGTGAGTGGTGGGCCCTCTGTATATAGGGAAATGGTTTTATTTAAAAAAAAAGTATGTCGAATGAAAGAGGTTTATAAATAATATTTCTTATAAAAAAATTGTATGGTACATATATTTTTCAATAAGTTATAGCATTATAAAGTTAAAAATGTAAAATATAAAATCGAGAATTTTCACACAAAAATAGCATTTGCTACAATTTTGTCGCAAACAAAATAAAGTCCGAATTTTTTTTTTTCATAATAAAGTATATTACATTAGCTTTAATTTAAGATATATATAAAAGTGTCAGACTTTTCGAACACTTTCAAAAGTTAATTTTTTGTAAAAATGTTGCCATTTTAATCCCTTATTGTGGGGGCAGGTAAGGGTAAATAAAAACGCCAAAAAAACAATTTGTAATCAAATTTCTTTTCTGTACATTTTATCATACATAAAAAAACTATGTACATAAAAAACTCATAAACATTAATAATTCCTCCATTTATTTTAAAATTTTAAAAATAAAACATAAAAATATTTATTCATTGTATAAAAGAAATATGAGCTGGCCAAAAAAAGATATTTTCAAGTAGCTCTTTTACCTGACATATATTTTTAATTTAAGTTAATTTTTTTTTTTTTTTGAGTTAATTTATATACTTTTAGGACTTGTTATTATATCAAAATTATAAAGAAAAGAAATTTACTTATTTTTATAATAAAAAGAGAATATTTGAAGACACCTTAAAGATTTATTTTGAAAATATAAATATACCCTTATATATAAGTATAAATCAGTGTTAGAAAAGAATTCATTTCAAAAATAATAGATTACTGTATATTACTATATTTATATAATAAATTGTAGAACCTTATGTAGCACCGATTGAAAAAGAAGATCTAAATGTAAGATTATTAGCATCGATGCGAAGCTGAGAGGGTATTAATTTTACTATGATGTTTTTTTTTTTATGTCTGTTGCCACTTTTTCTCAGCTCTCACTGGACCGATTTCTTTCAAAAATACGTCAAAAGATCAGAAATCGTATCTAGTTGAAGACATTACCCTTAAAAATTGAAAAAAATTCCCTCGTTCCCCGCAAATGGGGGAAATATCCAAAAAAATTACAAATTTAAAAATCGCTAATTTTCGAAATTTTTTCACTTTTTTTTCTTAAAACTTCCATAACTTTTTGAAAAATCAACAAATCAACATAATTTTTTTTTATACTAAAACCTTAGATATTTACCTTTCATTTGATATCATTTTTTTGAAAATCTATCACTTAACCTGCTCATTGGGGGGGATTTAAAATGGCAACTTTTTTACAAAAATTAATTTTTTCAACTTAATTTTTGAAAATGTTCCGGAAATACTGCGTCCTTTAAACATATATCAAATTAAAGCTTATTTTATGTACTACAAAATGAAAAAAAAAAATTTGTCCCGACACTTTTTTTTCTACATTTAAACGGCTGCCGTAGTTAAAAAAACACTATTTTTGTGTTAAAATTTTCGATTTTCGATTTTAAATTTTCAACTTAAAAATGCTATAACTTTTTGAAAAATGTATATATCAGCACAATTTTTTTTTTCTAAATACATTATAAGTACATCTTTCATTTGACATACTTTTTATTAAAATTGGACAATTTCCCCTGCTGATTGGGGGGGATTTAAAATAGCACCTTTTTTACAAAAATTAACTTTTTCAACTGAACTTTTGAAAATGTTCCGAAAATACTGCGTCCTTTAAACATATATCAAATTAAAGCTTATTTTATATACTATCAAATGAAAAAAAAAAATTTGTCNGTTTTATGTACTATAAAATAAAAAAAAAAATTTGTCCCGACACTTTATCTTCTACATTTAAACTGCTGCCGTATTTAAAAAAACACTATTTTTTGTTAAAATTTTCGATTTTAAATTTTCTACTTAAAAATGCTATAACTTTTTGAAAAATGTATATATCAGCACAAATTTTTTTTTTCTAAATACATTATAAGTACATCTTTCATTTGACATACTTTTTATTAAAATTGGACAATTTCCCCTTATATAGGGGGCGTTCAAAACTTAAAATATTGTAAAAAACATAGATCTTTTTCAACTGAACTTTTGAAAATGTTCCGGAAATACTGCGTCCTTTAAACATATATCAAATTAAAGCTTGTTTTATGTACTATAAAATAAAAAAAAAAAATTTGTCCCGACGACTTATCTTCTATGCGCATAGAAGGCTACCGTATTCAAAAATATGCTATTTTAACAAATTTTTTTTTTATAAATTAAACACTATCTACAGATTTGCATCGAAGCGTTTCTTATGATAGTGATTTTAATCACTGTCAGATTAAATCTATACTGGACCCTACTATGCAATGNCCATCTATTTTTTTTTATTGAAGAGTAATGCATCAAGCCATTTAAATTTTTATACGTATTAAAATAAAAAATTATATGACTACTTTATTATTTTTATAACTTCTCTGTATAAATTACAATATTATTTATTTATACATATAATACATAATAATTACATAATTACTTATTATAGTAATTAAATTTAGTATGAAATTGATTTTAAATAGTGTAATTATTCAATTATTCTGCATTCATTTTTATAATTGTTCTTACAGCTTCCGATTCCTTTCTACTCATTACATTATCAAACCATCGAAGTCTATTTCCTCTCATCTTATTCACGATTGACACCTATATTCCCTCTTATATGTTCGTTCCTTATCTTATCTTCTCTAGACACTCCACGCATCAATCTAACCATTTTCATCTTTGCTACACTCATTCTCTGCTCTACTTTTTTGTCAACATTCCAACACTCTAGACCAGTGGTCGGCAACCTTTTTTAATTCTCGGGCCACATTTACAAATTAAAAAGAGTTCGCGGGCCAGATAAAAAAAAAAAATTTATAATTACATTATTTATTATGCAAAAAAATACTATCTAAAACTTAAAATAATAATATGACTTATATAAAATACCCGTACCAAAAACGCAACGTTCAATTATATTTATACAAAATGATATTCAATTAAATTAGTCGATTTAGAATTTAAAGCGGGCCGTATTCAATAGCCACGCGGGCCGTATCCGGCCCGCGGGCCGCCGGTTGCCGACCACTGCTCTAGACCATACATCAAAGCTGCTCTCACTACAGTCATAGATTGTGTCAAGTGGAAATTTAGGATAAGGCTGTCCGACTCAGAGTAATTAGGATAAAGGCAAAGAATTGAATTTAAAGAAGAATTTGTGATTTTTTTTAATGTTAATAATAAAAAAAATTTATATTATTTTTAAATCTGGTCTCACTAGATTCTTATAGAACTTACCTTTCAGCCGCGGAATTTTTTATCACAAAACACACCAGATGCTTTTCTCCACTTCAACCGCCCACATTGAATCCTATGTCATACGCCTCGTCAATACTACCATTCTTTTGCACAACTGATCCTAAATACTTAAAACTTTCCACATCTCCTAATACGCCCTCGTTTATCGTTACTGATCTCTTCATTTCACCTACCTTGTGCTCTCCTTAATCAAACTCGTACTTTATATACGCTGTCTTCTACTTATTCTTAAACCCTTTTCTTCAAGAACTAATCTCTATACCTCTAGCATTTGATTAATGTCCTCTCTATTTTATCCTATTAACATTATATCGTCAGCAAACAACATGCACCACGGCACCTCTCTTTGTATTTCTTTAATAATTTCATCCATCACTATAAAAAATAAGTAAGGGCTTAAAATAGAACATTGGTGCCCACAGAACCAAACCTCTCTCCGTTCTCTATTATATGCTTTCTCCAAATCTATAAATACCATACACAACTTTTTCTTCTTTTCCCTATACTTTTCTATTAGTTATCTCATATAAAATAATGGCTCCATTATTGACTTACCAGGTATAAATACAAATTGGTTTTTAAATACCGATTTCTTAATTCTTATCTATTTATTCTCTTACCTTTTTCAAAACTTTCGTACTATGATTCATAAGCTTTATGCCTCTATAATTTCCACACTCCTGTATGTTTCCTTTACCTTTAAATATCGGCACCACAATGCTATTCCATTATTCTATTGACATTTCCCTTCTAATTAAATTTTATTAAAAAGTTCCTTCAAAAACCGCCGAATATTTACCATACTTCTATTGGTACTTCATTTTAATGTTTTATACTTTTTCATTGATGCCACAGACTCCCATAATCTTTTCTCACTAATTAAATCTACTAATATTTCGTTTCTCGAGATATCCTCTAATGTCTATTTTAGATATTCCTCATTCAGTAATTTTTCAAAATACTCTTTCCACCTTTTTTTCGCATCATCATCACTCGAAAGTACCTTATTATCAACACTTTTTATACACCTTATATAATGATAATCTTTAGACCTTTTTAGAACCAAACTTGACAGCATTAATACACTTTGCCTGAATTGACAAGAAATTGGTATTAAGTCGGAGGTAAAATACTTAGTTAGGTATTATCCTAGAAAGTAAGCTAAAATGAAAATCACATATTGAGACAAGAATCAAAAAAACCATGGCTATATTGTGAACATGCAGCAGAACTCTGAAAAATACTTGGGGTCTTAAACCAAAAGTTATGTATTGGCTATACACTTCAATGATTAAACTTATGATTTTGTATGGTGTCTTGATTTGGTGAACCAGAACAACATTTGTTACAGCCAAAAAAGAATTTAAACGCATTCAAAGAATGGCTGCTATAGCCATTACTGAATTGATAAGAACCACACCAACGGTGGCAATAAAGGCACTAATTGAACTATTAATACCCCCTTTACACCTAGAGGTTAAAGCTCATGCCAAAGCTACAGTACTAAGACTCCATAACTTAGGTATGTGGGCTATGGATAGCGACACCATAGAACATGGTAAAAACTAAAAGAGATAGACCAGAGTATATTAGAATATCCTTCCGACAGTATCAGGCCTGTTTTCCAAAATAACATCTCCTACAAAATTGTGATGTTAAAACGCAGGGAATGGAATATAAACCACCCAACTAGGAAAGGAGGGTTTGTAATTTAAAACTTCGCATAAATATCAGCATGTCAATAGGCACAAAACCCTGTGCTCCAGCAATACTAGTAGTAGTTGAATTTACTAATATTTAAGAAAAGGAACATAACATCTTAAATGATAGTCAAGCTGATCTGAAGGCACTTAGTAATAACCAGGTGACTTCAAGGCTAGTTCTCGATGCAGGAAAACTTTAAAAATCACTAACAAGGTTCAATAAAGTTATACTGGCATGGGTACCAGGACGCAGTGGTGTGACTGGTAATGAAAAATCATACTTTTTAGCTAGGAAAGGTAAAGGAAAAACTTATGTTGCACTGAAACCAGTGGTAGGACTCACAGAACAATCCTTCAAAGTACTACCAAAAACTGATGTAGAGAAAAATACAGAAAAATATGGCGATACCCAGACAATCAAAAATGTTAATCAAGACTTTCAATCTACTACTGAGGGATTTTAATTACATGACTAAATATCAAATAAGTACTTTGACTGGACTACTAACAAAACACGGTTTTCTGCTTAAACATATTATCACAATGAAAGCGACAGGACTGTGCAGGAAATGTTGAACAGAAGAGGAAGATTCATTTCACATTATGAGTGAATGTGATACCATGGCCACATTAAGATCTAATAATTTGGATGAAATGTTTTCCTGAAAAAGAAGATATCAAAAACCTAAACAACTCTACTTACTTAGAAGGGCAAGTATCAGACATGTAATAAATTTTCAGAGCCTAGTAATAAGGTGTGAATTATAACATCTTGGGTTAAATCACTTATTAAGCTATAAAAAAAAATTTAATTAAGTTTGAAAGTAAATTATTATTTTATTAATACAGAATATAAGTTTATTGTAAGTTTAATTAATTGAAAATTTATATATATATAAAAAAAGTGATAATGATAACAATTTCTATTATAATTAAGGTAAATATTAAATAGCTGAAGTTTATACTGTAATATGAAACTTCACTCATATCCTTGTACCAGTTTTGCAACTTCCCATCTGGGTGATAATACATGATCATGTATTTCAACAGAATTATTTGTTATTATTCCAATTTGATATTTATCATGACTTCTCGCATCTCTATTATACAAAAAATATATCTTGAAAATTATATATATTTGAGCACACTAATACTTTGTAATTAATATAATATGAGTGATTGATATATTACCTGTAATATAAAACTTCCATACATTTTTTTAATAACTCTACAGCTTCTTCTTTACTGAGTTTTGAGTTGGATTTTAGGCGTTTTTCATCAATAGCTTGTCGAAGCAAAGGTAATGCAATATAAGCACCATATCCACTTGCAATTTGTTCATCAGAAAATGCTGTACCTAATTTGTCAATTTCACCTAAGAATGGCTCATTTTCTTGTATACCCGCTACTAAAAATGTGGACCATAATGGCTTCATTTTGGTTCTTCTGTTATATAACACTCGAGAAAGCCATGTATATAATGATTTTGGTTTCATTAATATGCTATCATTTAAACATTCTTCAGCACTATTTTTCTGTTCAATTAGATCACGAATATACTGAAAATCAGAATATTCACCAGCTGCAGCTAACAGAATATTCCTATTAACCTAAAAACATTTCCCTTGATTAAGATTGATCCAAAACATAATTTTTACTAAATTACTATTGCTAATCGCAAACTAAAAAATTTGATCATTCTAACAAGGTAACATAGTTAGGTCATATATCAGGGTATTATTTAACTTATTATAATCACAATATATAGATAATTTTAATATAGTTAAAAACTACTTGTTGCGGTGAAAATATTCTAAAAATGTATACTTGAGTGGTCTTATTTAAAGTGGTAAGTTTTTCATATTTTAAATGATAACACTAAATTTGTTCTATTACTTCTAAAAGATGTAAAAAATTTAGTCACAATTGATCAGCCCTTACACATGTTACAAAAGGGTTAAATATTTGATGTATGAGGTAGTTTTCTAGTTTTTTGTAATTATCTTGAAAACTATTATACTTAAAATAAAAATATAAGGAATTAAACTTTAAGATAATGTTTTTTTTATAAAAAAAAACTTATTATAAAATTTCACATAAGTTTATTATTATACATGAAAATCAACAATTTTAGTGATCTAGGATGCATATTTGGTTCATATACATTATGTATCTAATAAGACAACTAAAACTTCAATACAAATTTAAAAGTATGTTTTCTAGAAAAATGCTACTTTATTAAATTATTATTTGGCTAGCCAAAGACTCTTGGAGGTGGGAAGCCGATGTCATTTCACTTTTTAAAAATTTTTGTATGACTAACAAAAAAAAAAAAAAAAACGCAAAACATACAATCTTAGTTACCCAAATTTATAATTTAAATTTCAGCAGATAGAAATTTATAAAATGTGTCAGTTATATCTGATTGTGTTGGGTTAGACCAATAATGTACTTAACTAGACAAGATAGTTTTGATAAAATTTTTAAATTCTAAAAATTTATCATCAAAATAATAAATTTTAACTCTTAATATAAAATTATTTACATAATTTTTTTTAACTTTTGGGAGGATTTAGTTTTCTTAGTTATGCTAATAATTTAAAAATATGATATGTAGTAATCTAATGTAATAAAAGTTTTATAATATGTCAATGACTACTTAAATCAGACATTCAATTTGTAAAACTATGCAAATTAACCAGTTTTAACCATCAAAAAAACATAAATTAAAAAGTAATTATACAAACTGTTAATATTCTCGGATTATTTTGAAAGCAAGCCATTGATCCATAAGAAGTCAATACATCTGCTGCCACAGCCACCCCAGAGTCAAATTGAATGCCAAGCACTGATGTTGAAGTAGTCACTGGAGTCCATCCATGTTGAATAATATCAAATTGACCTACATTTTATATCAAAAAATGTGAATGTGTTTTGTAACAGTATGTTACTAAGAAAGGAAATTTAATATTTAAAAAAATGTATTTAAAACCTGGATTTCCAGTTTCTGGAACATTCTTGAAGTTACCAGGGATCCAGTTTCTTTTGTTAATAATACAATCCATAGTACATTAATAACTATTATTTAAAAAAATATTAAAAGTAATTTTCAAAAACCAAAAAAAGTTCTGTTCAATGAACAAATATTTTAAACGCAACGTTTTGTAGTCTCTTCTTTACTTAGATTTAAAAATTTTGCCTAATCATAATAACAATTTTTACTAATATCAAACATAACCTGTTCATGTTTATTCCAGAGTTATTTCATGGAAATATAAATATACCGCCAAAGACGTTGTGTATTAAGCGTATGATTTTACTGTATAAGGCTATTTGGGAAATGAAGAATACATCTTAATACAAAATTATTTGAAGCTATCTAGCGCCATTGTTAAAAACTGTAGTGTTTAGAATACGGTCGGGTTGCGTTGCGCAGATGATATAATATCCGCATATACTCGCAGAATATATACAGTTTCATTTCTGCTTCATTTATCATTTATCAAATATTAATCCAGTAGAGTTTGTATATTATACGGTGATTAGTATTAATACATATATAATAAATTGGTGTAGTTGTACTATACTCCACGATGTTTTGTGAAGTTTAATGTGTGTATCAAATACGCTTTGTTTTTGTAGATGTTGTGATACTCTTGTTTTTGGATATTATATTGACTGTCTTAATTCTTATTATTTTAGTCGATTAAGTCATAATTAAAATTTCAAAAGAGTTTTTTGTTAATCCAAAATGAAAATTGTACTAGTTGTTAATTATTAGGTTTTCGGACTATTTGTGAATTTTATTTACCATGACTCAATTTCTACCACCTAACTTACTTGCGCTTTTTGCGCCGAGAGATCCTATTCCTTACTTACCACCTGTAGTCAAATTGCCATATGAGAAAAAAACTAGAGGCTATCTAGGTGTTGGGAGTTTCATAGACTTATTTGAAGTATGTATTTAATAACTCTATTGATTAGCTACAATTAATGTTAAATAACATCTTAGGAACCGGAAGAAACTCCTCCTCCTACAAAAATTGAAACTAGAGAAGAACGTTTGGAAAGACGACGAAGAGAAAAAGCCGAGCAAGTTGCTTACAAGTTAGAACAAGAAATTGCATTATGTAAGTTAAATTTTTTTTTAATTTCATTTTATGTCTTAGTTCATATAATATATCTGATAACACTTAGATTTAATTGCTTTTAACTATTTATATCATTGTTTTTTTTTTATATATTATAGGGGAACCTCATTCTGTTCCAAACGCTACTACTGATCCATTTAAAACATTGTTTGTTGCCAGAATTGTAAGTAATACATTTTTTTTAAGTCTAACTTAAAACTTTTTAATTATTATTTCTTTAGATTGGACAAACTTTTTTAGCTTTGATGCGAAGCTGAGAAGGTATTGGTTTTACTATGATGTGTTTTTTTTTTTTTTTGTGTCTGTTACCACTTTTTCTCAACTCTCACCGAATCGATTTCTTTCAAAGATTTGTCAGAAAATCACAAATTGCATGTAATCGAAGGCATTACCCTCAAAAATTGAAAAAATTTCCCTCGTTCCCCGTAAATGGGGTAAACCTCCAAAAAAAATTAAAAATTAAAAAATTTTTTTTTACCTAAAACTGCCATAACTTTTTCAAAAATGAACAAATCAATATACTTTATTTTTTTTATAGATGCTTGATGTCTTTACCTATCATATGGTATATTTTTTTTTTATAAATCTGACCCTTTACCTGCTCACAGGGGGGATTTAAAATGACAACTTTTTCACTCATAGATATCATTATACTTGATCCTACTATGCCACGTCACCACTGTGCTGTGACCCCCCTGTGCTAGGTTTTTTTTTTAGTAGTGATATAATTAAAAAAGTTAATGCATTATATGATTGTATGTTTTATAACAAATTTAGGATTTCAAAAATTGTTAGGTTAATACATTTAATTCATATTTTCTTAAATAATAATTGTAGCCAAAAAATTTGTTAACTCTTCTTTTTATTGATCTATATAAAGACAATTGAATTATTTCTAAGTTGTATACTGTATTTTTAATAATGTCTAATGGAAATAGACATTTTTGACATTTAAAAAACATATTTTAATAACATTGATATATAATTTTTTGGATTATGAAAGAAAACATCTTCCTCTAATCAAATTATAAAAAATCAATTTTTATGACTTATCAGCTTTAGGATATAAGGTACAGATATAATTTCCTGTATTTTAAAGCTCAGTACATTTTTACAGTTCTTAAATTCTTTAATTTTTATGTGCAATTTTTATTGATGTCTATATCTCTCCTATACCTATTCTAGTAATCTTATAAAGTAAAGTACTGAAGCTATCTTATGAATGTTATCTTTATAATTGCATGTTGTTATTTTTTGAAACTATTCAATGATTTGTTATAATATTAAAAATATGTTTTATATAGTTTGTTTTACTAAATTTAAAGTTAGGTTAATGAATTTTGTGAGCATTAATTTTTTACATAACTAATAAATTTTCAATGGACAATTTAACCCTGTCAGACCCAACTTTTCATTTTTAGCTAAAATTACACAAAATAAATATTTTATTTATAGGGGGACCTTAGAATAGGCAAAAAAAAAATGTTGCTATAGTTTTTTTTTTTTAACTTCAAAACTAAGGTTATTAGTTGAAAAAAATTATGTGTACACAATAGTTGGTTTTGGGAAAATTCCTTTTTAAACAGAACCCTTTCCTTTCATTATTAGGTAAGGTTTGGGCATATTATGAGCAGAGAGAAATTGTAAGGTATGAGAAGAGTTATGGAAATGAAAAAAAAGGTAGAGGAAGACCAAAAAAAAAAAAAAACATGGGGGGATGTGATTAAATGCGATATGAGGACACCTCATTTACATTGATGATGTGGGAGATCATGTCAAGTAGAAGTTTAGGAGAATGATAGATTACCCTAAGTAGTTGGAATAATGGCTAGGAAAAAGACATTAAGGTATACATTAAATAATGAACAGCATAGTTTAAAAAAAAGAAATAAATTTATCCTAACTTAATTATATTTTATACATTGTTAATTGAAACTATTGCTGCTATGAGTAATAAATTTGATGCCATTTAATAAATCTAAAAAATTATTTTCTGTAACTGTACACTATTAATTAGAAAATTGCACAAATTAGGTATAGATTCTTTTATCTTGTAACAATCATATTTGTCTGTACAAACTCAAATAGTAAAACTTAACAATTCTCTATTAAAATACCATTTGGTGTCCAACAAAGTTGATTATTTATCACCTATTTTATTTTAAACTTTTATTAATGTTGATAATTTTTTAATGCCAGTCATCTTCTTTTTGCAGATAATTTAAAAATGTATATACCAACAAAAACAATTAAATACTTAATGAAATTCAAAATAAATTTCTTTATTGGGGGTCAGATATAAAATGACTTTAATAGATTTAACATTAACAGAAACAGCCAGACATGTGGGTTAGACTCTTTATCTGTCTAACATGATATATTTGATATTCAATTTATAATTAAAATTTTAAATGATAGTATTGAGATATATTGGAAAATATATATTTTAATGTACTGTTCATACTAATACTCGAAACTTTGTTTCTTTTGAAATAACTAATTGTACTAATAAGCTCTTTGGAATTTTTTTAATATCCATTAAATAAATTCAATTGTATTTAGTTAATTTTGAGCTTTTCATAAAAAACCATCAATTGTGTATTTTTAAAGGTTTTGTAATTGATCCAAATTTTTTTTCTTTTTAGAACTATGATACATCAGAATCAAAGTTACGTAGAGAATTTGAACTTTATGGCCCTATAAAAAAGGTAATTATTATAATAATAAAATTTATTTTAGATATAAGTATACATTAATATAATTGTCTTATTAATTTTTGCTTAAAATACCTGTTAGATCGTGGTCATACATAACAAGATTGATGGTAAACCAAGGGGGTATGCTTTCATTGAGTATGAATATGAGCGTGATATGCATTGTAAGTATCAACTAATTATTTACTTTTACTTTTTGCTCAATATTTGAGTCGACTATCTTGAATGGCGAATGTTAAGATCATATATTTTGCAAATTTTCAACACGTAAGCTAAATGAGATACTTCAAAATTTTGATGAATTAAATCTAAATGCTCGCCACTTCTTTTTTTTGGTTATTCTGTTCTTGCGCATATTTCAAAAAAAAAATTCAAATTTTAATTACAAAAATATTCAGGTACAGTTTTAATAATTGTATTTTATTCTTGATACAGTGAACTGTGAAGAGCTCGCTGATTGGAGCTTCTTATATTGACCCTGTGATAATACATAGACGACTTTGTTGATAATAGGTTTGTATGTGTGGTAAGCCCAACATACAAATTACAAGAAAGTTAAAATCATTCATTTAGTTTCCATTGGTTCTTATCAACATATTTTCTAAGATTAAATGAATAACAAGTTAAGTTTTCTTTTAAAATTCGTGAAGCTTCCACTGTAGGAATATATATTGTAAATTTATTTTCATAATAATAGTTCAGGGACATTACAGAAATTGGTAAACTGTAATGTAAAAAGTAATTTTTTATTTAAAAGGTAAAGTATTGTGAATATAGTGGAAGGTAACTAGTGAACTTCTTGTATTAAATTAGTTTTTTCTTTCTTTTTTACAATTTTTATTTCACACTGGGTTGTTAGTTTCTACTTTTTCTTATTTATAAGAAAGACTTTACAAATATTTGCGCCCATTTTGTAAGTATTGGCGTCCCAGGTAAAGTAAACAACACAAATTTAATTGTATAAATCAACCAATCATAATTCGTGGATTCACTTGGGAGTACAAACTGCGCTTATAACAATATGGGAAATAACAAATAAGTATAATTAGTAGCCGGTAGGTACTTAACTATTTGATTTTAATATCTTAATGTTTTCTATGTGGGTTTTATTTATTATTCTTCATTTAAGGTTGGTAAGGCCTAATTTCGGTATTACTAAAAGCTGATGAATTATATTCTTGAAGATTCAGTCAAATAAAAATCTATATTAAAGTGCATAAAATACATAACAAACTTCTTAAATTTCTTATTTAATTAAATTATTGGGAATAGATTTTAAAGTGTAAAATTAATAACAGATAATATAATTTATCTAAAAGCTTAAGAGCAGTTTAATTATTTTCCCCAAATAATATTATAGCTGCATATAAACATGCTGATGGAAAAAAAATTGATGGACGCCGTGTATTGGTTGATGTTGAAAGAGCCCGCACAGTCAAAGGATGGCTTCCTAGGAGATTAGGTAAGAATGTATTCATTTAGTTTTGTTTTATATATATATATAAATATTATAATTTGTTTATTAATGAAAATAATAAGTAACAATGATGATCACTAATTTAATAACAAGGATATTAATATTATAATACAGAAACCGTCCAGTTACACAACCTTGAATTTATTTATTTATTCTAAAAATAAAAAACCATTATTTTATTTTAAATTTTATGAACTACATTATAAAATATTTTAATTAAATTATTATTATTGTTTTTATTATTATATGAAAAAATATCTGTTCTTTCAATATCATCATTAGTATGATGCCTAATAAATTTATTTCTATATTAAGGAGGTGGATTAGGAGGCACAAGACGAGGTGGACCAGAGGTTAATCTTAAGCACTCAGGAAGAGAAGATAATGAACGTGAAAGAGAGAGATATGCTCGTGAAATGGCTAGTGGTCGCTCAGGACGTAGTGTAACTATGGAAAGAGATCGAGAACGTGATTATCGTGATAGGGATAGAGATCGTGAACGTGATAGAAGACCTCGTAGTAGAGATCGAGAAAGAAAACGACATCATACAAAATCGTAAGTGATTATTTTTATATCATGATTGATTTAATTCCGTAGTTTTTTATTTATTTTATAATTGATACTAAAAGGCTTTTTACAATAAAATATTGAGGTTTTAAAATAAAAGTATTTTAAAACATTACATTCTTAAAGAATAAAAATAAAACAATATATTATGTGATCATTTTCTAAAAACTGATATGTCAATTTACAAGATTTATAGAATTACATACGACATTTTTAAAAAGTCAAAACAAACCTTGTAATATTTACTTATAATTTTTTGACACAACAGACAAATATCCTTTATAAACATTTAAAAAAACATTTCTGTGATATATCAGTTTGTAGAAGCTAATATAAATCAAACAATTTACGTTATATTTATCTGTCTATGGTTTTAATTCGTGGATTGGTTTGCAGCCATCTTCCATTCTTCTCTATTATCTTTCTTTTTCATTTCTACATATGAGTTGCATCCTTGGTCTTTTATTATCTGTTGAATATATTCCAATCTTGGTCTTCCTCTCTACATTTCCTTCTATAATCAGTTTTAACAATCCTTTGTGTGTCGCATTATTTGGTCTATCCATTAATTTTGTCTCCTAACTATATTATTCCATAATAACTTCTTTCCTTCTGTTATTCATTCCAGTACCTCTACATTGATTACTTTGCCATCCTACTTATTCTTAACATTCTTCTATAGTATCACATTTCAAACTACTCTAACCTTTTTTGTTTTTGTGTTGATATTGTTCAGGTTTCACATCCATAAAGAGCTATACTCCATACATATGTTTTCAATAAATTCTTTCTTGTTTTTGGGCTAATATTTCTTGATGCAAGTAGATTTTTCTTGTTGTTAAAAGCTATTTTAGCTTGATAGATTCATTTAATTATTTCACTCCTATTTCTTCCATCATTGCTGATTGTGCTCTCCAGGTATGCAAATTCATCTACTTGTTTTACTGTTTGGTTTCCTCGTAGTTTTATATGCACTTTGGCTTTATTTCTCTTCCACAGACGAGTACTTTTGTTTTTTGCACGTTTATTTTCATACACAAATCCCTAAATATTTCATCCATAGTTTTCATCAGTTGATCTAAATCTTCCTCATTTTCAGCAATTAAGGCTATGTCATAAGCAAAGCGCAATATACTTATCTTCTGACCGTTGATTTTTATCCCTAGATTGGTATCTTCTTTTATCTTATCTATTGCTTCTTGAATATAATTGGAGATAGTGTGCATCCTTGTCTAACTCCTTTATTTATTTTTGCTTCTTTTACTTTATCATGAATTTTTACAACAGCTACCTCATCTTTATATAATTTATACAGCAGTTTCCTATCTGCATACTTTATTCCCATTCTTGTCATCATGTTAAACATTAACGTCCAATTCACATTATCAAATGCTTTTTCAATATCCACAAAAGCTATGAATGTTTGTTTATCTTTCTAATCCTTTTCTGAATAATTATTCTCGATGCCAAAATTGCTTCTTTCGTTCCCATTTTTTTCCTGAACCCGAATTAGTCCTCCGTCAGCAATTGTTCTATTTTGGATTCAATACGTTGAAATATAATTGTTAGTATTTTAGAGGCATGGGATAGCAGGCTAATTGTATGGAATTCTTCACATTTTTTCGCTGTTGCTTTCTTTGGGATAGGGATAATTATACTTTTTACGTAATCTTCCGGTAATTCACCAGTTACGTATATATCTCTGATAATTTGAAATAATTTGTTTTTAATTGCTTGTATTCCATCAATTCCTGCTGCTTTTTTATTCTTCAAAGCTTTATCGAACTCGTCCCTCATAACTGGATCCATTTTGTATCCTTCTTCTTCTTCATTTATTTCATTTCCCTTAATTGTTTATCCTTCATACAGAGTTTCTAAATATTCATTCTATTATTTGGCTATATCTTTTTGTTCATATAACATTTCTCCATTGTTATCGTCTACTCCTCCAGATCTGGTTTTATACTTGCCAAAGAACTTTTTCACCATTTTATATGCTTCCTCTCTGCTTCCTGTTTTCATAAAGATTTCTATTTCACTACACCCTTCTTCCAGATATTTTTCTTTTTGCTTCCCTTGATTTCCTAATAACTAGATTCCTCAGTATTCTGTATTTTTTTTTGTCCTTTGATACTGTTCGAAATTTTATATTTCCTTCTTTCCTCTATCATTTTGACAACTTCAGTTGTAATCCAATCCTTTCTCGCTGTAACATTTTTGTATGCTAAAAGTTTTATAGCAGTGTTCGTGATTGTATCTTTCAAGTTCTGCCATCTTTCTTTAATGTTTTGGGGTTCTGGGGATTCTTCAGTAATTGCATCATTTGTGCATTAACTATATTGTTTCCTGATTTTTTCACCTCTTAGGTTTTTAATTTGCCTTTTCACCATTTTCTTTTTACACATTATTCTTTTAAATTTAAGATTACACTTCATCATGACTAGGTTATGGTCGCTATTTATAACTTCTATTTTTTTTTACTTGATTTGTAAGAATAGATAAATCTATTCTTTACTATGATATAGTCTATTTGATACCTATTTCTATCTTTCGGCATTTCCCACGTGTATCTTCTTCTTCAATGGTGATTAAAAAAAGTGTTTGTGACTTTTAAGTTGTATTTTGCACAAAACTCTAATAAGCGTTCTCTATCGTTTCGTTTTCCCAAACCATATTCACCCGTTAAGTTCTTTGCTTATTCTTCCCCCACGTTGGTATTCCAGTCACCCATTACTATCAGATTCTCTTCCCCTTTAACATTTTCAATTAATTTGTCTATATTTTCATATACTTCTTCTAGCTCTTCGTCACTACTATTTTTTGTTGGCATATACACTTGAACTACTATTGTGTCTTTTGGTTTCGTCTGGAACTTAACTAGAATAATTCTATCATCGTATTGTATATAGCCTTTAACTTTTTCACCTAGGGGTTTATTTATTATAATCCCTACTCCTCCAGTGCCAGGTTTCTTCTCTGATGCTCTTGTATGTATTATTCTATAGTCTCCGCTCCAGAAGTCTTCTGACTTTGGCCATCTTATTTCTAATATTCCAAGGATATCAATTTTCATCCTATTCATTTCCATTTTTAGATTTTCCAACTTCTCACATTGTAATAAGGTTCTTACGTTCCAAGTTGCTATGCATTTGTACTCTTTACACATTTCTTTCCTCTCTCGTAGTCCCCACCCGGAGATCCGAATGGGGAATATTTTACTTGAGAAGATGTCATGTTGATTGCTGTTACTTGGGATATTAATATGGTGGTTTCTCGTTGCCTTCTATATCGCAGTGTCATCCATGTTCAAGTATAAATAAATTCATACTTGATTCTAGCAGTGCTGCTTCCCACTACTACATCCATTTTAGTCGCATCTTACGACAGGCATGAACATGTGGTCTATTCTAATCCCAACCACCAGGGGAATTATTTAATATATCCTTAGGAATTAATATATTTTTTAAATATGAATATCAATATGATTTTAAATACAGAATAATCTATTTATTATAACTGACTCGATTACTCACAAAATAAATAGAATTCGTCTTCTTTTTTCTCACCTTAATCCCAACTATTTAGGGTTGGCCCCAAATAAATATAAAAAAAAAAATTTTGATTCTCGGAGTATACATTGTATATATTTGATTTATCAATTATTTTTTATCATTATCCCTTATAAATTATAGGAATGTCAATCTTATTATTTTTTAATGAAATTTTTAATTAAAATAGGAACTTAAAAATAAGTTAGACATTTTAAAATGTAAACTTCTTTGTAACGTAAATATAACTATTTATTTAGATTATCAGTATTTTTAGACATATCTTGGCTGCACACTTCCTTCTGTTCAAGTATAAAAATATTTATATTTTCTGAAGTACTGTCCATAGTTATTATTAACCCATTATTTTCTTAATTTTATTATTTCCTATTTTATATGATAGTTAAATAAGTATGTTGCCTTCAAACAAAAATAAAATTGATACTATTATTTATAATGGATGCTATAAAGTAATTTATAAGTGATGAATCAAAAAATATATACATTTCAACAATCCTGGTTTTTTTTTTCAATATTGTATTTAATTTGTGAGTAATCAAGTCAGTTATGATAAAAGTGTCACCAATATATTGGTCTTAATATTTTTTAATTATATGTGTTATATATCTAAAAAATTATAATTTTTACTTTCTGGAAATTTTTAAAAGAGAACATATTCTCTCAATACAAAATTTTGAACATATTTTAATCTTGAAATTTCTCAATTCTAGTTTATTGGAATAATTGTACTTCATAAAAACCTTGTACATTTTATTTTCAAAATTAATTTTATTACAAAAAAATATATTTTTCTAGACGCTCAAGAGAACGTAAAAGACGTCGTAGTAGAGATCGTGTTAGAGATGTTGATTATGATGAAGTTGAAGAAGTTCCAGTGTCTAAATCAAGAGATAAAGATCGTGATCGTGAAAGAAAAAGAAAACGCAGCCGTTCAAGAGATCGTGAACGTAAAAAAGATCGTAAGGATAGAGAACATCATCGTCGAGAAAAGTATTTTAAATAGTTTTTTTACTATAAAAGTAAATTTTTAATATTTTCTTTTTTCTAAATAGAAGCAAAGATAGACGTGACAAACACAAAGATGATTCAGAACGCGAGGAAAAAGTTCATATCAAACAAGAACCTGTTGATGGTTGGTTAAAATAAATTTAGTTTTCTTATTATTATAATTTTAATTTTTTAATATATGTGATTTTTTCAAAAACTAAAATATCACTTAGAAATTTTTCAATAAATTAAATTTAGATATTAAACACAGATATAATATTTTAATTTATTTTTCAAATGTTCTAGAATATGATAATTATGAAAATTATAATGATTATGACGGCTACAATAGTGCAAATGAAGAATATGATCCAGATATGGTTAAAAAAGAAGAACCTGATGAAGAGCCAGCTAATGGGTCACGATACAATTCTTCATCATTCTATAACACTAAACCTGAAAGAGGTGAAGAAAACTACAGTGAAAATGGTCAAACTGAAAATTATGATGAATGATATATTTAAAATTTTTGGTACTGATTATTTAAACTGATTTCACATTTTTTAATTTTTAAGATAATGTGATGATTTAGTCACTCAATAATGTAATTCAAATATAAAAAATTCATTTTTCTTATATAATTATAATAGTAAATGACATTGATTTTAAGTTATTATTGTGTTCCTTTTTTAGATGTATTTTTTACTTAAAATTTAAATTTTTAGATTTTTGAGTATCTTAAACTTTATTTTAAGTAAAATATTTAAATTTAAAAGGAATATAAATAAAACCATTTATCATTTACATTAAACTTGTTGTGTTATAAAACTTGACCATTTAAGTTACAAATCAATTTTTTTACCTGATATTAATTATGAAACTTTTTATTTATAAGTGAACATAAAAAATTCTATTTTACAGAAATTACAAGTATTTAATATTGCTAAGTACCTGAGGTGATCTTTGCTTAAAAAATCTTTAAATAGGCGATATATTACCGACTTACATGCAAATTATACAAAATATCAAATAAATAACTGTTTTCTTTAATAATAAAATTATTAAATGAATATTAAAAAGTAAAGGACAATAGGGATTCAGGAAAATGGAATTCTGGCATATTTTAGATTAGTATTGAAGTGACTAAATTTACTGTTGTAGTGAAACACTGTGATGCATATGTGAAACAAATTTAAAGAAATTAACATCACCACCACCTAAAATTACATGATTTTTGACTTGATTGGCCTTTTTTAGTTATATAGTATATTAAATAAGCTATAATTTAAGATAGTTTTGAACGATGTAGATATTCCTTGCTAAACAATAAATTTCAAAATCAACCATTTTTTTTCATTGAAAATTCATAATTTTACGCTTTAGTGACTCCATAACTCCTAGTAATTAAGATTTGGATAGAGGGTAAACCTCAAAAAAAATTACAAATTTAAAAATCGTTAATTTTCAAAATTTTTCAATTTTTTTTACTTAAAACTGCCATAACTTTCTTAAAAATGACCAAATCAATATAATTTTATTTCTATAGATCCTTGATTGGTTTACCTATCATTTGATATATTTTTTTTATATATATGACCCTTTACCTGCCCACAGGAGGGGATTTAAAATAACAACTTTAGAAAGTGTTCGGGAAAGTTTGACACTTTTATATACAGGGTGGCCCACCACTCACTTACAACTTAAATAACTTTTGATCCAGTTAATATTTTTAGTTGATTTTTTTTTAAATAATAGTTATACGTTAGGTCTATAGCTATATTTCAATAATTAATTTTTTTACATTTTATTAAAAATATTAATTATTTTTAAATTTTAAATAAAATGTAAAAAAAAAATCTAAGATAGCTATTTTGTAGAGTAGAATTTAAGAAAAATTTTAGTAAACAAATATCTTATTAATATTCAGTAGTAAATATTCTGTAGCGTTTTGAAGTTTGTGAAAATTTGAATTTTGATGTATTATTTTACGGTATTAAACATTGAAATACGTATTGAGAAAAGGACAGAAGAAAACGCTATCTTTTCAATATACTTTTGAATAAGAATGGTAAGTAATAATTGCCTTATCTAATTTCTTATTAACAATATTATTTCTTATTAACAATATCATGGCAATTAATGCCAAGTTTGTAATGTATACACATTATCATCATATGTATACACAGTAATCATGAAAAGATAGCGTTTTCTTCTGTCCTTTTCTCAATACGTATTTNGCGTTTTCTTCATCAAAATTCAAATTTTCACAAAATTCAAAACGCTACAGAATATTTACTACTGAATATTAATAAGATATTTTTTTACTAAAATTTTTCTTAAATTTTACTCTACAAANTATAAATATTAAATTGGTATTAAATTTTACTTCAAAAACACTTTTCAATATAATTTCATAAATGTGATTTCTGCATGGTAAGTATAAAATATCACACCCTAACATTTGCATGGAATTTATTTTAAAATTCCTGGCCCAATCCATCATGCTCGTTAGATGGCCAAGGCCATTTATTGTTTGAAAATTTTTTGGTTTCGGGGCCAATTTGAATTGTCAATCAAAGAGTTAAATATTCGTTCATTATATATTTTTATTACAAGTTTATATATTAAACAATGGTTTAGTGCACCAATACTGCATTAGCGCCAAATTTAGATTTACAATTTATTAAAAATATAATTGATTATGAACAAATAGATAAAGATATTTCTAAAGTAGTTTTAAAAAAAAATTTTGGGTCACTTATGGTACTTACTATCCGATTCGGCAGCATTGGCATTTTATGATGATGATTTATGTGAAGATACTAAAATTAANCTTCATCAAGATACTGTACTGGATTTTTTTTTAATTTATTGGATTGGGTATTTTTTTTTTTTATATCCGGACGGGTCAGAACGGGTTTGAAAATATTGAAAACTGAAGAATTGATCGTGCCTAAATTTTTACATATACATTCGGACCGAGTATTAAATAATAATCAATTAGCATATTTTTAACTGAGGTTTCCGAGTTTCTAATAACAGCAAATACAGAAATTTTCGGTAAATCGAATAAAACTTCTATCGAAATTAATACCTGTAATGAATGTAAAATACCACCAGCCCTTTAACTTAAAACATCTTCAACAGTTATTACTCGTGCCTGAGAAAATGGGAAAATCTACTTACCCAGCGCAATGAAATCGAACCGCAGTACCTATGCACCAAAATATGATGCGTTAATAACTGAGCTAGGTTACCTTGATAATTATTATAGATTTTTAGTCACCAATGCTGGAATATACTTTTAAGAGGACGAGATATTAAGGTTAATTATGTTCCATTTAAAAAAATTTCGATTGTTATGTAAATAATTTTTAATATCTTAAAAAATATACGTCTTAGATATTACTACAAAATATTTAGAATGTTCAGTAAATAAGGAATCAGGTTTCTATTATTCTCATTGACCTGTTTCCTTACTTACTGAACATTTTGTATATTGATATAAGTAATAAAAAAAGTTTGAATAATCTTTTTAATATAATTTAATTTAAATTTTATTAAGAAAAAATAAAATTAATCCAATGTGCACCAAACATTTATAGATGTAAATAGTAAAAAATGTCGGGAGTGTTAAATGTTATTTTTCAAAATGCTGGGAGTACTATTGAAATTTCTAAAGGTACTAAGTCAACGAAGCACCTCTTTATTTGCGTCTATGCTTGTTACATTTATTTGAGAAATGACGCAAATTAAAAATAAAAAAAATTGTTGGTTCTAATACATTATTTATTGTTGACTCACAATTAATTGGTAATATTTAGTTATTTAAATATTTATGTTTTTTTTCTGCAACTAACATGCCAATGATATATTATTTTCCAAATCCTAATTATCTTTATTTAAAAATTATAATAGATTTTTAAATTTTAACACAGGGAAATTCAAGAAGATTCTCGTTAAGATATATATCCCGACAAACACTAGATATGTTACAAGTTAATATTGTTAATTTAAATGTCATATTTTTTCATGGCGAAAAAAATTTTGTTAGCTCATGATTGCTTATTTACTAAATTTCGTTATTGATAACAAAAATATTTTGGAACATAAGATATTGATAATAGCCGAATGCTTTAGTTTCTATAACATTTGTCTCTTTAGTGATAGTTGAACGTGCTCCGTGTAGTTCTACTAGCCAAAATTATATAAATTTTAAAAAAATAATCTTATAAAGGAAGAAATTGATGTATGTACCTTAACGGTCAGAGGTACTTTTAAAAATTAGATTAGACAATTTAACAGAATTAAAAAAGAAGTTAATAATCTTCTCTTTTGTTACTGATACTAAATATTATTTGACAAAAGGATATTTTCGTGTACCTACTATTTAGTATAACTAAAGTATGTTTCATAAGTTTTGTTTTAAGTATTTTCAATTTTTAATTTTTACTTAATTTTACTAGAGGACCGTTATGTATCCATGAAACTTGTTGACTGCCATGAGTAATGATCCTTTGGGACGAAGACGTACAAGCATAATGAACAGCACAGTACCAAAAAAGCGAACAAACATGAGAGTTAAAGCATTCCCATCCCGCACTGATGAGAAATATGTTGACAACACTTGGGCAATGCTTAAAAATGCTATACAGGAAATACATAAAAAGAACAACTCTTGTTTGAGCTTTGAAGAATTATATCGAAATGCATACACAATGATTTTATTAAAACATGGTGAAAGATTGTATAATGGCATGAGAGAAACAGTAGCTACACACTTAGAATCTAAAGTCCGTGAAGATGTATTAAATTCTCTGAATAATAACTTCCTTCAGACCCTTGATGAATGTTGGAGAGACCATCAAACGTCAATGGTAATGATAAGAGATATTCTTATGTACATGGATAAAGTATATGTCAAAAATAATGAGGTGGATAGTGTCTACAACCTTGGTCTGGTTTTATTTCGTGATATTATAGTACGGCATGATCGTATTAGAGATCACTTACGTGAAACATTGTTAAGTATGGTGATGCGTGAAAGAAATGGTGAAGTTATTGATAGAATTGCATTAAAAAATGCTTGTCAAATGCTTATGGTATTAGGAATTCAAAATCGTTCTGTTTATCAAGAAGATTTTGAACGTCCATTTCTTGCACAGTCTAGTGAGTTTTACAATGTTGAAAGTCAATTGCTTTTGGCTGAAAATAGTGCTTCCATTTATATTAAAAAAGCTGAAGCTCGCATTAATGAAGAAGCAGAACGAGCTAAAAATTATCTTGATGTATCAACTGAAAGCCACATTATAAAAGTGGTTGAAGAACAACTCATTCAAAAACATATGAAAACAATAGTAGAAATGGAAAATTCTGGTTTTGTATTTATGCTTAGAAATCAAAGAACTCAAGATTTAGCTTGTATGTATAAGCTTTTAAGTAATTTGTCTGATGGCCTTAAAACAATGTCAGATTGTTTAAGTAAATATTTAAGAGAAGAAGGAGGATCATTAGTTAAAGAAGATGAAACTGATTTAAATCCTGTTACTTATGTACAGAGTTTATTAGATCTTAAAGACCGATTAGATTATTTTCTGTACAATTCGTTTTCTGGTGATAAAATGTTTAAACAAACTATTTCTTCTGATTTTGAACATTTTTTAAATTTAAACCCAAAATCTCCCGAGTATATGTCCTTATTTATCGATGATAAACTAAAAAAAGGAGTTAGAGGTATGGATGAAAATGACTTAGAACCTGTACTTGATAAAGCTATGGTTTTGTTTCGATTTCTCCAAGATAAAGATGTTTTTGAAACATATTATAAACAACATCTGGCTAAAAGATTACTTTTAAACAAATCTGTTAGTGATGACAATGAAAAAAATATGATCTCCAAATTAAAAACTGAATGCGGATGTCAATTTACTTCTAAACTAGAAGGTATGTTCAAAGATATGTCTTTGTCAAATACTGTGATGGATTCTTTCAAACAATATTTAAGTGGTATACCGAATTCTAATTGTAATAATATTGATTTATCTGTTCGGGTTTTAACTACAGGATTTTGGCCCTTACCAACAACTACCCCAAAATGCAATGTACCTAGTGTAGCACGTTTAGCATATGATGAGTTTCGAACTTTTTATTTAAGTAAGCACAATGGCCGTCAACTAAGACTTCAACCTCAATTGGGTTCAGCTGATATAACAGCTATTTTCAATGAAACTCGCCGTGATAATAGTGCAACATCTGTGATTAGTTCTAGTGCTAGTGGTAACACTATTGTTTCTACATCATCAAATTCTGGAACTAGTGTCAATACAATTGGGTTATTAGCTGTTCGCAAACATCTTTTCCAAGTATCAACTTATCAAATGGCAATATTAATGTTATTTAATACATATGAAAAAATTACAATGGAAACAATTATGAATGAGACAGATATAAATGAAAAAGATCTCACAAGAGCTTTACAATCATTAGCTATGGGTAAGCCATCTCAAAGAGTACTGTTAAAAAATCCAAAAACTAAAGAAATTGGACTTAACCATGAGTTCTCAATCAATGAATCATATACTTCAAAATTATATCGTGTTAAAATTCAGTCTATCACAACTAAAGGGGAAAATGAGCCAGAACGTCGAAAAACAAAGGATAAAGTTGAAGAAGATAGGAAACATGAAGTTGAGGCAGCATTAGTTCGAATTATGAAAGCTCGTAAAAAATTAACTCATAATATACTTATAATGGAAGTAACTGAACAATTAAGGTCAAGATTTATGCCTTCACCTGTTCTCATTAAAAAACGAATAGAATGTTTGATTGAGAGAGAGTATCTGGCTAGAACTCCAGAAGATCGAAATACTTATAATTATGTTGCATAAATATTGACTATTTATCAACTTAGATATTAAATAAATACCAGGTAAACATTTATAAATTTAAAAAAATAAAAATTTTGTCAAAATAAAATCATTATTGTATAGAATGATCCATTTATCATAAATTACTCGATTACTTCTAAAAAAAAATACCATTTGAAAAAAAAAATTGATTTTTTTTTTATTTACATAATATATTACTTAATTTATTAGCTATTAATTACTTTTTAAAATTATCTAGTATACCGGTTGGGTACATCAAATGTAGGAGTGCCACTTAATTTTTTTAAATGGCAAAATGTATTAATTGAATTTATAAAATATTATCTAATTAAGGAAATTACGGGCCGATAATAACTTTTGATCCAGTACTTAAGTTAAAAGAAATGTAATTAGTAAAAAATAATTAATAGCTGATTGATTGAGTTAATTGATTGAATATTTTCATGTCATGTGTTTCTTTAAAATGATAATTAATTTTATTTAAGCGAAACTAAATACTTTATTTTAGAAATATTTTAATTGTTGTATGTGTATTTTTTTAGTTTAGCTGCTGAATTGAATAAAATAAGTTTTATACAAGAGCTCCAGATTGAATCATTTTAAATGATGAATACCAAACAACAAAATAAAATATTGATCCATGTAAACATTATTTTGTTCAATTATATTCTTAAAATGGAGTGAACCAAAAATTTAATTAATATTATAAACATATTGTACATACATCATATAACTTAGGTGTTTTATATGAAAAAATACTTTATAAGTGTAAATGTATACTCAAACTAATTAATAAAAATCTAATAAATTATAATATGTAACATATGAACACCATAAAAAATTTATTTATTAATTAGCCTTAATACATCTTAATTTTCATCCTTAAGAACTAAAAAAATTTGTATCAACATAAATAAAATATTAATAAATGAATATTTTTATCTTTAAATTCACTGTTAATAGTACAAAAATTTTTTATAAATAATGAGTTTTAATTATAAAAAGCTTTTAGAAAATCTTGATAATGTTTAATGCATAGTAAATTTAATTATGGTATTCTTTGAAATTGGACATTCAGAATTTTTATCCTAATTTTAAATGTAAATCCATAACACAGTACATACATTTACATGTAATCATAATTAGAGTTACATATTTTATTTCTTATTTTTCTATAAAATTTATCTTTATTTGATTTAATTTTCTTTCCCCCAGAATTATTACCAAATAATTTTTAAATATAATTTTCAATTAAACAACCCTCATATTACTATTAACATAAATTTTTCCAGCTTTGGAAGGATGTGAAATTTAACTAGAAATGGATTTCTATTAATCATTTTATAGCTTAATATTAGTAGTAATCATTTAATTATAGTTATTATAAATGGTCATAGATACAACTTGTAAATTGTCATTTTTTTACTTAGACGGAAGGAAGAGTGATATCAAAAAATGGCTAGTGATAAAAATAATATCAATCGCTCTCATGTCCAGCCTTCACTATAACATATTAATAACTTCCAAAATACTAGTCTAAAAATTGTTATTAATCAGTCATTTTTTCAATTAGATCATGATATAGAATTTTCAGTAAGTAAGGAAACAGGTAAATTGTTACAAACAATGAGAACACAGAACCCGTTTTCTTACTTACTGAACACTATAAATGTTGCTATTTGAAAAAATAAAGTTGACACCTTCATAAGGTATAAAGGTTGAACATAAAAATTACTTTATAATCGATGAATTAAGAAAACATACATGTTTTTTAGATACATGTACCTAAAAGAATGTTGATAAAAAATTCCCAATATTTTTATTTTTCTGTAGTTAGGAAAGGGTTTATGATAAATGAATCACTCTGTGTATTATAAAAATCACTGACGTATATTATAACACCCTCCTTATTAAACAGGTGCTATACATAATTTTTTTTAAGTTTTTATATATATATTTTAACATATTTCTAATTACTATATGATAATTCAGAAAAATTAAATTTATTAGCTGACTCCAAGTAGTTGGGAATAAGGCGAGGAAAAATAATAGGAAGAAAAATTAAATTTATAAATTTGTCAAGTATATTTGTACGTCAAAGTGTTATCATAAGGTGGTTGAAGGAACTTTTAAATAAAATCATATTAAAAGGGAAAATTTTCAAAAGAATAGAGGAATACTATTGTGGTGCCGATATTTAAAGGTAAAGGCGATATACAGAGGTGTGGAAATTATAGAGGCATAAAGCTTATGAATCTTATAACGAAAATTTTGGAAAAAGTAATAGATAAGAGAATAAGAAATGAGAAATCGGTATTTAAAAACCAATTTGTATTTATACCTGGTAAGTCAACAATGGAGCCATTATTTTATATGAGATAACTAATAGAATAGTTTGAAGAAAAAAAGAAAAGCTGTGTATGATATTTATAGATTTAGAATAAACATATGATAGAATACCAAGAGGGGGTTTATAGAGAAAAGATAAAGTCACGAGTCTACCTATTATTTTAATTAAGAGGTAAGATTATGTTTAAAATTTTGATTTAAAAAGGTACTTCAAAATGTTCTTGGAGGAAAAATATAAATTTTCATAAACTAGAATACTATATTTAAATTTATTATTTGCTATATTTTATTAAAGTGAGGGGGGAAATGTTTTATTAATTGACGTTCAAACAAAGGCGATCAAATCATTTATGTTATGACCAGTGTTTGAAAAATTCCTTTTAATAATGCATTCTAATTCTCATTTAAACATTAAAATACATAAAAGCTTTCAATAATTTTATTTTATTTTAGCTCCGATGCGAAGCTGAGAAGTTATAGATTATACAATAAAGTGTTTATTTTTTTTTTTTGTGTCTGTCACTACTTTTTCTTAGCTTTCACTTGACCGATTTTGAAGAACAATACGTGAAAAGATCACAAATCGTATGTAGTCGAAGACAATACCCTCAAAAATTTTCCTCGCTCTCCACAAATGGGAGATTATCTCAAAAAAAAATAAATAAATAAAACTTTAAAAATTGGTAATTTTCGACATTTTTTCATTTTTTTTTTTAACAACCATAACTTTTTGAAAAGTGGATGAATAGGTACAAAAACTTTTTCAACTTAAATTTTGAATGTGTTTCGGAAATACTGAAATTTTTAGACATATCTTAAATGAAATCTCTTACTTGACTAATTTTTTTATTGATACGTCAAATGATCACAACTAGTACCTTATTAATATGATATTATTCTCAAAAATTGAACAAAAAAATTATCTTTATCAGTTATTTAGTTCTCAATGTTTTAATTGTAGAATTTTTTTAAACACCAAAAGTTACTTAGAAATAATTACTATAATTTCTATTTAAATGATCTATTACGATAAAAATACACAACAATGTTGAGCTTTTCTGATAAATTTACTGTAAATAGTAATTATAAAATTTTCTGATTGCATATTATTTTTAACAATACTATTTTTTTAATTCTCATATAATTTTCTATTTAATGATGTAATTTTCAAACTTTTAAGTTAAGCTAAAATTCATGGTAATTTTTTTATTATAAACTTTCACAAAAAAATCAACTTTAAAGAACCAAAAAAAGTAAGTTAAAATTTATATTTTACACTGATTATTTTTAACATATTAAGAATCAAAATCACTAATAATTTAAAACAATTTTTTTTTGTTTTCAAAACTTTATTATATGTAAATACTAATTTTTATATAATTAGTAATAACAGAAAAACTTACGATGTGATAGAAAAAGTTTAATTTCAGATTTGAAAATAGTGCTTAAAGTTGGATTAGAAAAGTATATTTTTGATTTCAATGAAAGTTCCTTATAGACCAATGTATTTATTTATAAGTAAAAAAAAAATGTTTATAAAGTATTGCATCAAGCCCTTTAACTTTTATTCATTTTTGTCATAGAAGTAAAGAAATATGCTACTTTTATTATTTTTCCATAAAAATTATGATACTAAATTATTAAATATTAAATATTTTATACTATATTTAATTGCTATATAAATATTTATTCATAAATTATACTTTTAAATCTAAAAACTACTAATCAGGATATAATTAAGGAAATAGGGGTTGATAGAGATGAAAAAAGTTTACATAAATTTTAAAATAAAAATAAATCATACAAGAATAGTTAATTAAAAATATATTTTTATTTTTGATGTTCATGACAATTTTAAAAAAATGTTGAACAAATAATTTAATTCTATTTCATGCGATTTTAAGATTGGTTTAGTGGTTATCATTATTTTTATAATATAAAACCTATACCGGCAGCCATGGAGGCTGCACTGGTAATCACTATACTGGACTTCGGACAAGAAGTTTAAGATCTAATTGATGATCCAGTCTTTTAATTTAGTACCTACACAAGACGTACCTTCCAAACTTATCCTCAGACTATGAAAATTAAACCCAATGTTATTTACTTAAGTTGCCATTATGCAAAAGTAAACGATTGTATACAAGTTGTATTTGGGCCGGTCGGCCGCCAAGTGGTGTAAGTCAAACATTTTGAAAATTGGACTTACACCATTTTTCAATTCTATAGTGAATAATCTACGATTCTGACAAATGGTGTGAGTCCTAGTTCAATACAATCATAATAAGAAGCATATATTGTTATTTCAGTTAATGAAATGGCCGAGCGCTTTAGCGNATATACCAAGGATTGGTATAACATAATGAAAGATGCTCGAAGAACAAACAAGTTTGTGATTCATGAAATGCAAATTTCTGACTTTGTAGCAGTAACAGGATTTCAAGATTATGTAACAAAAAGAAAGAAAAACGTTGCTGGGATTGAAGTAAACTGGTTGAAAATGCGTCACATAAAGTATGACAAACGTCACAGAATGTCTATTTTTTACAAAGAAACATTAAACGATCTTGTGGGATTCCAAGAACTTAACTTGAAAAAGAACCGTACTGGGAGCATGGCTGGTCGCCCATCATTGGATTTAATTAAGCATCAGCTGAAAATATCTTACCCCTTTGGAAGACCCGTTACAGCATCGAAAAAGAAAGACATGGAAGACTTACTGCAGTTCATACCTCCTATACACCATCCATTTTTTATGGGATTAAGAACCACTGAGACCCCCGAAGAAGTTGTCCCACAGAATTAAAGTTTTATTATAAATTATATAATTTTTTACATAAAAAATCAGATTTTTATAAATATTAAATATATTCAATAGTAATTAAATATTTATTCAATTTTATATTATTTATACATGATTTCCCTTATCTTTTCAGTTTGGTATAAGAAATGTTGCATAAAGATGAATGTATTAAGATATTTTTAAATTGTTATCATTATAAAAAAATCTAATTTTTTTTATTCTAAATGAAACTTCATGCACTTAGGATGGTTTTAGACCATAATTCAACAGCACAAACCCAAAATCTGAATTTATATTGAGGTAAGAATTTTAAATTTGCTCTCCTGAAAAATTGATTTTTATGACTTACACCACTTGGCGGCCGACCGGCCCATTTATAAATACGACTTTATAATAATAAAGTGGTAATTATCTATACTAAGGGTTTTTTTCTTTCTTTCTTCTTTTATCTCATTACATGGAAAACTTCCCACATATAAATAGTTTGACTATTAAATCTAGTTTTAGTTTTAGGCGAGTAAAAACTGTCCATGCATTCATATTTATAGGTCAATCGTGCGCACCTTCTACGAATTTTACTCACAACTCAGTAAACTGAAAACCCATACCCTAAATAATAAGTATATTTAGCGATACGTTTAATATACGAATATCTTGTCTTTCTCATCAGCTACCTTATTACATCGCGAGTTCAGCCCGATTAGAGTATCTTCGCTTTCCAGATAGAGTACAAAATCTATTTACTGGATCGCGATTGGCCACCTAAACACCGTGGACGAATGTTTTATCCGGTTTTTGACGTCTTACGTGCACTTACGCGATCCGTTATTCTCTTGAGTCTTTTCGACTCCTTTTAATTTAACCAGTTAAAAATTAACTTTGTTTTTTTCGTAAATATGATTTTCAACTAACAAAATATCTATTGTGCTACTGTTCTCTTGTTTAAGTACAATTTAAATATAACTTATAAATAGATATAATTTTATTTAGTTTAAAATTATTAAGAAGTAATAGTAAAAGAAAATAGATAAATGAATAATAAAAATTATTTCCTTTTTATTAAAATGAATAAAAGTTAATACAAATTAACTGTGTTTTTTTTTTTAATGCATAAATATAATATGTCCATAAGAAGTATTTTATAACAAATAAAATTAAAAAATCGACTAAATCTTTTAGTTTTCAACAAAAACTTATAAAAATATAAAAAAAACTTTATACTTATTGCATCCATTGTAATATGATATAGTAACTTTAATTTTTGTTTTAACGTGATTAAAGTTATCAATTATAATTGATTATTCTTAATTAAGAATATTATATCATAGTCAGGATATATGATCTACCATAAACATCGACCTAAAATTATAAAAAAAATTGGGGAGACAAAATTGATTTTTCTTCCATCATAAATTTATTTTTGTATAAAAAATACAATTTAAAATGAATTCTAAATTTAAAAGTGATGATAAAAAAAGAATAGAGAGCACTAAAATTCTTGGTAATTTAAAATTTGGATCTTTTTGGTAAATATGACACTGAGGAGTAATTTTTAACATTTATTGATATACTTCATATTTTGATTTTTTTTATTGTAATTATTGATGTATTATTCATAAATTCATACTCATCATTAATATTAAAGTTGATTAAATCATCATTTTTTTCTTCCAATATGCCATGATTTTATGTACTGCATAAATCTTTACAACATAAGCGCTATTACTGTATGTATTGGTTACTGTATACGCGTGTTTAAGGAAATAATGCTATAACTAATAAATTTGACTAAAATGATTACATCATCATATATTTAATCGTATTTTTTATTTTATGCATTATTTTTAGGCTTCTTCTTTTTATAATTAATACAAATCAAAATAACATTGAAAAACGTTTCTTAATATTTTAAGATTATAATTGTGTCTATGCTGTAATTCAATTAAGCCAAGCTTAATTGTATTATTGTGCGATTGCGTTCAAGAAGATATACTACATAAGAAGAGAAGGATAATATGATCAATAATATTATCTAAATTATAAAGAGAAACATGTTTTAAATATGAAACATTATATATTTTTTTTTATTGCGTTTTTAAATTTAAACTATATAAATTGTAAAAGGATCACGGGCACAAATTGGTTAAAGCACTTGGCCCTTCCAAAATTCCATAAAAACTATGCGTATTATTGTATACAAAAAAAATATTAGTGTGAGGATATTTGAAAAGCCTCTTTAAACATCATGTTAAAATATTATAACATAGAAAAGGAGCAATGTTGCTCGTGTAACAGGGTTTGAAAATTATTATTGTATAATGTATAACCTCATGAATAGTTATTAAAATACAAAAATATAATTTAACTATTGATTTAAACTAGAAAATATTTAACTCAAAAAACACTAAAAAACTGCCTATTTTAATACTATAGGTATTTCGGGAACAATCATGAGCGTCTGCAGAGGGGACGATTAGGGAAATAGGGGATTTTTACATAGCAATATTTGAATTTCTTCAGTCGCCTACAAACATTTTTTTAATAACTTTTTTTATTTTTTAGGTGATAAGAGATGCCGATGACACGGGCGCCGAATTTATAAATACATCTCTGGGTACATATAAAAAAAAATGTTTACCTACATATTTCCAGTGAGAACGCTTACAAGTTAAAACAAAATTATAGTTCCTTTGGGTCAAGATCTGATACCTAAAAATTATTCTTTTATTAATATTTTTTCTATTAATATCAGTATATTAGAAAGATAATGATATTATCATTTAACACCTGTGGGTTGTATATTAATATGTTTTTTTAATTAAGTATAACATAGACGAATAAAATATTGTAATACATCATTTTTCCTTTATAAATGACTTAAATTAATTAATCTATTTAATAAATAAACGAAAAAATGATAAAAAAAATTTAATTTAAGAAATGTATTTAACATATTATGTTAAATAAAAGTTTTTTATCTTATATCATATAGGTCAGTAAGTAGAGAAAGGGGTTTTTATTATTATAATTGTAACAATTTACTTGTTTCCTTAAAATAAATAAATTATTACACAAATAATAATTAATGCAAATAAATAGATAATTTTATTGCTGTCTTTATTAAATATTTCTAACGATTTAAGGTTATATTTAAAACTTCTGTTTTAATCATAAATATATAACAATGTTTAAATATAATTACGTTAGAAAACGTTGGAATATTTTTTTTTGTGTAAGATTAAAGATATCTATCCCTTCCACACAGCCTTTTCAAGTGTACGTACGCATTTCCTTTTCAATAGAATTTCGGACACATGTGCACTACGTTTGTACCTGCATTTATTTTCATATGATCTCAATAGTTAACTGCTGCATATGGTGTTTTGTTACCCTTCATCATGTCGTCCATAGTTGTGTTTCATGTATGTTTCTCTCATTTCCTCTCTCTATCCCTCTTTCCCATTCATGTGTATTCACACACAAATGTACAATAATCACTTTACACACCTCTTGACCATAACAGCAATATTATAGTGAACTAAACCTATTTTTGTAATCCAGTGTATATTTACGTATTCGCTTTAATAGACGTCCGTAAAATTATGTGTTCGTTGGTGCCGTTAACGAAAATTAATATAAATAATTAATTTTAATAGATGTAATAAAGTTATTTTTTTCGTATATTTTATGGTTAAATTCTTCATATATAATAAATAAGAAATGCAATGGGCCTTTGCAGTCACAAGGATTTCTTCACATTAAATATTTCAAAATGACTATTCGTAACTACTTGATACAGGTATTTCTAAAATTCTGATAAATGTATGTAAATTATAGGCAAAATTATAGCTATAGTCTAAAATTTAAGACTTTTTCTGGATAATAAGCGTAAAACTTGATTACTATAAGCTTGATTTATAGGAATAATGTCACAAAATTGTTAAAATTTCATGATGTAAAATTTGATATGAGCTTGAAGAATAATAATAAATAAAAAATCCTAATTAATAAGAGATAACTTGTAGAATTTCTAACCGATATGAAACACAATAGTTAATAGTTTTTCATTTTATTAATGTAAATAATTATTACGACCACCCATAAGTGATCTTGTAGAAATATCGTTGAATATTGGTTTGATTATTTTTAATAACACATCTTAGAACAAAACCCCTAAAGGTTCTATTTCCAACGGACTAAGAAATATATATTAAGATAAGTAAGTAGTAAACAATTTGCGAGAGTTAATTTAATTTCTCTTTTTAATATCCTTCTTCAATTGATAGACTAGATTCTTTTAGTTCACTAGAATACGACAAAAATAAAAAACAAAAATGATTAAAAAGTCGAAATCCTATAAATTTTTGCAGAGTCTAACACTGATATCTAGTTTTGCTTATGGTGGTAATAGACTATTGGAATTATAATACAGAACTATAAAATTAATGATATATCAGTACACTATATAGTAAAAAAATTGTAGTTTTTAACTATATTCATTTTTTTTTTTGTAAATACACCATGTTAATAATTTGACTAGTGTGAGGGTTTGAGATAGTTTAAAAATTTGATCGGAAACTTTATTAAATTTCTTGAAAGGGTGAGCCATTTTTTCAAGAGGGTAATTCAATTTTCTGTATACTGATAAAAAATTTTTGCTCTAATTTACTTAAGAAAAGTTATGAGGGAAAAAAATCTTTGAAGATATACTACATAAATAGCGGCGGCTGTATGAAATATGGATTAGGATAATTTAAGGGGCGATTGCTCTATTGCTCTCATTAGTTACGTTCCTAATTTTCTTTGTAGACATATAAAAGTTGAAAGAGAGGACTTTGAAAATAATTTATTTGAAAACTTTAATAAATATGTCGTTTATAAAAATACTTTTTATTGGTTGGGGAAATTAAATTTAACTACTAACATAAAATAATCTTCTTATGTCTATGAATCAGTATGTGAGTAAATTAATATTTGGTTATTTAAATTACTTGAATAATCATAAAGTTTGTTTAAGAATGATATTGAATATTTTTAACTCATTACGCTGAATTAACAGAATTTCCCCCGTATTTTGGACACATGACTACTGTCACATAAACAGGGGTCATAATTTTTATAGACAGATGCTATAAAATTACATTATTATAAAACTAATTCCTACTCGGCTTCGCATATAAGATAAAAAAAAAAGTTCTTTTTTAATGAAAAAAAAAAGTTAGGTACCGCACAAAATTTGTTCCTGCTAAATTCCTTTGATTTTTAATACCGACCTTTAGTGGTCTGAAACAAAAAAAGTGTTCGAAATTAATTACGCCCTAATAATATCTAAAATATCAAAATAAATGTTTTTGAAGGTGTTGATTTCAAATTTGACATTTATTTTAGAACCACCCTTATTTAAAAAGCAAGGGAAAGAATTAACTGTATTTTTTCATACTAGCTATTTATTTGAGTATCTGTTTTATTTTTTATAAAAATCATTATTACTCAAACTAACGCGTATCCTTGAAATGACTATAATATAACATGATAGATATCTTATGTTAAAGACATAAATATTTTCAATAACAATAATGAGACTAAATACGTTTTTTTTTTATAATGAATTACTCTTAAAAAACTTTAATTTGATATAGGTTTTGATATGTCAGTCATTCTGGAATATATTCAAAAATTGAATATAAAATAGTATTATTGTAAAAATTACGAATTTTTTAGTTTAACGTTCATTTTTTCATAGTAGAATACTTCATGGGCAAAATTTTACTTTTTAAATATTGTAGTTCACAAGCTTTAACTTTATACAGATTAAAAAAGGGTAGACGCTACAGAATATCTTTATAAAATTGAGTTGAAAAATTTTTTATTGCATTTGTAGCTAATTTGGTTTTTTATTGGATTTTTTTATAACTATACCAATAGAAAGCTTATTATTTTTTTTATACCCTACTAAAATTTTGCTACCATTTGCATTTTTGAAAAAAAGTTATAGCAATTTAAAAATGCAGAAAAGTTATTTTGAAAATGACTTTTTTTGATGTAATTTATAGTTTTATAAAATTTCTAAAATTGAGAGAGTCAATTCAAATTTTTGGGGCTATATGATTATTTTGACGTATGGATCAATAAAATAAATTCTATGAAAGTTAATATTTACTTTTTAGAACCATCCCTTATAACTTAAAGGGGTTTCAAAATTATTTTTCCATTAATGGCAACATGCATAAAATAGTTTATAAAATAGAAAATAATCTAATTAAGAAAATGAATAGTCGATATCAACTTTTGAACCAGTATTTCGGAAGTTATCAAAAATTTAAAGTAATGACTATTGGTGATGAGCGAGTGCTGCTATTTTTTATAACTAGAAATTTACCGGTTTTACACCTACATATAAATATGTCAATAACTTCCGAAATACTGATCCAAAAGTTGTAATAGACCAGTAATTTTCTTATTTAGATTATTATCTATTAAATAAGCTAGTTAATTCTGTATGTTGTCACTTGAGGAATTAAAATTAACAAGGGTGTCAATTTTAATTTCTTAAATATGATATAAGGAATGAATATAAAAAAGTACTTTATGATTGACAAATTGAAAAAACAATAAAAAAGTTATGAATCTTCTTCTTCTTCCTCGCCACAATCCCAACTACTTGGAGTCAGCCACCTTTATCCTAAATCTATGCTTAAGTCAATCATCCTCATATTGCATTCAATAACATCTCTCCATATCTTTTTTTGGTCTTTTTGGTTTTTTTGGTCAACATTCAAAAAATAGTTATCAATATTATTTCTATATCTTGATTATTTTTATTTTTGATTAATAAAGTGGTATATGAAGTGAATATATATTTAGAATATTAAAGCTATTTTAATGTTTATATATATATGTATAAATTTAATACACAATATAAATATTATTATATTATTTATAAAATAATTGCTAAATAATTTTTCATTTTTATAAAATTTTAACATTATAAAAAATGATATTACAGTGGGGTCGCGGCACAGTGTGGACGAGGCATTGTTGGGAAAATTATAAATGATATCTGACAAAATTATTAGAATCACTATCATAAGAAACGATTTGATGCAGATCTGTAGATAATGTTAATTTTTGGAAGGTATTGTTGGATTATTCCAAAAGCAATACGAATTATTATTTCCTATTTATATCCTAATTACAAGTTTAATGATTTATAAATATATTTTAATTAAAAAAATACGCAACAAGCAGAATGTATTATGTGCAGTATATCAATATAAACAATTTTTTAATTCCAAAAGTTCATAGAAATGATAACTAAGAATTCTATTTAAATTATTTATTACAATAAAAATAATAACTTTTTATTTCAATTATTTACGTCTATACATTTACATTTTAGTTCAAATGGTTATTTAGTTATATAAAATGGGGTAAATACTCCCATTATCCTCTTTCACAAAAAAAAATAAATAAAGTTTTAAGTGTTTATTACAAATATTTTTAAGGAAATTTTTTGCATTTTAATACTTTTAATGTTAATAAATTAAGTATATTAAAATAATACGCAATTTTTTTTTATTTTATTTAAGATAGTTTTCTTTATTTAATTTTTAATTTTTGATAAATCCATATTTACAATATTGATACACGTTTATCACAGAGGTAAAGAAACATACAACTATTTTATAGTTTTTTTTATAATTTCTGCATATAAAATCTTCTTTTTGTTACATTATTCAAATAACTAAAATATACTAATTAGTAATTTAAATTTATATTCGTATTTATTTTAATTAAATTTAGTATTAGATCATTTCATTTAAAATGTTTTAATCTTCTATTTTCTTCTTCTTCTTCCTCGCCTCAATCCCAACTACTTGGAGTCAGCCACCCTTATCCTAAACTTCCACTTGACGCGATCTCCCACATTATCTATGCTTAAATCAACCGTCCTCATATCGCGCATTCAATTATATTGGTCTTCTTCTACCTTTTCTTCCTTCAACATTCATTCTGTAACTGTTCTTACAGCTTCCGGATTCCTTTCTCCTCACAACATAACCAAACCACCGAAGTCTATTTTCTCTCATATTATCTATAATTGGCGTTACATCTACAGTCACTCTTATATGTTCATTCTTTATCCTATCTTCTCTAGTCACTCCACTCATTCATCTAAGCATTCTCATCTCTACTACAGTCAATTTCTGCATATAAAACACTAAATTATTCATAAAACGTAATCAAAATATGGTTTAAGATAAAGCAGTTGATTCGATTTTAGAAAAATCCATCAATTTCTTCCAAAAATTAACTGCTGTCTACTTATTTACATCAAAGCGTTTTTTATTATATTGATGTTAATAATTATCAGAATCATCTATACTTGTCATAACTTTGTCACGTTTCTACTGGATTTTTTTATTTGGCATGACTTTGAAATATTAAAATTACATAAAAACTTTTTATGTAAACTTAAATATGATGTAATAATATGTTGTAATAATAATTTGTCAAAATTATTAAAATTTGAAAATTAAGCAGTTATCAATGATATAACTACTGAATAGATAATAATTTAAATTTCAGTGCATCAACAATATAAAAAAGTTTATTTAACGTTGTCAGGTAATAAAAATCAAAACCAATTATATATGATGAAAAATAATTAAATAATTATACTACCTTGAAAATAAAGTTAACCTTCTAGAATTTTATAATTTTCTAAATAAATTACTTTTAATGAAATATTTTGAATAATCATATTTTATTTTAGTTTTCTGTAAATAAAATAATAATGATATTTTAAGTATAGTGCAAATTTATATTTCTTTATAAAACAAACTTATTTTAATTTTTCAATAAAAAAACAAAAGGTTTTACAATATTAAAAATTAGATTTAGATTCAAAGTTAGTGCATTTTGTTTCTAATTTGAAACAGAAAAGATGAGATAATTTTTATAAAACTCTTAATTGATACTTAAAGTTATTAAAAATCTGTAACCATTCGATCAAAAAGAACCTAAAATTATTAAATTGTTATATGATAAAATAATGTTTTATAATTTCGTTTATTTAAAAAAAAGTACCAAAAAATAAATATCACACGAATCTAGTAAATGTTTATAAGAAGTATTTCGACCCTACAATAACTCCCCAAAAAATAAACCAAGATTTTTTTTTGTGTCCTATCATGAAAGTTCTCAGCTCTTGTTGAACCGATTTTGTTGATATGAGTCAAAAGAACCTTATCTTAATTTAATTGAACATATCAGCTACGAAATTTCATAAAATATCTTAAAATTACTCTATCTTTGTTAATCATGACATTTTAAAAACAATTTTTCAGTATTTAAAAATTAACATACTTTTTTAAAAAACGGTAGCATAGTGTGGCATACTTGGGCAAGTATAGATAATATCTGACAGGGAATAAAATAACTAATATAAGAAACGCTTCGATTCTAATCTGTAGATTTCTGATTACAGATTTAGAATCTGTAGAGACAGTGTTTAATTTTAAGAAATTGGTAGATTATTCCAAATGTAAAATTAACACCTAATTCTTTCATAGTTTCTAATTAGTAGTATCTATTATAGAAATTAATTATAGTATAAAAATGATATTTAATAATTTAATATAGTAATTTTTACGGATAAATTATAAAGCAGTTGTTACTTTTATGGCAAACGTGTATAAAACATGAAGACCTTGATACAAAACTTTTCAGAAGATAATTGGTTATGTTTTTAATTAGCAATAGTAATATGATTTTACTGTGTAATTCAGTATAAAAATGAATTTTATATTTTTATTAATTTGATATTATTTAATTAAAAAAATGTTTCATGAGTTGGTCATTTATTACAGTAGTATAATAATGATATTTTTGTCTAAATTTCTGGAATTAAAGGATTTTAATGTTAGGTGATTATAAGTTCAACAAGGTTAAAATCTGGTTTTTTGACGTATTGGTCATTAAAATTGGTCAAGTGAAAGCTATAAAAAACTGATACAAAAATCATATAGTAAACTATTGTAATATGAATAAGAAATTTCTTCTCGCAAGACAGACTACTGTGATGGGGCTCTTGATATTCATTGAATATTTTGATTGAATTTATTATATTTCATTACTTAATATGTTTAAAAAATAACAGAATATTTGGAAAACCTAAGTAGCCAAAGCATCTCCCTATTTGCACTTATGGATTTGACCTTCTTTCAGAATTTTTTAATTACTCACTTGACAAAAAGATATAATCTAATACCTTTTTAACGAAAATATGTAAAAAGGCGTGTCACTGTATAACAATACCCACAACTCTACAATCAGTTTCAATTAAATAACTAAAATACTATTGTACTGTGTAAAAATAATAAATATTTATATTTAAATATAAATTTTAGATTGAACAATAGTCAGGTGTGACCTATTGTTGTCCAAAAACGAAAAGAAAAACTATTCACTACTTCAGTTTCATAATTGCGAACCCGTTCATTAAGAGTCTAACCTGATATAAACAATTACAACTTTTGAATAATTAAACTATCATTTTTCTCAATTCAATGATGTTATAACTAGTTTTCTTAATTCAATGAAGTTAAAACTAGTTTTCTTAATTAGTAATTTTACTTTTTTGTAGGCAGTAGAAATTTTTAAGAAATAATGGTGCAATCCATGAACTAACTCTTACCCGAATTAAGATCGTACTTACTTTATTTAGGTAATGATTTTGCCAAAAAGAGGCAAATATTTCATCAGCTAAAATTAGTCTAGTTATAAAGTAATATAAAGTAATATAAAATAATATGTAATTCTTAATTACCATTTATACTCGAAATCTCATTATTCAATTAAGAAGTGAGAAGGACAATTACCCTTCACAGTTTATTTAAAATACATTTTAAGGTTAAGTAGGCAAGAAAGGGACAGATTTGTATGATATTTGAATTTAAATTTTCATTGTAATATTTTTTGATAATTTTTCAGTTCAATTGAACCAATTATTTATATAAGTTAGTCTATATCTAACTATAAGATATAGCTCTTATATTGTCTATGGTATTACCCCCAAACACACACACAAAGATACTTTCTTTAATAATTTTATTGTTTTAATCGACATTTTGTTACTATACATAAGCATCTAAAAAAAAAAATTATATTGATTTGTTAATTTTTAAGAAAATTATGGGAGTTTTAAGTAAAAAAAATTAAAAAAATTTGTAATTTTTTTGGAGGTTTTCCCCATTTACAGAGAACGAGGGAAATTTTTTCAATTTTTGAGAGTAATGTCTTCGACTAGGTACGATTTGTGATGTTTTGACGTATCGTTGAAAGGAATCGGTTCGGTGAGAGCTGAAAAAAAGTGGTAGCAGACAAAAAAATAAAAATAAAAAAAAACACATCATAGTAAAACCAATACCTTCTCAGTTTCGCATCGAAGCTAAAAAAGCGAACCATTTTGGTGTCTGATGAAAATTCTTTGTATATCAGTAAATTTATTTATAAGAAACAAACAATTCTTTTTTTGAAAAGTATTGCATTAAGTGCTCTAATTTTAAAAGGGCTTTATAATTACTTTATAATTTTTTATAAATTCTCCGCAAAAAATACCATACTAAATTATTAAATATTAATTTCATACTATATTTTTTTTTTTTAGTTTTAGTTATTATTGAGGTGGACATAATGCCCATGCACTCATACCTGTTGGTCCATTGTGCGCACCTCATACCGAATTGTCTTGATTCGGTTTACCCACCTAAGTGTTATCACCAAAGTGTTAATACATTACCAACCATAAAGTCACCTCTAAAGATGACCAAAGAGTCCTGTCTTTCTGGCGAAATTAAGTATCTCTCTGGGTTTTAGGTTTTTAATATCCTCTTTTTCAGGAAATGGTTTATTCAAGTAGTTTGATCTTAGTGTTTGATCTATTCGCACATGATGTGAAATGAGTCTTCCTCTTCTACTCCACACTTCCTGCACAATGGTGATTCCGATACCCCAATTGCGTTAAGATGCTTAAGCAGGTGACCATGTCCTGTCAGTAGACCAGTCAGGGTGCTTATTTGATGTCTAGTCATGCTATTAAGATCACCTAGCAATAAACCAGGGGTCTTGATAAACATTTTAGATTGTCTAGGTACTACCAAGTANTCATACTATATTTAATTGCTATAATAAATATTAATTCTTATATTGCACTTAAAAATTATAAATCTTGTAATCAAGATATAAATAGTGAAATAAGAGTTCATGTTTCTTTTGGAATAATCCTACAATTCCTTCCAAAAATTAAACATTATTTACGGTTTTGCATGGAAGCGTTTTTTATCATAGTGATTTTAATCACTGTCAGATACCATTTATACTTTTCCAACTATGCCACAACCACACATTGTTAGTTGTGTTGCGACTCCACTGTGTTACCGTTTTTTGTTTGTTAACTACAAACAATGTCTTTAAATATTATATAAAGACATCGTAAAATTAATTCTTTTTCAGTCTCTCGTCAATGCTAAACATTTCAATAATTTTGTTTTTATAAATTTTTTTATTTGATGAACCATCCTTTTGTTATTGCTTGATTTAGCTTCGATTTTTACCAATTTTCTATTGATTATTTATTATTTAATCTACAGTAGTCGTCATTTGTCACAGGTACTACTGGACATTATCCATCATACAGAAATCTTACCTTTAATAATTCATGTGCGTTGGACGCATACTCTTATATTTAACACAAGTTTACTATCGTATGAGTAGATTGTTGAACAACTAGTGTAGAAAAATTATCTTGATAACTACGATAATAATTTATCATTTATCATTTTTTTTACCAATTCATCACTTAAAAGTTGTATTACAACTTTTGTCTCGAAAATCTTATTAATTTTTGATTATCTGTCTTTTAATACTTAAAAAGTATAATGGAATAATATAGATGTTTATAATATGATGTAGATGTTTTTAAAAGTTTCTTCTGTGATAGAAATGGTACTTAACTGTAATTTTACTTGTGATCGAATAATATGTTTAATATATTTTTTTAACCTAAGCACATATTATTCTTTATAAAGTATAAAACTGTTTCGGTTCTCCCAATTTTTATAAATAAAAATATTTTTTTTAATGAACGCTTTGGTGTACATACTCCGCCTACGTTTCATATCCACTCTATTTATTAAAATGGTTATTACTCAATATGTATTTGCCCTGAGATTATTTTCGATCAAAATTTTTTGTAAGATAAAGGCTAAAAAATTGCTATTTTGTAAAAATAAAATTGTTTTTCTTATTAGTCATAAATAATAAAATATGTGCTATGAATGTAAGTCTAATAGTTATTAACCATTATCTTTTCAAAATTCGAATAAATGTTTCAAACATACGTTTTGTGAGCTTCGGTTCTATGTGCCACACAAATTATTAAAAGATACAGTTATAGTTATTAACACAGTACTGTGTAAAGTTATATAATGGTTTTATTAAAAGAAAGAAAAAAGATTGATTAAAAAATAATCAGTGTTTCTTTTAGCAGGTAACAAGGTCTATGTCCAACACTTCATTGGTGATGCTCATTAAAAACGATCCAGTGATACGAACCGTTGTATCGGAAGTGACAGTAACTGAGCAGTCGTGCTATGGCGTTTTCCGCAAGTTGGAGTCGGACGGTGATGGAAGAGGCGGGTTTAGGGGCCGCAGTCGGTCGACACAACCTTCACCTACGAGACTGCCGCCGCTTGAACGTTTCAGTCAACGAGAGCATGCGGCCGCGTACAGTACCGATTGCTTCACCGAAGAAATTGATGATGATCCGTTTATTACTTATAGTGATGCGATAGTGAGCGGAACTGAATTTGCGACTGGTGGAGCAACAAGTGTTGGTGAAGATTCTTTAAGCGATTTAGACACTGTTGTGTGGACTGAAGAGGACTACTCGCCGACTGTAGTGATTAGCACATCATCAGTGGTCGGTTTTTATCCGACCGAAGTCTTAGGGTCTGATATCACCACCAAAACGGGAGATTTATGTGCTGGGGGTGCGGCCGCCGCTCCGTACAGCCACACCCCCATGGGATCCACTACAAAGCTCGTCGGGATCGACAAAAATAGCGACGACACACCTAATGTAAGTAAATAGTATTTATTGAGTTGCTTAAAAAATTTCATTGTACATTTGTTTTATTATTTCAAGTAATATTATTCTGATAGAAATCCAACAATAAATGGAAATAAATTATTTTTTAAATAGTTTGGGAATAAATATTATTTTATGTAATGCTATTAAATATTACTAATGTCTGAAATTTTCACCTACTTTCAAAATAATTCATTGTGTTAATTATTAACATGATATTATATTATAATATCGTTTGAAAAGTTGACAAGTTAATATTTGTTGGCAATCGGTTATTGCAGTATCAGTGTACTTATTCACAATAGTACCTAGTTTAACATTTAAAACCTGGTTCGTTGACGCAATTTTAATTACGCCACGTGTGATAAAGATAAACCTTATTATGACTCTCTTAATTAAATTGTAATTAATGTTATTGATGTAATATATAGTTTCATATATATATATACATATACATTAAAAAAAAATGTGTTTATTATTCATTGACTTATTTTTCATTTAAATAAAAATTAATATCATGTAGACTCAAAACAAATAAAATTCAATTTGTTTGTATTAAGCCTAATCATTTAAAATGGTGCATATTTTAAGACAACAGCAATCTACACATTTTATTATAAAAAAAAGATACTGAAATTTTTATAGTTATTTAATGATGGTTATAAACCGTCGCCAGTGCGACGAACAACCACCCGCCCTGGATTATCAAAGATTAAGAAACCTCCTCCTTTGGGGTAGATATCTATGGCTCTTAATGGGCTTATATAGCATTAAAAAAAAATCGAATGATGAAAAACATGAAATGATGTATCTACTTTTTTTTTATGAGAAATTGTACTAGTTCTATTTGATAAACAAATGTATATTTTCAAAAAAATTACGACGCATCATTAAATATATATTTTTTGTCGAAGAGAGATTGTGGGGGCTCTATGTATGAACATTTTTGCGGGGTCTTATAATTTTCTTTAAATAAAATGATCTTTTTTTAACTTCTAGTTTGCTACAGTTATAGTTAAACTAATTCTTTAAGATTCATTTAATTTTTATTAGATATATTTTCATTGTTTACTTTTATATAAATTAATCTTCTTGAGTTTCTAAAAGCTTTTATTTATATTTTCTGAAATTAAACTTAAATTTGACTTAAGAGGTTTCAATAGACTGCGATAGCTTCAACGAAGTTTTTTACTAATTCATTAAGTATTTTCAAAAACCATTGGATTTTGCTTGGATCACGTTGTGTATTAGTATTTCTTACATTTATTGACGCAGTAAATTTATTGAACAGCGTAAACTAAAAAAAATATTTTTTAAACTGTAGTTTTTAGCTTATACAAGTGCAGTATTACGTGTATAAATATAGTTTGCGTTATCGAACCATTCCGGAATTGCTTACTAGTGACGAGTCAAGGCAAACCAAACGCAATAGGTATTACTGTTGATTTTGTATTTTCTAATTGATTTTCGTGTTACAAAATATTACTGCATCGTTAAAAAATGTTTACTTAACTATATATGATGCTTGTGGTTTCAGATAATTTTAAGTTCAATGCTCTTTTCATGTTACGGAAATTACTGAATTTACTCCTTGGACAATAATAATATTTTAATTGCTCGCACGGAATCCTGAATTTTGGAATTTATGGATGATCTTTTTTTGTAAAGTTTTTATGAGAAAATTATTTGTTCAGTTAATTATATGAAAATGCGTGTGTATATATAGCAATAAAAATACATTATAATGCAAATTGTTTGGCAAAGCTTCACCAAGGCCGACATGCATACCATTTCAGCAATAATAATTATTATTGTTTAACGAAAATATAGTAATATATTTCATTGTTCTTCGTTTTTTTTTTTTGTTTTGAAAAGGAATAAAATTAAACGCTTTGGCACCAATTATTGATTACGATTATGTGTTTGAATTAATTGAGTCGTTTTTTGTTTACCGCGTTACGTATCATACATAGTCAGTATCATTATCTTAAGAACTTAATTGAAACATATCATAAAAATAAGTTGACGATAAAATAATAATAGTTGATACAAAAAATAAATATGTTAAAAATAAAATTTAATAAGCCGACAATAAACTTAACTAAAATGATTCGAGGATTTTGATTTCAATGTATTAGTTACAAATTTAAAAAATTTTGTTTTGAATATGTATGTATGCATATATATTTTTTAAAGTAGCTTTCATGCGACCTTGAAAAGCCATGGTTGGTATAATCCGTGAACCGTAACCCGCAATACGGTCCTATTTTTTAAATAGGTTGTATGATCATGTGTATGTAATAACAACTTAGGGTATTTCAAAAATGTACAATGGTTATATGGCTTCCTGATCATTCATTGTGTGAATATATGACACATTAAACAAGAATAATTTTTAATTGTAACCTTATTCGATTTTCAATAGGACTACAACACTACGCAAATTTTGTGGCAGCAATTTTTTTCAAAAAAAAAAATTTAAATATTTACATCCAAGAACCGCTTTTCTTTCGACTCTTATTTCAAGAGAAACATTAAGTAAATTAGGTCACCGAACATCAGATTACATTAAAGTTTAAAGTAATCACTCAAAACAATTACAAAAAAAATGTTTTTGAGGAGGATTAGTGATTTTTAAATATAGGTTATAACATAAAAAATACAGACAATTTTTGTTGAAAATGTCGTTGTTTAACATTGAGATATTTTTTTTAATTTCTAAAGTTGATTGTTTTTTTTCAATTTTCGATAACGAAAGGTTAAACTAGAATAAAATCAGGTTACAGTAGCTCCTATTATTTTGTTTCTTGTTATTTTTATGTAAGATATTTTTTGTTTTTAAAAATACCAAGCACTTTAATAATGTTAAGTATTTTCATACGCAGTGGATTGATTTGTATTACACGCTGTTGTTTAATTTAATAGAGAGTAAACTATTTGATAAGTTCCTAGATAATTAATAGTCTTTATAAATTGATTTTTTAAAAAAAATTTTCTGGAAATCCTGAATTTTATTTACTGTTTTGTTTGTGTTTTAATGGCAGATTTACCACTTGATGATAGAATTTTTTGATTATTTTAATAAACATTCGAGGTATTCCTCCCCTACATTATGAGCATGTATTGTAATAATAGCAAAATATGTGGATATTTTCACTTAAAATTTATTGCTTATTTTTAGCATCATTATATACTTAACATTATTATATACTTTGACAACATTCGCGCTTAGTGCCCTCTATTATTGTTTCGTAGTAACCCAAAAGATGTAGTTGAAATCAATTTTTCGGAGAGGGAGGTGGAAACTCGTGCAAATCTACACGATAAAAGTATTATATATTTATATATAAAAATATAATACATTATATATATATATATATATATATATATATATATATATCGTCTTATAGACTAATAAGTATGGCCAACGACATTAGAAAATTGTTTAACTGCTGATTAAATGAGAACACTAAAAACCCGTTTCTTTACTTACTGAATACCTTATACACATTTAGGGTAGGTATTATCTCTCTCTATACATTTTTGTATGATATAGTTTTATTTTATGAAAGTACTACTTATATTAATTTAAAAGTGGAAGTTTAGGATATGGGTGGCCGACCCTAAGTATTTGGGATTAAGGCGAGGAAAAAAAGAAGAATTATATTAATTTATCAAACTAATTCATTAATTTCGGAGATTAGTACAATAGAAATCTTTATGAGTTAATATATTTGGTATACAGTACTGAATAAAGTGAACATTGGCAGCAAAAGTTTATAAAATAAAAATGTGGATTTCAATATTTCTTCAAAATTATTTAATGGACTTGTCAAGTTTTTTTAAAAATTATAGAGAAACTGGATTTAATACAGCTAAATTGAAAGCTCAAATACTCGCCATTATGTAACTAAATATAAAGAGCAACTCAGATGTAATTCCGAAGTAACTATCTAAACTCAAAGGTATTACATCAGTATTCTGCCCGCCAGTGTCTTTGAGTTTGAATCATAAGTGCACGGTGGTCTAGTGGTAAGGTTTGTTTCTATGAAGACTTGGGTTCTAATCTCGTACCTTGCCTCTTTTTTCCTTACGATTTCCGGTACACTTTTGATGTTAGTTTTAAACATTTCATTTTCAGTATATTTAACTCTCAATCTTATTTTTTTTAAGTCTATGTGAGTTGATAAGATATCTGTAATCAAATTTGAAGCGTTACATGATGTAACGTTTCATGAATATACTTACATGTATACAACCACTAACTTAAGGAAGGAAATCCTTAGTGGTCGACATAGTTCTTTGGGAACATGGCTGTTTTCTATGGACATTGTCAAAATCATTTATGATTATTATTATTATAGTTATTATTCAATACAGAACACATGCAGTGAATAACAATAAACAACGCTATACGCTTTCGGCCAGGTTGTATTCCTGTGCAACGTGATATTTCTTCCTCTAGGTTCCGACAATGATCACAATGGTTTTTTATACCTGTATATGGTACATCAAGAAAATTAAAAATTCTTATAACAAACCATTGCCTATGGTATAACAATGTAAGTATATGATGGTCGGTTACAACGATTTTTTTTTTATAAATAAAGGCAGTAGTGACCGAAATACACTCTGTACTTCAGTTTATTGTCTTCAATTTGTTTAACATGTTTTACGAATAGAACAATAGGTATGTTTGTTTTTATGATTTAATAATATTTTGAGATCAACAAGAAATATGAGCTTTAAAATATAAAATTAGCTTAAATAAATTTTTAGATTTGTTGGATACCATAAAAATTAAATTTTAATTATTTTAAATGAATATAGTCTTTTTTTTCAGCCGAATTGACCGGACATCGATTTAAATATTTTACTCATGGCTGGCTAAAGAGTAAAACCATCAATAAACTTACCTAGTACCCCTAGTTTAAAAAAGTCTCACTATCGTAAAATTTCAAACATTTTAAAACACAATTTTTTTGGTAAGAAATTCCTGAAGTAATTATCTCAATGTTATCCTTCTTACTTGTATAGTTAACTCAAGTTTTTAAAATATTTTTATGGATAATGTAGTATGATAACATGTGTCTATAAGAAATATATTGTATTAATAGTGAAATATAATAAACGAAGCTAGAATTTCAGGTTTTTTCTTGTTCTGTACTTTAAACGTTTATCTAGTTACTAACATTTCCTTGAAATAGTCAACGTGCAAAATATTAGGCGCACTAAAATGTGACGATTTATAAATTTTCCCTTTTTGTATCATCATAATACCATGGTTTTTTTTTTTATTATTTTGTTGTCCATCCTACTATAAGAATCGATTTATTTTGAAGTAAACGCAGTTTTTAATGTCGTTGATAAAATATCATATAGTAATTTATTATATGAATTATTGAAGAAGAAATTTGTCTACATAAAAGAAATATATTAATATGATATAGTAATCACAATAAATAAAACTTAATGTTAAGTTTAATTTATAGCTAAATTTTCCAAATAACTGAAGAAATATGTGTATAATTCGGCTAAACTATGCTGATGATGAAATGTTAAAATAACTCTCAAATTCTTCAGTTCATATGTGTATACATGTCATGCTAATCTATATTCATTATATTATACATTAATAGTAAATGAAGTCGTTTTTTATATAAAAAAACATTCATTACGTTGATATTAATAATATTCTTAATGCTATTAACATCTAAATAACCCAACGACTAAATAAAAATATTTTAAAAACTTGAGTTAACTATACAAGTAAGAAGGGTAACATTGAGATAAATACTTCAGGAATTTCTTACCAAAAAAAATTGTGTTTTAAAATGTTTGAAATTTTACGATAGTGAGACTTTTTTAAACTAGGGGTACTAGGAAAGTTTATTGATGGTTTTACTCTTTAGCCAGCCATGAGTAAAATATTTAAATCGATGTCCGGTCAATTCGGCTGAAAAATAAGACTATTTCTACTTTAACACTAGGAACAAACATTAAAATCAATAATTTACTAAATTTTAAAACAAAATTCAAATAAACTTTTGTTATTGCAATAAAAAACCCTTTAACATTAAAGAAATATCGGTTATTTATTAGTTTACCAAAACAAAGATATTAATCACATTTGATAATAGATATAGTGTTGAAATGACGAATACCATAAGATTATATAAAATAACGTGTCATGAACAACTATAATAAACATGTATTAGGTTTTAATAGAAAATATTCACGTTTTATTCGAGAAGGTCAGGAGACGATTTCTCTAACAGTAGCAGCTCGTTTTTAACCTTGAAGTACAAGTGAGCGACAACTTCTTTAGATTGTGGTGCAACTTAAAAGGTACTAATAGTAGGTAAATGAAATAATATTGTGCAGTATGGTCAGTTTTGTGGAATGTTTACTTGATTCTGAGTATTAGGGTTTTTTAAAATATCTGTTAATTGAAACGTTTACACTTAATCTTAATTAATTCCTTTTCTGAACTAAGTTTTTTTGAGCTATTAAAATCAAAGTAGTGTTTACTTAAAAAAAATCAGGAACTAATTTTTGTTGTTTTATTATAAATAATTTTAAGTAAAATTCTAATTAAATTTAATCTCTAAGAAATATTGACAGAAATATTGCTTATGATAGCGATATAGTTTTAAATGAACTTAATATATGTTAAAAAAAACATCGCATCTAAAATATTTCTATGGTAGTGATAAGAAACCTGATTGAGTTTGATAGATCTTTTTATTTTTGGTCTTAATATAGACAACTTCTGTACTTTTGAAAGTTCTACTAAATCCGCCTTTGGTCTTAAACAAAATTATTTACTTTTTATTGAACGGATAAT